CTCTCTTTTCTCAACAAGATTGTTGTAGTCTTTACTTATTTTTTTTAAAAAAGATGTGATATGATCTAATAATGTATTTCACCAAGGGTTTACTCACATTAAATGCTAAGAATTAAATTTGTATTATTGTCAATAGCCTCACAAAGTACAACCCACTTCATTACAGCTCAACACTCCTCAATAATTGACATCATCAACTTATTCATCAAAGAGGTGGTCTAGTTACTTGGGTTCTCAAGATATATTATATCAAACTATAATCAAGTATTTCTTAACACCTTTTGAGATAAAGTTTGTCGATTTCAAGGTATTAAGTTCAAATAAATCATGTCATTCAACTTATAAATTAAAGAATAATTAGAGATGATCAATTACTACCTAGAGACATAATTACAATACTTTTCTTATGTCAAGCCTAGTAGTTAATATTACTAATTATTTTAAGTTAAATTATAGTACAATACTTTATCTATTGCTCTCTAAAATTTATTCATTTATGTGCTTTATATGATAGGGATCCATTGCATGTCTTTTGATTTGGTCTTAATTGGTATCATTTTTGGAAGGTTATGGAATACCACATTAGACTTACTTAAAGAAAAACTCACACAAACTCAAGTAAGGATGGAGCAACAAGCATATCACCAATGGTAAGACTTAAGTTTGTTGTGGGTGACGAAGTGTACCTAAAGCTCAAGTTGTACCATTTGTGTTTCCTTGCACAACATTGTAATGAGAAGTTGAGCCCAAATTCTTCATACCATTTCAAGTCATAGAGTGAGTGGGTACTATAGTCTATTGACTCGAATGGTTAACGACAATATAAATACATAATATTTTTCATCTCAAAACTTAAATACATCATCAACCCTTAACACTAGAGTTAGTCATCTCCACCTTACTTGAACTACAATCTCATTTGGACAATCTAATTGGAGTAACTCATAGATGTCTACTAATCAATGAGGGAGCAAAAAGTGTTAATCTAATGAAAGGATCAACCATAAGCTATCGTAACATTGGAGATAATTTTCAACATCTAGTGACTCTTCCTTGAAGTGCATATTGGGGACAAGGTGTTTAGTGTGAAGTCCTTGGGCCTCATTTATAAATATAAGAATAAATGGGCCCAAGCCCAAGAGTAAGTGGGCTTGAAGGTCATTGTACCTCCCTACTTAAGAGGGGAATTAGGGACTATGTGGAAACTTTTGGAGAAAAAAGGTCAAAGGAGAGTTTGAGGACTCTAAAGTCCCTTCAACCTAAAGTTAAGGTTTTTCAACCTTAGCTCTTCCTCCTAAGCTCCCCTTTCAATCTCTTTGATCTTGTCTCGTCATCTTTAATTAGGATATGAGATCTTAACAATGTCACACCTTTCATTTGGTAGAGTGAGATTCTTCTTATGCAACCTTGAATTGTCCTTAAGTGCACACAATCATTTGTAGATATATCATTTGCATCATGATACAATAAATATAGGTTAACACTATGTGCACAATAACAAATAATGAGATGATACATTATGTATGAGAGTGCAATAGATATATGTATGATTGTGCAAAATATATGCAATCAAGTAATAGATGACATTTATAAAGGTCTTGCATGAATCTCATTGATTGTTAACACAATATTGTTAGATTCATTATGACTAAGTAAAGTACCCAGATGGGTGGATTAATTTTTTTATAGTTTCTAGCTATGTGTATGTGTTGACACACATTATAACATAGTCTATCAAGTTTATATGCAACTTAACTTAAACCCCTATCTTCTTGATACAATCACTTTGATTTCTCTCTCACACATTCTTAATGATGATAAATATATAGATTTTATGTTAGTTCACCTTTTGTAAGATCCCACCTCTCATGGGCAGTTTTTGACTTACAACACCATGTGTTTAAGTCAAGATACATTTCTCCTAAAAGAACAACATTTTCTATGGATGGATTTCAAGTCTTAGCATCTTGTGCTTTAGCCTTACTCACTCTACTCACCATCTAAGTTATGTTAAGATGTTAGAAAGAGACAACCTTTTAATACAATTTTTTGATTCATAAGTTACTATATATGATTGAGTAAGATGAAGTTTTGATTCCTTCTTTAAAATATATGGTCGTTTTGTTATAGATGATTGGATATATCTTCTTCTTGGGCTCGTGTGAGTGATATAGATTGAATGTTCATTCTTTGTTCAACGTTAATTTCATCTGTTCTCAATTCATTTCATTTACGCTTAACAAATTTATATCATTTTTAACATATGAAAATAATCATATTAATTTGAATATCTTTTTGTTGCTCTACTAATGCACTAGTGAACTTTAAGTTCTTTTTAATTTCGATCTTTTTACTCCAGCAATGATTGTTCGTGATATCTTGTATGGAGATTGATACTTGATTGAAAATTATTTCTTCTTTCAAGATTTTACTTAAAGAATCATCTTGATTGATCTACATTTTCTAACAATAAGTCACTATATAAAATTTTTACCTATGATGTTTAGTTATATTTTAATTTAGATCTTTCAACTCTCAAGTATGTCGTCGTTGATATTGAGTATGAAGAATTTTAATTGACCAAGGAATGTCTTTGTCTTCAAGGTAGAGTTATGATAATATCATTGAATTTGTCATTTAGTCTACGATTTCTAGTGACGTGTTGACATTTCAAGTGTGACAGGTTGACCTTGAGTCTTTATTTGCCTCAAAATACATATGTCTCTCACATATAGTTTTTGAATTTTATATCTAACGATTTGTACTCTTATGTTTGTTGTTTATGAAATATTATTTAAATATTTATAAATAATTATAAACATTTTCTCTTTCATGGTCATGCTCAAAAGTAGTTTTTTGACTTGTATTTATTCTAGATATTTTGTTGACGAATTATCATCTGTAATCTATGCTTCTAACCTTCAATCAAACTTCAATTTATATCTTTCTACTCTAATATAAATTGTCTTTGATAATGTGTCTAGATATTTTCAATTGATCAACTAACATCTTTATCTTTAGGGTTGAGTTAAGATATTATCATTGAACTTGTCGTTTTGTTTATAAACCTTTGTGACATATTATTGTGCAAATTATGTGACAAAAACTTTTCCGCTTCTTTCATAGTTTCTTACAAATGATGTAACTTAATTGTCATGTAGGACTCAAGATTGAATCTTGCTTTAGTCAATGGTTGTGTGATTTTGTTCTGAATATTTAATCAACTTTTCATATAATTACTATAGTGATCTCAATTTCAAAATTTGTCCCAAGTTTTTGGTATGTATGATGTTCAAATACTTTGGACATTGTTTTTCTCACCTTTGTGTAGTTTGTTTCTTGAGTTTGAATCTTACATCAAACATTGTATTTTCTTGATTTTTTTTCCAAACGTTCTTCATCTTAACACTTTTGTCTTCACAATGCTCAAGTGGCATGTTTGAATCCTATGAGTAACTTTGCTTTTTAGTAACATATGTGAGATTTCTTCACACGTATTAACATATTATTTTTCACTTATATTTTGAGAATATTACATTCTATTGTTTCAACTATAAAAGTATATTGAGCATCATATATATATATATAATTTTAATATTTGTTAAAAACATTTAACTTGATGTAAATAGTTATTTTGTATGTTGATGATTCAATAAATATTAAATTACTAATTTAAAAATTATTTATAGATAAATTTTATAATGTAAATATTGAAACCAAGAGCATATACAAGACCATGTAAGTTATGTGACACTAACTTACGTCAATTGCTTATAATATTGACTTACGATATAGATTATTAAACTAAAGGTTGTGAAATATAACCCAAAATACTTACCAATGACCCAAGATAGTATCATTCATTTAGAAAAATTGAAATATAACCCAAAATAGCCCCTAAAAACATCTTTGCTAAGATTATTTTATATATTAAATAAATAATATAAATAAAAAATATTATTTTTAAAAATAATTTGGAGAAAACCTGAGTAATGTTATAAATTTAATCCTATCTTTGACTTTTTTTTTTGGCAATAAATGGCTATATTCGCAATTTATTACAATTATGAAAAAATTATGATATTCATGTTTTTCAGTGTCTAGCTAACCATTAGATTTGACTTGAATCCAGCATGCCCATTAACACAATTGTACAAGTTTATTAGGGGCGATCGTTCAAAAATATTTATCGGGAGCCTTCCTTTTCTGAAAAAGGCGAGACCAATTAAAATGGCCCACAATGTCCAAAGGGCATAACTGGGACAAGGAGCCTTCTAGACTCAACTCCAACGATGTGGCCCATGGGTTTGGCCCAAATCATAAGTGGGCCGTCCATCGAAGCGCTGCCCGGAGCCCATTTTCCCAGGGAACAGATCCCACTGGTTGGAGAGTTGGATAGATTCGGCGGAGAGATGGTGGGCCCTGGATGCACGCCACGTGGCATTTACAAACCCTAGTGAAGGAAACGTTGGCAACCACGTGGAGCTGCCGGTGATTTAATAAATAAATATCATGTTTATATTAAAGTATTTTTCCTGGACCGCATAAAGAATTATGCATGAGTGGACGTGTCAAGAAAATATTGCGCATTTACCAGAAAGCTGATTAAATTTCGATGACACAAAAGCCATCAAAATATGATTTTTATAAGGTTCGACTAAAATTTTAGGAGATGAAAGGGGGCCCAGATGGAAAAGTACGGCCTACTTGACATTTGACAGTACCGCGCACGCTGTAGAGGGGGAAGAGAACAAAAAAACAAACAAGAAAAGCCACCGTCGCCTGCTCGGAGTGTGAGTGTGGAGCAGGGCGGGGAGCCGAGATTCCCCCCGCCCCCCCCCTTCTCCGCCGGTCCGCCGCCGCTCCTCCGCCTGCCTGCGCCGGGAAGGATTGGTGTCGCCGGCGACGAATCGCCGCCGCGTTTCGTCGTTGGGCTGCGGCCCTCGCTCGCCTTCTTCCCCCATTTGCCCTAATCCCTTCGTTTGTCCGACCAGAGCAGAATGCGGCTCTTCCCCCTCTTCATCCTGCTGATTACGGTGGCGCATGCCGCCGGCGGAGTCGTCTCCCCGGTCTCCAACACCACCGCTCTGCAGCTCGTCTTCCCCGACCCGGAGGCCGTGGTCCGGCACCTCCAGATGTACTCCCTCCACTGCCGCCGTCTCTGCTATTGCTCTCTGGTGTGGCCTTCTCATTCTCTCTCTCTGTGTCTCTCTTCCTCTCTTTGCTGCAGGAAGGTGAAGGAGTCGGCGCGACGGGCTCTGATGGAGCGCAGGTCGATGACCACGGCGGCGTATTCTTCGTGCCTCACCGGGAACCCTATCGACGACTGCTGGCGGTGCGATCCGAACTGGCAAAAGAATCGACAGCGACTGGCCGACTGCGGCATCGGCTTCGGCAGGGATGCCCTAGGGGGGAAGAATGGCCAGATCTATGTCGTCGATGATTCGTCGGACGATAATCCCGTCGAACCCAAGCCAGGGACCCTCCGATACGCCGTCATTCAGGAGGAACCCCTCTGGATCGTCTTCTCCGCGAACATGATGATCCACCTCAAGGAGGAGCTCATCGTGAACAGCTTCAAGACCATCGACGGCCGGGGGGCGAACGTCCATATCACAGGTGCCGGCTGCATCACTCTGCAGTACGTCTCCAACATCATCATCCACAATGTGCACGTCCATCACTGCGTGCCGTCGGGACCGGCCGACGTGAGGTCGACGCCGACGCACGCCGGCCAGCGGGGGAAGTCGGACGGCGACGGGATCTCCATCTACGGCTCGCGCAAGGTCTGGATCGACCACTGCTCCCTCTCCCACTGCGCAGACGGGCTGATTGACGCCATCATGGGGTCAACGGGGATCACAATCTCCAACAACTACTTCTCCCACCACGACGACGTGATGCTGCTCGGCCACAGCGACGACTACTCGCCTGACAGGGGGATGCAGGTGACCATCGCCTTCAACCACTTCGGCGAGGCCCTGGTGCAGAGGATGCCGCGCTGCCGTTTGGGGTACATCCACATTGTGAACAACGATTTCTCGCAGTGGGAGATGTACGCCATCGGGGGTAGCGCTAGCCCCACCATCAACAGCCAGGGCAATCGCTACACTGCCCCCTCCAACCCTAATGCCAAGGAGGTGGCCGTCCTTTTTCTCTCTCCTCTCCGCCACCACCGCCTCCGTCGTCCTCTCCTCTCTCCTCTGGTCTCCGCTCAGCGGCCATGGGTTTTCTGTCTCTTCGCAGGTGACGAAGCGGGTGGACACGGACGAGAAGGCCTGGGGAGGCTGGGACTGGAGGACGGAAGGGGACATCATGGTGAATGGGGCCTTCTTCGTCCCCTCCGGCGGCGGTGTGGGGGCGACATACGCGAAGGCCTCCAGCATAGAGCCCAAGTCGGCGGGGATGATCGACCAGATCACCAGGAACGCCGGCGTCCTCGGCGACCCAAGGTACCTCTCGCCCCCACTAGCTTACCCATCCATCTTCATTTCAGCTGCTGTCAGTGGCTGCCAGCTTCTATGACAGGTCGGTTTCATATCACCTCCATAACCGGCGGGAGGCCAGAGTCTGAAAGAGGTCAGCCATTGAATATCTCGTCCTTCTAGGTCGTATCAGGAGACCAGGTCTCCTCCCTCCGCCTTCCCTTTGACCTCTGTCCCCACCGCATACCCCCATACTTGGTTCCTTGGTCGGACGGAGAAGCCATTGATGAGCTGATGGGAAAAGAATCTCACGCTCTATGTTCACCCCACCTTATCCAGTCACCGCCGGAGCCACCGGCCGCCGTCCGGCACTCTGACTGGGTACCTTTTACCTAACTCGGAAAAGCAAAGGTTGATGATTGGGGTGGGTAGCTCACACCTTCTGGCTGGGGTCGTTTCCTCGTCGGGTTTCACCAGCCAGTTTCTGTGGATACTCTAGCCCAGCATATCCGAAGACGAAGAGGGGTGAAGGTCTGCTATGCTGGTGGCGGTGGAGTGGTGGCGGAGGAGAGAGGTTGAAGGACTCGGGCACCCTTAATAGTTCGCCGGAGGGGGAGAGACTCCAAGCCTCCGGAGGGCCCCGGCTGGGAAAGGAGATTGAGCTTCCCGTGAATAATTGACTGGGCCCCTGCGACAAGATGATGGCGTTTTCTGCCACAGCTGACAATCCCTTCCTCTCCTCCCTCATTTTCTTCTCTGCCAGAGGATCTGATGCCTGAGCTTCTTGCCATTCAAAAGCCTCTCTCTCTCTCTCTCTCTCTCTCTCTGGTCACGGACTAACGATTGTCTTCACCGGTGGCGAACAGCGGCGGTGAAGGAGAAGGCGGCGGCGGATCGATGGACGGAGGAGGCGGGGACGACGGCGACGGCGCGAGCGGATCATACGGCGGTGAATTCGGCATGGTCTTCGGCGGCGGTCGGGCGAGCGGCGCTGCCCCCACGCGGCCGCCTCCGCTGCTTGTGCCTTGCTCCCTCTCCGTCGCCGTCCTTGCGCTTGCTTTCCCCTGGGCACGGCCGTGAAGATCGGCGGCGCCGCCCTTCGATTTGGGCAGGGGACGACTTCTCCGGCCGTTTTCCAGTAAGCGCAGAGGGTCCGATGAAGGGAAGGGAAGCGAAGGGGAGGGCCCCTTGGGGGAGGCGGCGTGGGCCTCCAGCCGTGGGCCAACAATTGGTAGTTGGGCTTATCGTGGGCCTCTATTGGGGTTCGACATGATATTCCGAGCACGGCTAAGATTATCCAAAATGGAAAAAATAGCATCCTTTTCAGTGAGAGTGATTTAGAGAGAGAGAGAGAAAGAGAGACAGACGTAAAGACAGACCACGGTAACTGGGAGGTATTTGAGAGTTTGACACGTGTATGACTTCCATTGGGTGCTTGCATCGTGGCAGTTTCTCATTTGACAATGGGATTCTGACCTATTCTGTGATCAGAACCGTACTTATCGAGTCGGATCGTTATTGGGCCCAACGGTGGGCCCCACCTTGTCTTGGCTCCTCTCACATGCGGGTCTCTCTCTCTCTCTCTCTCTCTCTCTCTCTCTCTCTCTCTCTCTAAATGATCTCTATCGGCCGATTTTCAGAGGGGCGATCGCTCTGATTGGAGAAAATTAGAGCGATATTTTCCCAAAAAAATGTCTTTATTAAAATTCGAAGTGGGAAGCTGCTACTAAAATCCTGATATCATCATCAGTATTAATTTATAAAAATAATGAAAACGGGAGCGTTTTGAACATCCCAGCTGAGATCCTCGCCACCCATTTCCACCCCTTTGGATTATCACCTTTCCAAGACATGCAAAGACTCGATTTTGGTCGCAAATCCTCTCTCTCTCTCTCTCTCTTGTTCTTCTCTCTCTACTTCTCTGCTGGGAGGACCGCGAATGCGGACGAGCTGCATCCGTCTCGGTGTTTCTTTGTGACGGCCATGGACGCTCTCGCCTCCTGCGTCGTGGCACCGTCTCTGCACCCGCCGCCGCCGTCCTCGCCGGCGTGCCCGCACCACCACCGCCGCCGGCTCTGCGGCACCTTCCTCCTCTCCTCCTCCACACGGGTCGTCCCGCTCGTGGCGGCGCCCCCCAGAAGGAACCCCGTGTTCAGTCCTCGCCGCTCCCCCCGCCGGGCGCCCATCGTCGCCTCGTCGCAGTTCAATGCGGCCAAAGGTCGTCTTCTTCGTCGTCCTCCTCCTCGATCGCCGAGAGCCAGGGGAACCATCGCCGGGGAGCCCTACTTCTCCTCCTCCTCCCCCTTTTTCTTCCTCCTTTCAGGACCACTGGACGTCGATTTCGAGTGAGCCTGGTCTAATTCTGCGTAGAAACAATTACCTGCAGTTCTCACGACGGCGTGGAGAGTCGCAAAGGACGGCGTCGAGGCGGGCGCGAACCTTGTTCCCGTAAGCTCCACCTTTCTCCTTCTCTACAACCAGCTCCTCGTTGAACTCTCGGTCGCCCAAAGTCAACGTGCTTCTCTCGAGATTAACAGGACTCCGTGCCCAGACCGGCGGCCAGGGTTGCTGTCGCCGCAGTCGCCGCCGTGGTGGCCTTGTTCCTGCTCAAGTCCCTGGTCTCCACAGTACTATTTGTGGTGGTATGTCCGATCACTACCCATTACTAGCCTTCACTCCGATGAGCTCTGCACAGTTCGTCCGATTCACGAAAAACCCACATCGAACCTGCTCAAACCCGTTTGAAATCTGATTTTTTCTTCGATTAAATTTGATTTTTCTTCACATAATTCATGCTTATGATCTTCGTTCTTCAGGAGCCCGGAGAGTTCTTATGCTGTGCTGACTTTCTCTCTCTAACAGGCCATGATGGGGCTGATATACTTCGCCTACATCGCCTTCAATGCCAGTGAGGAGGGACCGAGCGATGCTGAGGGGGGCGGCCCTCCCGCCTCCGACGACGAAACCCTAGAAGAAGCCCGGAGGATAATGGAGAAGTATAAGTGACCTCTGTTTATATGAATATTTCCATATTTATTTATTCACGAGGCGGGTAATTCGCTGTCGTACCTCTGTTTTTTGGGTTTTTCTTTTTTGGGTTTCTTCTTCCTCCTCTCGATCACTCGTCCATGGCGACGACGCAGCGGAGGCCCTCGCTTTTCCACATGTAGTCAAACGCCTTGTTGATCTGGGAGAAGGGGACCCTGTCGGTGATGAACTTCTCCACCTCCAGCTCCTGCGACAGAGGTCAAAGTCGGGGAGGCCGGGGAGAAGTCAAAAGTTAAAAGTCAAATGTGGGAGAGTGAAAGAGGGGGGAGAGAGAGAGAGAGAGGGAGAGAGAGAGAGGATGGAGGGTTGACCTCTTGCACTGGTCGGTCGTAGTCCTTCGGGTTGACGAAAGTGGTGACTCCAAACTTCTTGGCTGAGAAGATTTGGAGGGACTGTCAGAATCTGTGGATTGCGAGAAGATGACCCGAGAACCTGATGTTTTCTCCGGGATTCAGGCCGGTTTACCTTCTTCGAATCTGCCCGGATTCAGGTCAACGCCGATGATTCTCGAGACTCCAGCGATCTTTGCGCCTACTGCAGCCTAGAATTGAGATGAAAAATCCATGAAAAATATAAATGGGGAGCGCTCCGTAATCCTTGGAGAAGTTGAAGAATGATCCACTTACTGCAAGTCCTACAGCTCCCAGCCCAAATACTGCAACCGAGGAGCCCTTCTTCGGCTTAGCCACATTCAGTGTGGTTCCAAGTCCTGGAGGATTCAGCAGGCAAAGTCAACGCAGGGCTTCCATAATCGGATCAGACGGACCGGATAAAAATAGTAACGATCGGTCCACATGTCGATATGCCGCAGCTGAGAATGCAGACCTTGTCAAGAGGTGCAGAGGGGTTGATCTTGGCGAGGCAGCCGGAGTGGACGACTGTGTACTCGCTGAAGGTTGACGTGCCGAGAAAGTGATAGATGGGTTCGCCGTTGACCGAGAACCGAGTTTTTCCATCGCCGATCATCACTCCCCTGTCAGCGTTGATCCTCAGGAGTTCACACATGTTGCTCTCTTCTGACTTGCAGTGTGCACAGTAGCCGCACTCCCCAGTAAACACAGGGAGGACATGGTCCCCCGGCTGGAGGTCTGTAACGCCTTCACCAACGCTCTCCACAATCCTGCCGTGATTAGCAGAAAAATGGTCATAATTACAGATTAATTACTAGCTTCAGATATTTATAGCATAATTAATGAAGTCAACGTCATAATTTCAGTTTCTATGAAGGAAACGTGGATATTTTCATGGAATAATGTAAATAAATATATCACAGATTTTTTAAAGAAAAAAACCGCAATAATTGTACCCGGCTGCTTCATGGCCAAAAATGCGAGGAAATAGTGGCGTCTGCCCCTGAAATACAGAAGACCAAGTCTTAGAAAACCATAAATATTAAATTAGATCATGAGTTGTACAATCCTTAAAATTGTTATAAACACATACTCGACGAACCGAAAGCGCCATCTGCATGTAGAGTATATTCCAAGAAATGTATGAGAAGCTTTTACAATTTACCAGTAAAGGCTATGAGAGAACTTGGTGACATTTTCGAAAAAAATCTTGATATTATATGAGAATGATCATCTCAAACAATGCTCAAACGACCGTATTGACCGTTTCCCCTTCGTACCCTATGAAAAAATCCTTCTATTTTTTCTGTATTCATCCTGGTTTTAATATGACAGCAGGACGAAATGATTGTGGATTAAGATCAACGCTGATCCATCGAACTTGTTGAATTTTTTTTCTGTTTGAAACATTGGGTTAAGGTCGGACTTGGGTCAGGCAGTCTCCGATTTCAGTACTGACGAACAAAAACATAGTCTTGGTTCTCACTATGACAAGGATTTGTGATGATCAATCCAAAACTTAATGTTTCTTTAAAAAAAATTCCAAAAATTATGGCAGATTAAAATTATAAGGAGACAGGACGAAGATTAAAGAGGCATACCTTTGATGGTCATGAAACGATACGATGTACGAATTATATATTATAAAACATAGGTTATGCGCAGAATGATTTTGGAAATATAACGGGAACGCAGAATCGGATGCAATTGAAACATTGATATCTCAATGAAAACATTAGGTATCTTCTGAACAATGCGGGTTTCCAATTGCAGTTTTCTTCAGAAAATTTCTTATCTTTCAAAGGCCCATTAGGTGATCCTCCAAGCCTGCAACATCTGCAGAATTCATCGATGCCAGAGAAAAACCTATAGCATGATACCATTGGGAAGAGGAAATCTGTAGGAGCTTCTGTCAATCTTTTGATGGATGGCGATGAAATTACTAAGTTCAGGTCTAGAAGAAGATCGTGACATATGTATATGGGGATGGCATCGAAGCCAGAAGTACCTTGATAATCAATCCCACGGTTGTAAAAAAAACTGAGAGAAGAGAGAAAGCCGTAATGTAGGGAGATGGGAGAAAGTATTCTTCCTCGGATGTTAAGCATGAAGTTGGGAAATCGGTATGAATAGTGTCCAAACAAAAAGATATCAAAGCGATTTTGTTCTATTGTTTTTCTGTAGTTCGTCAGGCAGAACGTTTTTGAAAGCTGATCTTGATGGAGATTTCCCAAAGGATGATGGATTAGGCGGTATGTTTTACCAGTATAAATATGGTCCATATGTTAGCGAGTTTCTCAAGGGTTGAAAGTGAGAAGTTTCATGCGTGGGATTTCAGGGACAAGCATTTTCTATCTGGTCTAAGCAGAAACTAAATCCAAGCTTTTGTTCCTGGTATAGGCTAAGATTGGATGGTTTACACAGGTAACGTTTTTCAATGGATGGAAGCGTATGAAAGAAAGTTTTGGATATAAAATTGTGGGAGTCGATGCTGAATCAATAAACGGGCCTGAGAGTCTGGACTGAGTTGATATTGAGTTGAATTTCGTCTTAGCTTGAGAAGTTCAGACATGAGTCTAGCAACTATTTTGACATGAATCGAATTATTTCTTAGCTTGGGAACTTCAGACATGAGTCTAGCAGCAATTTGAAAGTTTCATGTGGAGATAAAAAGACTAGTAAATTGTATCTGTTTAGGTAGATAAACATAGAAAGTAAGTAGAACTGACGAACAGTCCGACACACCAATAATGACTAGTACCACACTTTCCTACGTCTCTTCTATTTTGATTCGCTTCCTACGAACGGCCAACGAGGAAAATCGATAACAGAATCCTGCCCTTTACAGGATCCATCATGATGCCAATCAAGGACGGCCGTAAGATGAAACAAAACAAGGAGGAGAATACTCCAGAGAAGCAGATTGGACAAAGCAATAAACAGTAACATGGATTGGGTTGATCAGGGGTTGCGGGAGTGCTTGCCTTTGCTTCCCAGAAGTATACGTCGGTGTGGCACGGGGACGTGTACTTGACCTTGATCCGCACCTCCATAGTCTGCGGGGGGGCCACCTCGATCCTCTGTATCACCAGGGGCTTTCCAGCCTCCCACGCCACCGCCGCTGCTCGGTTTCCGCGAACCCGTCGGAAGCACACAGCAAATCGATCAGGGGACGATATCAAAATGACGATTCATCAGAAGCCAAGGAAGAGAAGACGCCGGCAGAGGAAGAGCGATTTCTTCTACCATTGCAAGGGACGACGAGCCCCGCTGTGTTCGCCATGCTCCCACCCTGGTGGTGACAGTGGAACAATCCTCGAAGGAGATAGCTCCGCGAGATTCACCTCTCCTTGAGGCTCTTCTTCTCTGCCTGCTCGACTAAGAGTTCCCACCACCGAAATCTTTATATATGCATCACATTTGTTCGTCGGTCCTCCAAGGCGAGGAGAGAGAAACCGGGGGCGGAGAATAACCAGGCGCTGACACCTGTCGTGTTGGGTGTCGGAATCCAATCAGAGAATCCACGTGGATGCATTCCCGGTCATCGAACCGCATAGAATCAGCGTCCATTATTGATCGTGGGGGGCGGGGGTGTTGAATAACCGAATATGGGATCCAGCAAGCTGATTAAGTATCCGTTACGAGATCGGCTCAGTGCCACCTGGATCGCTCAAGTCGGACACGTGGAGATTCTGAATCATTCAAAATCGGCCCAGTAAGGTTTCTATGGGTTAAATAATCGATGAGCCAGTTGTATCTTCTCTGGGCCGTAAAAAAAAAGGGGACCGGTGGGCTGGATGAAGCCCATTTCTGGCGGCCGATCCAAGCTGCACAAAATTTCGATGAAGTCCAATCAGTTTTACCTTTTCCTTATCTATCCCTGCGGAGGGCCCAGTTTCAGTAGAATTAGTCTCTTTTTACGTTATTCCGAAGTGTAAGGTTCCTTTGTTCCGTAGATCATTCTCGTCGGGGTAAATGAGAAGAATTGAAGGATGGGTTGCTAATTATTCATAGATGTCGGATTAATGGAAATTTTTTTACGAATAATTCCGACGACTCAAGGAGAAAAGGAAGAGTATACCCGACATAATGCAAACTTCAACAGTGTTATCTAATCTGGGCCGTCAAAAATGGACAGTGGGCCCGATGGATCTGGTTCCAGGTGGCAGATCCAAACTGCAAAAGGGAATCGGATCTGGGGATTTGAACCCGACGTGAATCGAACACGCAACCTTCTGATCTGGAGTCAGACGCGCTACCATTGCGCCACGGATCCGAATTAAGAGCTTTGCAGAATTATAAGATATACGTTTTTTAAAGACGGACACTCTGGCATTTTAACCGTTACAGTCAGTGCTCATCTTCCCACCACACCTTGGTCTTGAAACGTATCAGATCTCTCTCTCTCTCTCTCTCGCTCGCCGTGCGAAGGAAACCCCGCCTCAGGGCGTGGCGGACTGCAGGTGGGGGGGGAGGGGGATGGAGGGATCCATCGACGAGGATCCCAAGGGCTCGACAGCCGTCCCCACTGGTAGGGCATTTTATCGCCTTCTTTGCCGCCTCGGGGAAGGGGAACTGTTGAGGGGAGGGGGGGAGCGTTTTTGTTGTAGGTTCTTGTTTTGTTCGGATCACTTTCTAGAAAATTGAAGAAGGTTCGTTGCGTCTGAGGTTTTGATATCGACGGACTCCGCTTCTCCCATAATTTGCCTGAAAGGCTGGCTAAGCTCTAGAATTCTTGGAGTAAGAACATTTCGAGTTTCACGGATAGGGTCTGGGTCTGGGGCTTTGTTTTCCCGAAACAATGGTGGCCGCCAAGCCTTTTTCGCTGCAGCAAATATTTTCCGCTATCTTACTGTCACCTTCGGTAGAGATGCTACAACATATTTATTTCACCTTCTGCGTCGATTTCTCTAGACTTGTTTTTGGTGCTTTAGTTTGTGATATCCATTTTCACATTTATGTAGCCACTGTAAATTTCAGTGGGCGTATTTCAAATATATTAGTGCTTTATATAATACCAAATTTTACCGTCTGGCTGGCAAAGTACTAAAATTGGATGTTAATTTTTCACTGGGTTTTAGTGGGAAGATGTGAACGAATAGAAAGTAACCTGAAGCGATTCATCAGTGGTTGCTTGTAACACTCTTTTAATTGAAAAGTCTCTGGAGGTTATGGTTGCTTTGTATGAAATAAAAGGAATGCATGAAAGTTACCGTGAATGAAGAAAAGGAGGATAGAAAGCATTGATGGATTTAGGAAGATGTTGTGCCAAGTCTCTCCGATATTTTGTCCTTGTTCCTAATCCTCCTGTCCTTCAGCTATGGTAATGGCCCCAGAATATAGATGGTAGATGCGGAGATACATCAACAGAAAGGAACGTATAAATTGCCATCTACCTAGCATCATGCATTTTTTTAGTAGCTACTGTTGAAATTAATCAAAGATTAGGATACGTAAACGATTTGCAATTCACATGTATGCTTCCACGTATGTTAATTTTTTTTTGGAATTTGTGTCACCTAATGCAGCATGTCTGAATTGCTCATTTCGTATTATGTTTAAAGACTTCCAAATTTCGTACCGACTCTGGACGTTTCTCTGCAGCTGTTGCTGATGAACATCTGCCTAGATCGAAGACTATGCCCAAGGATACAAAAGAAGGTGAAAACTCAGAGGCATCTACAAGTCGTCAAAACTTGGGAAGATCAAAAACTGAGAGGCGGAAGCAACATGTTGATTCAGCTGCTCAAATATTTGACGAGAACATTTCTGACAAGAAGAAGGTTTGAACTGTTATTCTCTGGGGCTGTTGCCATCTGCAGGGATAAATAGTCTTTCTCTATCCTGCTTAAGCTTTAACCTTTCTGATTTATAGGAAAGCAGTGAAAACCAACGCCGCATTAATAAAAAAAGGCATTAAATTTTCGGGGAGAAGACTTCATCGCGAATTCATAAAAAGGAATTCGATTCCATAACTAATGCCACTAACTGAACCGTGTCTGGTGACCCAATGTGCCTATCAGAATCCCAAACAAATAAAAGTGAAAATGACCACCCTTTTTGACTTTCTGAATCAATTATGTTGATGAACAGTATCCCCAGTTCGCTGCAAAAGCTCAGTCCCCCAAGTAACCCAATCTATTATTTATTTCATGGATCGATGGCAGACCCCTCAATTATTGGATTTTGCGATGTTATCCATCTTTTTTTCAGGATAATAATAAAAGTTTAATCTAATATTACGAATCAAATTTTAATCAAAGTTTGTGGTTTCTGAGAGATGGATTGATGTTCTTGGCAGCATGCTTTAAATTCATCTTCTCATTAATTTTTATTTCCTGCAATTTTGGAGATGTTTTTCGTGCTACACAAAGTTGTTGATTTGAGCTCCAATATTTCAGCTTAAGATCTTAAATCGCATTGCAACAGTCAAAAGAGATGGTAGTGTAGTGTTTGAAGTACCAGAGAGTGTCAAAGCAGGGTCGCTTGATCTTGGGTCTGAGGACCTCAGTGGCGAGGTTGCTGATGAAGAAACTTTGGACGTGACTGATATACCTCCGTTACAAATAGTAATGCTTATTGTGGGGACACGGGGAGATGTACAACCATTTATTGCCATTGGTAAACGACTGCAGGTTGTTTCCTCATCTCTATTTTTTCTTCACATGGTTATTTACGTTCCAAATTTTGTGATATAAATTTTTGAAGAACTCTTGAGGAGATGAAGGAGAAGATTAGAACGATGGACAATGAGTGAAGAACTCTGGGGAAACAACAAGGGAACTGGCCGAGCCATGGGGTCGCAGCATTTTGGGATTTACCTCATAAAACAACTACAACCTCACTATAGATCTATCTAATGGCAACTTATTACTGGATGCAAGCAGCCCTGTGGTGTCATTGTTCAACAAGGGTATAAGTTTCTACTGAAAAAATATATGTGTACCTTCCTGGTCAGCCAAACCATAATGGATAGTTTTTGCACCATAGTATTTGTTCTGGACGCTCAATAACCTGGCCAAGTTGACCACCTTCTTTTGACATGTTTTGTCATTGCTGAAGAGAAATTTTGGCCCCATTTTTCTGACTTGTCTCCTATTACCATGTGGTAAGCCTGGAAGTGTTGCGGATGAGAGACAGATTCTACACACATGCATGCACACGTACCCGTATACACAGATATATGTATACATATTTGTATAAATTCAGAGAGAGAGAGAGAGAGAGAGAGAGAGAGAGAGAGAGAGATGGGTCATCTCAGAAGAGAAAAGATAGCGTTAGGCTAGTTTGGTCTCACGGCATGCTATTGAAATGCTGTTGACGTGATTAAAACGTTGTGGACATGACAGAAAGAAGGGTGTTATGACCTAATTAAGTTTTTTTGTTAAATAACATCGAGTAAAAAAAGACCAGCACTCTGGTTCATCTGCTTCTTTTGAAAAGCACGTGAAGAAAAGAGGACCTCTGATTATCATTATTGAACTTATTTCATATTTAACGCCCCTAATTTATCTATCAAGTTTAATTAGTTTTACGTTTAATGTGAAATATGAAAATATGTACAAAGGGCCACAGTTTTACATATTTAGTTCAGTGGTCAGTTTTTTTCTTGATGGCTATTACCACATTTGTTGTATCTCACGAATCTGCATTTTCTAAATCGAGATACTTCACCTCAATCCTACAAGAATATACTCGAATGAGAAACTGATGTGATTGTATTTGTCATATTTGTTATTCTGATAATAGCTACAAGTGCACTTCTCTTTCTTTACCTGATAACTATTGATGTGTTTGCATTTTTTTTAATATTTTTCCTTATGTTCATGCAGTTAGAGCAATTATTTTGTTCCATCCCTTCAATCATGTTTCGTAGTTCATTGGACTTCCATAAAAAGAAAGTTGTTTCCTTTGCCAACTCATACGTGATTTTCTTTCAGGACTATGGCCATCGTGTAAGACTAGCAACTCATGCAAATTTTAAAGAATTTGTCTTGACCGCTGGTTTGGAGTTTTACCCCTTGGGGGGTGATCCTGTTGTTCTTGCTGAGTGTGAGTTACTAACTGTATTCTTTTTTTTAGGCTAGTAACATGAGACCACTGAAAGATCAGCTGACATTAATTTTCATTGCATGGCTTTTTTATTTTTTTATAGACATGGTAAAAAACAAAGGGTTTTTACCATCAGCTCCATCAGAAATTCCAGTACAAAGAAAGCAAATGAAAAATATCATATTTTCTTTGCTCGCTGCATGCAAGGATCCTGATGATTCTGGCATTCCTTTCAAGCCGGATGCAATAATTGCCAACCCCCCTGCATATGGTGCGTTTATCTGTCATTATCCTTTGCTTTGGTTATTATTATCATTGTTTTATTTCATTTTGAATTTTATTGACACGAACCGCTCATATGATTGAAAACATAAAATTTATTGGGATGTCAAATGTGGTAGCATTTGATCTTTGTTCTATCAACTCCTGCTAAAATTTATTAACTTCAATTGTGAAGCAGGATAAAGAATTTACATCTTTTTGTAACAATGTGAGTTATCAAATAGAGAATGTATTCAGCATGTTTGTACTTTAACTCATGTTATTTAATTCTCCTGAAGAAATTGTATCAAAATCTTGGCGTGTGTATCCATTATTGGAATCTGAATTTTTAACGTTCACAATATCCTTTTTAAGAAGCACAAGTATTATGTCTACAAAATAGCACATGTGTATCCTTTTGTGGTGTACTTTTTAAAAAAAATAGAAATTTGTATCTCTTCAAAATGGCACATGTGAATATCGTAAAAATATGTTTTAAAATAATCACAATTGATTGATCTTTAAAGAGGCAACTGAGAATCCTGTCATAATATCCTTTTTTAAAATTACTATTCGTACATGTTAAAGATCGTGTTTATCTTTGATCATCTCCGAATGCCTCCCTTCTTTCCTTTCTGCGCCAGCAGCGTACACGAGAGAGATACAGGAAAAAGAAGAAGGCCAAAGCCCCAAATTCTATTATTCACAAATGCTTACATGCTGATTGGTGTTTATACCAACCGGCTGTTATCAAATGGGAGAGGCTGAACCGGTCTGATTCAGTTTGAATCGGTTCAGCCTATGGTTTTATTACAAGGTACAGTGGACAAGAAAGTAAAGGACTAACACCGTAAATCGAAAACATATTTCTAACAGTACATCTTCAAAATATCACTGGCGAATTCTTTCTTTTGTTTAAAATCATGACCTGGCGAGCTGTTCCTGGCACTTCATCACTCTTGTTGCATTTTGATATGTCAAGATTCTTCATTCTCTATACTTTGAGTGATGTTCCTCCATTCCAAGCAGTCGGTAGTTCTCTCCTAGATGTCTTCTTAATCTTTTGGTCGTGTTTTCATCTAGTGTCTTCTTCGTGTCAACTATTGAGGAATAAAACAAGAGTCTCATTATTTCCGTACTTTTTTCGTTGAAGACAATCTTTACTGCCTCAAATGAATCATCATGTCCTGGCTGTCCGTCAAAAAACTTTTCCTCTCTGTCCTCCCTATGTAAGTCATATCTTTCAATTTTCGCCCAGATCGTGTTGCTCTCTACATTCACGTTACAGAGAAGAATAAATAAAATCGCGTTTTATTTTGTTGAGAGGAACAATTAAATGCTTCTGTTTCATTTAGCTCTAAACACCATCCATCTTTCCAACTTTAGGAATTTCCTCTTCGGGAACATGATCAATCATTAGCCCTTTTTTTGTATTATTGAAAGTCTTTGCCTAAAATATCTCCTTATCCCTCATTAGCTTCTTAGATTTTTGAGCGTTCTTTTCAGGACTTGAACAAGCAGAAGAATAGGCTAGTGGTTGCTATCGGTACAAATGGGCAGATGAGGCCCTGCTAAAAATAAATGGGTCAAGAATGTTCCCAATTAAAGACATGCTAATGATGCTCTTGATGTGAAAATAAATAATGAATGCTAATGGATCTTTACGATGTTTCCATTAAATTATGATGTTTATACAATTATCATGAAAATTGGAAAATATTTAGAAGAATATCTTTTCGTAAATTTTAATCTATAAATACGTTGAGATTTTCTTACAAACCTAAGTACTTCGCACATTGAAGTTTGGGCATTTCTATTATTCTTTGTGATTTCAGATATTTGCGACATTCTGATATGTCTTTAATTATGTAATTCTCGTGATCACTGCTGTGTTTCACGGTTCTAGTTACTGATTATGGGAACTCACTGGAGTCTTTGACCGTCTAGTGTCGCATTTGGGTCACCTCTGGGCCCCACCCCTTTTGGGTGGCGGCCAGTTGGTAGCCTGCCTGACCAAAATATTAGAAAACATGGGTCAGGGGTCCATTTGGGCTCCTGATGTAGTTAATCCATGCACATTCTTTACTATACTATAACAATATTTTGGAAAAAAAATTCACCACCAATCAACGCATATATCTTTTTGTATGATTGTAATCTTTAAAAAATGACTTAGAATCATGTCTAGAGAGTATTGTTCACAGAGGCAGGGAATTCAGGGCCGGTCCAGTTTTTGCTTGGAGTTTGAAGGCCTTGAATGTGCAGCTTGTATATATTTATTTTATTTCTTCATCCCGGTTTACATTTCATGCGTTATTATTGGTTGGCTTAGACCCTTGTGATTAATTATCATTGTTTAAGAACATAAAACATGTCACAACCTAAATTTTTGAGTTTCTTCCACATGTATATCCTATTTTAATTTGCATCATTCATGGAACATTGTTTGTCTCCCATTTCTTCTCCTGCCAAGGGCTCTGCCATGGATATACATGTCTCACATGTATATCCAGGTGAAATTTGTAATATTTGTATTTCATGCGCTGTTGGACAGCTTGACTTCATCTCCTGACGTGGACAAATGCTTGTTCAGGGCATACACATGTGGCTGAGGCGCTAAAAATACCGATTCATATATTTTTCACTATGCCTTGGACGTAAGTATTCCAAATTAACTTTATATGAGTGTATTCTATTTTTTGTTGATGCCACTAGATGTGTATATTATGTGATCTTCTGGTCCAGAGTCATCTCTGTATAACATAAGACCGGAAATTTAGCTTATTTTTTCTTTAGTTATGAAGCATGTGTATGTGAACTTGTATTTTTAGCAACTTTATTGTTATCTTATTTATGTCGCTTCCTTGTTTTGCTACCAGGCCCACTGCTCAGTTTCCACATCCCCTTTCCCGTGTTAAACAGCAAGCTGGATATAGAGTGAGATTCCATTCTTCTAGTGCATGTTCCTTCAATAGATCTATTTTTTTAGTATTCTAATGGGTATGCGACCAAAATTCAAAGTGAGATGTGGTAGGAAAGCTTGTATCTTTTCACGTCTGTCAATTGATTTGTAGATTTTTTGCCACATTGACACCTAAATTTTAGGTAGAATCACATCATTCTCAAGTTCCAGCAAGTTCCTCTTGTTTTTTTTGACGCGTCAGATCCCGAATTATTTCCTGTTCTTCTTGTCTACCACGCGACATGATATTATATCATGTCCCTAATTGTTTTTCTGAACTTTTTTTTCGAGGAATTCATGCCCCATAATAATAAGTACTTTCTTCGTCTCCCTCCTAATTATGAACTATTTGGCTGATTTTTTGTTTGGCTTCAGCCTTTCTTATGTCAAGGAGTTTCTACCGGGTACTATTGAAGTTAAATCATTTTGAAAGGGAATCTATTTTTGTTATGGTGGTTCTAAATCATTGTCGCTGTGATTTATCAAAAGGTTCTTAATGAAATGATCATAAAATAATAAGAAACTCGCATCACTTTCTTACATCGTAGGAATGAATCTAGCCATTTGCCATCTGATGATTATATTTGTCATATGGTTTTAGAGACTCCAAGGCAATCATTCTATATTGGTACACTGTTTTGGATCATTTCAGCATTAGAGACTCCTACTCGTACCCCTAAAGTTGTCCAAGGTTTATCGTATAAGATTCAATGTGTTTGCATTGTTGTTTATATTCGTTCATTTAATCAGATTGCTAATGGTATATCAAGGAATTCAGTTCTTTGATTATCTAATTTTCCAAACATTTAATATCTTTGTTTGATTTTAATAAATCCTTAAAGGTTTTATGAAGCACTAGATAAGTTTTGGTGGCCAAAAATATTCAGAGAGAAGTAAGAAGAAAAAAGAAGAATCTAAAGTAGCTGAGTCTTGGATTTTTTTGTACATGTAGATATCCAAAAGCCAACGAGAATTTTTTTTTTCTATTTCACATCATCTCTAGAAAAATTTGAAATTACTGAAACTCGGACTTATGTGAAACAGAATCTCTTAATTTCTCCTTTTCTCTGTATTTTTAGGGCCCGACTCCTAGGAGCCGGATTGGTCTGATTCCGATGTGCCTTATTAAAACATTATTTCTGAGAGTTTTGTTGATGAATTTATATGGGTGAAAATATAGTTGGTATGATCCGACTCAGTTCTTGGAATATGAGTGTTCTAAAGGATTCATATTTAAGCACTGCAATACTCATGTTTTTATGTATAATATCTGGTTGAATCCCCTGCAATAGTTTATGTTTCCCTCGTCTTCTGATAGCATACGACTCTTCCTAGTTTCTTGGTTATACGGACTGCATCTCAGATTAATGACATAGACTATTCCCTGAATTCAACAAGTGAAATTCTTACGTTTATAGTTGTTTAGACTGCCAAAGTTTATCATTTAATTGGAATAATCTTCACCTATTATTTATTTAGCTCAATCTCCTGCAGCTTTCGTACCAAGTAGTTGACTCAATGATTTGGCTTGGAATACGAGATATGATAAATGATTTCAGAAAGAAAAAGTTGAAGCTTCGACCTGTCACATATTTAAGTGGCTCTCAAGGATCTACGTCAGATATTCCTACGGGATATATTTGGAGTCCTCATCTTGTCCCCAAGCCAAAAGGTTAGTGAATTTCCATACATAAATGAGATGTTCAAAGAATATCAGTTGGGAAAACGAAAAATGGTGCATTCCTAACCACGTACGCCAAGCATCAATTTAGATTTCATCTTTTTTGACCTGTCAGCACTTAATTATGACATTGATTATGTGGAGTTCTATGTGGGACATTAATGAAAGACTCATTGTGACCGTGATTTTCGTGTGTGATATTTTGTTCACGTAAAAATGGAATTTTAGTAATGGGCAACCATTAGAAAATATGAATTTGGTTGTCAGTTCTCTAGACTGCGAAATTTCTGTGACGTTTTAAAGTAAAATTTCCCCGCTAAAGGGCCAATTTCAAGTGGGCATCACAAACAAAATTTGAGAATTCTAAAGTTAAATAATTTACTAGCGTTCTTTGATGGTCACGAAAATGAAAACTTCCTTTAATTACTGTTTAAAAATTATAATAGGCTATCAGTGCCATTATTGGTGACCCTGGAGAACATGAGGGTGAGGAGGTTCAATTTTGGGAAATGGCCTGACTTATTCTGTGGCATACTTGCATTATTTTATTAATTATATTTCAATATTTTCCTCCTAGTTTTATGGTTTGAGATGGTGCTGGGAGATCTAAATATCATTCGTCAGTATGTTGATCTTTAACTCTTATGTGAAATTTCGATTGCTGATGTCCAATTTCTGGATGCCTGTAGTGAATTTGGTTTGCTTTCTTATGTGCTTTTTTAAAACCCATTTCTCTATGGTTTTTTTACAGATTGGGGACCCAAAATCGATGTTGTTGGTTTTTGTTTCCTTGACCTGGCATCAAATTATGAACCTCCAGAATCACTGGTGAAATGGCTTGAAGCTGGGGAGAAGCCTATTTATATTGGATTTGGTAGTCTTGTGAGTGTCACTATTCTCACTCACTATGGACATTTTGATATTTTCTTCATATCTTGAACTTCGGGCTGTGCATTTTGGTCAATTTTCCCTAAATATGGAGATATAGGAATACTTTTCATTGTCCTTCAGAAATGTTTGAAGAATTAGTTCTATTATTCGCTTACATTATTTGATTTAGTAATCCAGGCCATATAGCATCTTAGCTAGATTTTGTTCCCTTCGCAAGTTGGTTACAAGTAATGTTTTCCGGTTTGCACATGCCAAGACTCGAGTTCATAACGGTCAAACCTATTATTAGATGTCCGCATATAAAAAATCGATTTTTTGTTCATTTTTCCTTGATTTTGGATGGTGTCAGAATCCATCCATAAGAAAAGAAGTCGAGTCAATGTCTAAGAATAACAGTTTGTAGGAACTTCTCACAGGAATATTGCTTATTGAAGAAGTGGGACAAATGTACAACACTGTCAATCTGGTCAACTTCATTTTTAACTTTATGTATGGAGACATAATAAATGATTTCATTTATTTATAAATTCAGTCAAATGAATTTTAGTATATGTGGCAACATCATTTAAAGAAATGTTTTCCATATTTTTTGGTGTTTGGAAATATAATAAAAGATTAATAATAATAATCAAATTTGGATAATCTTATATAAAAAAGACCAATGTTAAAACTCATAGGTAACCTTACCCGTTGGTAGTATAGTTACTTTTGACAGGTCTATCATGTGCCTAGGGGCAAATAACCCTGTGAAGATTACCAAACACCTCTAGATCTATCTCATGCCATAATGATAAGTTACATCAAGCGCCTAGATATTGAATGAGAACTAAAATAATGATAGATGATGAACATGGTGGTTCCACTACAGGCGACTTATAGTTTGCCTACTGAAGGCATGAAGAGGGTTTATAGCACCACGTAAGGACTCTATCAATCAAATTTTGAGTTGTCTTTATGAGTTCTATGGTAAAATGGGATCGGCATGTTTTAATAATTAAATTCTCTTGTGTATACATAGTGGTTAAGGTTTCTATGCTTAGTTTAAAACTTTTCTGAGTTCTGTGACAGCCTGTCCAAGAACCCCAGAAGATGACAAATATCATTGTGGAGGCATTAGAGAAGACTCAACAGCGGGGCATCATTAATAAGGGTTGGGGTGGTCTTGGAGACTGTAAGTGCTTATTATTCTGGGGCTGACCACCGCATTGTGCTGATTCTCTGCTTAATCTTAAATCTCTTTATTCTTGTGATGTGGGGCAATATGTTTGATGGAATCTCCTGTTCCAGTGGCAGAACCCAAGGATTTTGTGTACCTGCTGGACAATTGCCCCCATGACTGGCTATTTTCACATTGTAAGGCCGTGGTAAGCCATATACGTTTTGTGCTAGTCCGATGGAATGCCCTCCTACCATCCATTAACTCATTGACACTACTTTGCATTTTATCCTAAGATCCGTTGCCTAATCTTTGCCATATTTGGAAGTTTTTCTTCCTTTCGATCCAGTGCATATGTTCTGAAACGGATGATATTTCATATGGATGTCATGTTATATGGATGTTACTCTGAGACAGAGTAATCCATATAAGATGTTATTTTTTCATATACCGCAGAATTTTAATTCGTAGGCTAACATCTAACCTGCTGCTTCATCAAGAGAGAGGGTAAATTATATCGCAGTTCTTTTCTTTTGCATGGCCTTTTTTCCCCGGGAAATTTACTAACCTTAAATGGAAATACTCTATAATTCTGTGTTGTTCCGATTTCTCTTGTGATTCCATGCTGGTCTCCTTAAATGGAAATACCTTAAATGGATCGGCATTATGGTCTGCCTCTGGGCTCTTCCTCATGAAGCCTCTGTGCCTTCAGGTGCATCATGGCGGCGCTGGAACAACAGCTGCCGGTCTCAAAGCCGCTGTAAGCATTCTCATTATTAGTATTATTATTACTATCATTACTATTATTATTGCCATGTTGGATGATATTGGATTTAAGATGCGTCTGTCTATTGACGGTGAGTCAGCTTTTCATGATGCAGTGTCCAACAACGATCGTGCCTTTCTTCGGGGATCAGCCCTTTTGGGGAGAGCAGGTCCATGCTAGAGGCGTTGGCCCGTCTCCCATCCCCGTCGACCAGTTCTCGCTGCCAAAGCTGATCGATGCGATAAATTACATGCTGGATTCCAAGGTGAGACTGTTCGTCGGTGAATCATTATCATATATATATATATATATATAACCCTTCATTAGCAACATTCATGTAACCATTATCATATATAATAGCTCGATTAAAGAACCCTTCAAGAATCTGGCCCCTAACCCAATGAAGGAAACCCATCAAGAACACACACACCTTAGAGAAGAAGTGAGGCCAAACTTAGAGTTTGCAGCATGGACAAGGATGGGATTTATGAGTGAGAAATATAAGTTTCCCACCATCAGAATCAATGGGTTTACTATGGCAAAAACTACTCATGATTTTCTTCTTCTTCTTATTATTATTATTATTTATTTTTTTTTTTTGATTTTCCTGGTTCGAATCAAAGAGCTTTGCTGGTGGTGATGAATATAACATATAATCTACTTCTTGGGATTGTGTTATTTGACAGGTGAAGGAGCGTGCTGTGGAGCTGGCGAAGGCCATGGCGTCGGAGGACGGGGTGAAGGGGGCGGTGATGGCCTTCTTCAAGCATCTCCCCAAGAGGGAGCCGTTGGACCCCAAACCGTCGTCGCCCCCCTCTGATTTCTTCAAGCCCTGTTTCGGCTCCATTGGGAGATGCTTCGGCTGCTCCTGACGAGGATCGATCGAGTGGTCGTCTCCCCTCCACCATGGCCGTGTGTTTTGATTTGATAAATTTCTGCCACATTGCTGGGACAATCTTCTCATATTTTATGATGTATTTAAAGAGGAAGGCCGCGGAGTTTCAGCGATATTCTTGTCGCCGAGTGCCTCAGAAATTGTACCCATGAGAGAGAATAAGAGAGAGAGAGAGAGAGAGAGAGAGGGGAGCGGATTCTCTCTCTAGTTTGGTCATAAACGAGAGGTTGATTCGGGTTTGGATTGATTTTCTTTCCTGGGCTGTGATTTTTGAAAGTGAGAGGCGTGGGTTCTCACGCAATGTCAACAGATGGTTGGCGAAACGGTGAGTACAACTGGTTCTAATCTTTGTATGGTTTGCCAGAAGAAGTAAATCTACGGCGAGATTCGATAACATTTATTCGCTCTGCAAAAAAGTTAGATTCATCATACTGCAAACTTTTATGACGTCTTCTCATTTATATGTCAAATTAAGCGGAATGAATCCAAGGGCCCTCTAGTTTTTATTTCTCGCAGTTATTCTGAATTAATCGCCTCTCTCTCTCTCTCTCTCTCTCTCTCTCTCTCTCTCACTCACTCACTCAGACGCACATTATCGCAGTAGAGGAACCAGAAACCCAACCCGGGTTGCGAGCCCTCCGGGAAATGGCGTCACTGCCGTGTTAAGAGAGAGAGAGAGAGAGAGAGAGAGAGAGAGAGAGAGAGAGAGAGAGAGAGAGAGAGAGAGAGAGAGAGAAGCTTCTTTTGGAAGAGGAGTTCGTGCCTAGGCCGGCGTGGCTCCGAAGCAATGGAGGATTTTCCCATTATTATTATGTTATTATTTAATTATAAACTAACAGGACGGAACGAGTAAGGAAATAAAGTTGGTTGGACTGTACCCATAATATTTAAACAACTTCTAATTCTAGACAATACGTGCCATCTTATTCGGGCGATAATCCTTCTTGGGCATTTATTTTGGTGCTGAGATGTGGGGGGTCAATTATCCTAAAATTTTAACATAACTTGATTACACAAAAGGGTGGCTACGTTTAGGAAGAACATAATCATGCAGATATTCTACTATTTTTAGTGGCACCTTAATTAGGATATCAAGTTACAGTTTGTGAATATTTCTTCCTAAATGAAACTGTATGGGAAATCTTTTGATTCTATTAGTTTAACGGAGTTGAAGACTAAAATTTTTCAATATTTTATTGTGCTTACATATGATTAATAAATAACTAGTGGTCTCATCGATATTCTCAAAATATGTTGCATCCAATCAATGATAAGTTATCTTAGAGCCCATCCCTGATGAACACAAATCTGCTAGGAGCGAATCAAATTTTTTTTTTTTCAATGTGATATTTTTCCTATTTCAAAGATTTACCTGGGGTCAACCCTGAAAATTATGATAGACAAATGTTCTTCACTGATTTTTAATTAACATTGAATTGGGTAACCTGATTTTTCATAGAATGCTTTTTTGTCTCTAATTTCTGTGTAATGGAGATAATAAAAAGTTGGTCTACAAGGTCAAACCAATCACATTAAATAAGACATATAAGTCGTATGTTTTAAATATATTAGCTTACCCTACTCATTAGTAGTTAAATGTGATAATCTAGGTCTGGTTCCTGGGCATCAAAAGACCCGTTGACAAATTAGGAGCTGTTTGATTTCGTCGGCGAATCTCCAAACCTTCATTGAGAAATCCATGATTTTATGTGCGCTTACAACCCCATTGATGATCCTATGACCAAAGTTTTGCCCATTGTGGTTCAATAAATGTTACGGGCTTACCCGCATTGAAACATCTCATCACTCCAGAAAAGCTGTCTGGTCTCGAGTCTATCTGGTCTTTATGCGGAGATATGCTGCGAGTAGGGGAGTTACAGGGGGGGGATATTCACTACCTGCTCTTAACTAAGCAAGTCGTCCGCGGCGACGTTGACGGAGAGGGCCCTCCCGCGCAGCTGCCATGGCGAAAGAGATAAATGTGGGAATCGGCCAGCCGGGATACGCCAATCTGTCGCTAAATCAAGGGGGAGAAGGGAGCAGGACGAAGGTGTTGAGTATGAGAGAGAAGAAGGGAGGTGCAACAGCATCTCCCCGCCAAAGGAAACTCTAGTCCGCCAGTTCAGAATGCCATGAATGTGGGAGGATCTCTCTCTCTCTCTCTCTCTCCCCGGTATCTCTGAGAGAGCGCTCTATAAATAGGGTTACCCATCTCCCTTAGATGTCGTATCTTCTTCCAGGAGGCCTCTTGTCCTCTCTTCTTCTCCTGCTTCTGGCTCGTTTCCCACCGGCATCTCTCTCTCTCTCTCTCTCTCTCTCTGTGGCACTGTTCTCCTTGTTCTGCTTCTTCTGCTTCATCCTCGGGGGTTCTTTATTTCAAGTCTGGCCAAAGGAGAGAATATATTATGATATCTCTTTCCGTTCTCTCATTTTCCTGCCGTTTCTGAGAAGATCTCGTCGACTGGTGCGCGAAACGGGAGTAGGCTGTTTCTTCTACCGTCTTCTGTTTACCCTCTTTGGCATCCCTTCGCCATGGCGAACGACGATGGAGAGAGAAGCTCTCCAGCAACCGGGAAGGAAGAAAGGTCGTATCGCTGCCAGTACTGCTCGAGGAATTTCCCCACTTCCCAGGCTCTGGGGGGGCACCAGAACGCCCACAAGAGAGAGAGGTCCCTGAACAAGGAGAATGACAGCAGCTTCACCGGTCGGCGGCCGCCGTCGCCGCCGGCCCCCAGCCTCTACGACGTCTACGACCTGAACCCTCAGCCGTACTTCGGCACCCTCTCCTGCTTCCATTCCTGGCAGCGCCGCCCGCCGCCGCCGGCCACCGTCTCCCGTCCCTCCCGCCGATCCTATGCGCCGGCGGCCAACCCCTACATCCCTTTGCCCTCCTCCTCCTCCTCCTCCTCCTCCGCCTTCCGCTTCATCGACTCCCCGGCTGCGGATCCTCCGCTACAGCCGGACTTCTACGCCGCAGCCACCGCTGCCCCGTTCTCCACCTTTTCTCCGTCAATGTTTCCGGATCACGACGAGGAGCGGTTTCGGGCATGGCAGAGGAGCGTGAGGGAAGCCCGAGAGAGGCAGATGGCCGTCGTCTCCATAGGCGGCGGCAGCGGTGGCACCGCCGTCGCCAGTAGCGGCGGAGCAGGCGAAGGAGACGGCGGAGGGAACCACCTGGATCTTTCCCTCCATCTGTGAAAGGCGAGGACGACGATGGGAAGGAAGCCGGAAGCGGCGTTTTGGGTTAATTTCCTCGTTCTGCATGCATTTCATAGAAGGATTGGTATCATCGCGGCGTTGTTTCTCTCTCCGTGTCAGCATTTCTTTGTCTTATTACGGTTCCTTTAATATAACAATTATGAGGGTTCGATAAGTAAATGTTCTCTTTTTTGACCCAATTTATCAATAAATATAGATTCGGTCCAAGCCGGTCCGGTCCACCTCCCATTCATTACTATTTTTGGCCTTCTTGACTAGACTCACCTGTCACGTGGTGAACCCCCGCCACACCGCGCTCTCAAAGGAAAAACCGGCCCAACAGAGGATTTGAGAAAGTGGGCGGAAATACTCATCTCGGCCCAAAACGAGACAATCCCAGGCACGTCCTTCCCGCCCGTTCACACACAGATAGAGAGAGAGAGAGAGAGAGAGAGAGAGAGAGAGAGATTCTCCGTTGACCGCGACTCAGCAAATTCGCGGAAAGCTCACATCCTGAGAAAAAGAGGACAGAGAGAAGCCGTCTTTTGTCTCCTCCCTGAGACCGACTTCTTAGCAAACTCACGGAAAGCTCACATCTGCAGAGAGAGAGAGAGAGAGAGAGAGAGAGAGAGAGAGAGAGTCTTCTCTTTCCCCCGGCATACCGCGTTCTTAGCAAACTCGCGGTAAGCTCACATCTTGAGAGACAGGGAGAGAGGGTCTGCCTGCCTTCTCTCTCCTCCTGGCGTACCGCCTTCTTTGCAAACTCGCGGTAAGCTTGTCTTAAGCGAGCGAGAGTGAGAGAGAGAGAGAGGAGTCCACCACCCAGTAAGCTGTCGGCTGGCTCAAATCATCTTCCCGGATCCTGCTAATGGTTCAACGGTTCGCCTTCCCCCTGCTCGGTCGGTGCGTCTGGCAGCCGCAAAGGCGGCAGTTAAGCTGCGGCTTCGCTGTTATGCCACGTGTTTCTCACCTTCTAAACGTTCCCAGACAAAAACTTTTACGTGGCGTCGTCTGCCACCAAGCGCCACTGGATGGTGTGGGGCTAAACGTACGAAGATCCCAAAAGGGCGGCCGCCGAAGTCAAGACCAATCGGATCGGGTCGGATTTGGTCTAACCCACCGGAGACGATAGGAGTCGGTGGCGTGCACGATGTGATCAAGGGGGTGTGAATAACGTCTCCTACGGCATTTTCCCCTTCCGAAGAGGTAAGCAACTGCCGTTAAATTATATTTCGTTATTTTTATTAAAAAAAAGTTTGTAACGGCACGACTCGTGACGTCTCCTCCTCGGGAGTCGGAATCCCAAGTTTCTACAAAAGCTTGGCTTCTAGCTCCGGAGCCTGTGCAGTGATTTCTCTCATCGTCGGATAGGTGGTAATTACCCGAGGAAGCGAGAGATGGATAGAGCGATCAACAGGCAGAGGGTTCTTCTCCAGCACCTCGCCCCTTCGTCGGAGTCGTCGCAGATCGTATCGGTAGCCTCCGCGGTCCTGGGATCCTGGATTTTCCTCCCTGTTTGGCTCTGTAGGCTTGCCATAGACCCTTGGTTTCCGACGGATTTGAGCCCTTAAGGGCACCGGTGATGGATTTCATGCTCTGGATTTGAGGTAGATGAGATCGGATAGTGGCGGTCGTTGATTTTTCTTGTTTAACTTTGGATTTTTGGTTTTTTCTCTTTCGCGAAAGTTGCAAATGATGTCGTTGGATGGATCGGTTCGTCGCGAGGGATGATTTTAGCTTTATCCCGTTTATGTCCCTTCGGCCTTGTACTTGTTTTTCGAGGTTCAAATTTCTGTTGATGTTTTCATTATTTTCGTTGCCTGATCTAAAATTGGGATTCGTTTGCCGGTTGTCGGTCTCAAATTTCACGTATCTCGTGATGGTTTTGATCTAGATGGAAAAAAGTCTCTCGGGTTTTGAAGTTTGCTGCTCCTCGCTCAAAGAAACCGGGTCTTTCATATCTAGGAGTGGAAGTATTATTTTAGAGATGCACAGCTCTGCTAAACTCAGAAGTTATAATCGCAATCGTTTGAGAAACTATTTACTTAGGTATTATGCCCTTTTTCATGGTTATGTATTTAAGGGAGAAAGGGTAATCGTTGCAATACCGAAAATATTTCATCTAAAACAGATTTTCTGCTCCCACGTAAACTGTGTAACCTCTCTCTCTCTCTCTCTATATATATATATATATATATCATTCATCGCTCCCCTAAATAATGAAGCGGCGTAGTGCCACAACCGAATTCATCATCACTTCTAAAAGATGAAGAGCTCTTTTTTTGTGAGAGCATTTAGTGACCCTCCATATTGTCATCAGCTTCTTTTCTTCTGTATTTATTCTCTAATTAACACCTATATGGCATCCAATTAAACAGTTTCATCTTTTGCTGTTTAAATTTTATGCATTTCGACATGATTCCTCACACTGAAATTCATTTTATCGCCAGTCATCCATTTGTGCTGCGGGGGACAGTGCAGCATATGAGAGGAGTGCCTCTTTTGGGGATGACGTTGTGATTGTAGCGTAAGTATCTTTTGTATGCACATTATCCCTCCAAAACTGGAATCGTACCTATTATGTTCACGTTTTTCTTGTCATTTATTATGAAAAAAATTAATCTTAGTGTAAGATTCAGTCGAAAATCCAGTCGTCGAAGATAATTAAAGGTTTTTCAAATCAGTGAGCATTGCCCTTTTGTTAACCTAAGAACCACGAAGCTCGTTCCTGAATTACCTTTGATTTACCCAATGAAACAAAACTGTCCAGTTTTATTTAAGACAGAAGAAATAACTAACAAAAATAAAACTTTGGTTTACCCTTGAAAGTTTGGTGTTCCAATTTCATTATTCCATTGGCCATTTAATTTTCATTTTTTTTTGTTGGAATGTTCTCGATGTATCATCCTTTGACTTTAACTGAATGACAAGTTTCCAACTTGAAAAAAATTGGCTCAAGTTATTCTGAAATTCCCCATGTCTTAAATAGAACTGGACAGTTTGGCTCCAGAAAATTGCAAGTTTCCCGTTGTATTATCGTTTGCCTTAAATTAAATGAGAAAAGTGTGTTGTTCCCATTTTTTTGAATATTTTGATGAAATTCCTTGAATGTTCAATAAAAGTTGACATTGTCGTTCCAGAAATTTGCTTTCCCTTTATCTGTAGAAGTTAACTTCAGTAGCAACATGGAGAGAGGACTTTGGGAAACTGGTTTATTTGACTCATTATCACATAAGCACATGTTTCATGGCTGACCATAAAATGGAGTGTAAATTTCATATCTTGAGAATACTCGTTGTACATATTCCAATTCCTACATGGAAAGATAACAGAAGCCCCCTACCACCAACATATTAGGGAAAAAGAAAGAGAATCAGGTAATTGGCATACTTATGAAGTACCGATAATTTGGGAAAAGGGATGGAAAAGGGATAAGTGTGAGGAAGAACGCATGCCCATATGTGGTGATTTTTGATAGTGGTTGGAATGTTGGATCTCAAGTTACAGCTTTTGGTTGCCTTTTCTACTCTATACTTCGTTTTTTTCTTGTTGGAGGAAGTGGGATGCCATAGCCATTTAAAACGTGCTGATCATTTGTATCTCTATGGGTTTCTCTTCGTCATTAAGCAGAAAGTTTTAGCTCCCCAATCATTTCACTTCTTCATTCTAAATGTCTAAACATCTGTTCAGTTTGCACTGAACCCCTTTTTTGGGTTTCTTTCTAACTCTTCTCTTGTGCCAACAGTGCATATCGGACCCCACTTTGCAAATCAAAGCGTGGTGGCTTCAAGGATACACTTCCTGATGATTTGTTGGCGACTGTTCTCAAGGTTTCTTTTAAACCTCACGTGATCACATTGTTAGGCTACTTTTAGCCCATGCTAATGCAGGTTTTCTTGAGTAATTCTAATTCTCTATTCATTTATTAACTCTAAATCTAGGCCGTACTGGACACATCTAAAATCGACCCAAGTGAAGTCGGCGATATCGTTGTTGGTACGGTCTTAGCTCGAGGTTCACAAAGAGCTAGTGAATGCAGGATGGCAGCTTTCTATGCGGGCTTTCCTGGTACTTACAATTTTCCTCAGCTCAAGAACTTTTGTCATTGAAATGTAATTTAGACTGGCTTCTTTACCTTCTTATTCTAGACACTTCCAGAGGCCTAGGGAAATCCCCAGTGTGAATCCCTAACTTCATGAATTGGACTACAGCCCAAGAAGAGGCTCCCACCCAGAAACCTGTCCTTTTTTCTTTTTTTTTTTCGGTGCATTATGCGGTGCTTGTAATCGATAGACTTTGCCAAATTATCTTGGATCCTTCATTAGACTTAGCTAAGGTTAATTATAGTGATATTCATCATGCAGAAACTGTGCCTCTCAGAACAGTGAACCGCCAATGCTCCTCTGGCCTTCAAGCAGTGGCTGATGTTGTTGCAGCAATAAGAGCCGGGTTTTACGACATCGGTAAGCCTTTCAAGTCATCTAATCATCCCAATCTTGTGCGTCGATCACTCTAATATTGGCAATGGGCGCTGACTTAATTACTGTTAGTAATCTTTTTCTTGATGATTTTCTCCAGGAATTGGCGCTGGCTTGGAGTCAATGACAGCTGATCCAATGGCTTGGGACGGATCCATCAATCCCAAGGTGGTAACCACAGTTTTATGGTAAAACAAACTTGGTGTCTTCTTCAACCCGTGGAAACATTTGTCTCATACTTCACGTCTCTTCAGACTCACATATTCTCCCAAGCCCAAGACTGCCTTCTCCCGATGGGCATTACCTCCGAAAACGTGGCTCATCGCTTCGGCGTCTCCCGCGAAGAGCAGGACCAGGCTGCCGTAAGCGCCAGCTGCCAAGACTCCCCGGAACTCCATAATTTTTCTGTTTTGGGTAGTAATCCCTCTCGGGCAACTGCCCCTTGATGACATGTGCAGGTTGAATCTCACCGGAAGGCGGCCGCCGCAACAGCGGCTGGTAGATTCAAGGATGAGATCATTCCCGTGAAGACAAAGGTAGATAATTTGATTGAAACCCATCTGTTATTCGTCAATGCTTTCTGATACATCCGGTTTTAGATCGTTGACCCCAAAACTGGGGAGGAGAAGGAAGTGACGATCTCCGTTGACGATGGGATTAGGCCCGGTACCTCCCTGTCGGGCCTGGCAAAGCTCAAGCCGGCTTTCAAGAAGGACGGGACCACCACCGCCGGTACCATCGCCGGTTCCCTTTTCCTTGGTTTGGACTTGCTTTGACTCGGGCGTTGTTTGACGTTCTCTGTTTCTATTTTTGGCAGGGAATTCTAGCCAGGTGACAGATGGCGCTGGAGCAGTCCTCCTGATGAAGAGATCCGTGGCTGTGAAGAAGGGGCTTCCCATTCTCGGCGTCTTCAGGTTCTCTTCTCTTCTCTCTCTCTCTCTCTCTCTCTCTCTCCCCCATTGTGGACCTGACCCGGTGGGTTGACTTTCGGTCTGATGATCGTCTCTTCACCGTCGAGAAAATAACCGTGTGAGTCACACAGGAGCTTTGCGGCCGTCGGAGTGGATCCGGCCGTCATGGGCGTGGGGCCCGCCGTGGCGATTCCCGCCGCAGTGAAATCTGCGGGCCTCCAGCTCGACGACATCGATCTCTTCGAGATAAACGAGGTAATTTCCCGTCATCCCCCATCTATTTCACTCCCTCCTCCTCGTAGGCATTCAGCTCGACCTGCCTTCTATTGCTTCCGTCCAGGCGTTCGCCTCCCAATTCGTCTACTGCGCCAAGAAGCTCGAGCTGGATCCGTCCAAAATAAATGTCAACGGTGGGGCCATTGCCCTTGGTCATCCACTCGGCGCGACTGGTATCTCTCTCTCTCTCTCTCTCTCTCTCTCTCGTTGGTGATTAGCAAGGCCCGGACCGGCCCTAGCACCCTCAATGGGCACTGCTGATATTTGATTTATTTTTCCTAAAAATAATTATAATCCGTCTAATTTATTCAGGGGCCCGTTGTGTGGCGACGCTGTTGCATGAAATGAAGCGCAGGGGCAGAGACTGCCGCTTTGGTGTCGTCTCCATGTGCATAGGTCCCTCTCTCTCTCTCTCTCGCTCTCGCTCTCGCTATATACATACATATATATATATATTATTTTTAATTTATTAGTTCGTTAGTTATTTAATTAATTAATGGGGATGAATGACAGGCACGGGAATGGGTGCGGCGGCTGTCTTCGAGAGGGGGGACGCGGTGGACCAGCTCACGAACGTCAAGGGATTTTAATTTCTAGGGATCGGGCCCCACAAAAATGAAGTTAAAGAGGAGCTAGTGAAATGACTCTACGAATAAAGGTCGTTGGTTTGACTCTACCGCTGTTTGACCGATTGAATGGGCTCCTTTTATATTCGAATAAAAGGAAACGACGCGCCACGTCGGATAGGCTCGAATGCCGGAGGGCGACTATTCTGGTGGGCCTCCACCCTCTCTCTCCCATTGTCGTGGAAAATACCCAAATTGCCCTGCGGGGGCCATTACATCGGGGTCCTTCCATTGGACGGTTATGATTGCGGCACATTTCCGGCATCATTTGGTCCCGTTCTTACCATATCTGGACGGCCATCCTTCAGCCCATGACCCGAATCCGGTTACTATTAATTAATGGGGGGAATGGGCCCCACATAAAGCCCTCCCGCCCCACGACGATCAGTACCGCCACCATGAGAGCGCAGCAATAGAGAGGGGGGGGGAAGAGGGGGGTACAGTGGCAGCGGCTGACAGCGCCTCCACCGCCTTCTTTCCTCCTTCCGCCACGACCACACCGCCACCTTCGTGTCGTCTTCTCCCCATTCGGTGGCTGCTCTCGTTCTTCTTCCCCTCTGTGGAGGAAGCCGCTGAGGTGGCGGAGCAGGACTGCAGGTCCGGAGGTTGCGTCCGATATGCCGTCCTTCCAGGCGGCCAAGGATGCCGGGGGCATCAGCCGGCTGGCGGTGGCGGAAGAGGAAGAGGCTGGTCAGCATCGCGATGGGGAGGAGGCGGAGCTGGAGTTGGGGCTGAGCCTGGGAGGGAAGATCGCTACCAGTGGGAGAACCCTGAGGAGCGGCGGCGCAAGGTTGCCGTGGGGCGATTGTTGTAGGATACTCACCGCTGAGGATTTTCCTCCCATTTTGGCCTCCCAAGGTTCGCCGATTTCATCTTCGTCGTCGACCGCCTCCTCGTCTCCATCGGTGGGCAGAGGCCATCGCGGAGGCTGTTCTGGAGCGGCGGGGAACAAGAGAACTGCAGATTCCGTGGCTCCCAATGTCGGATCTCAGAGGCCGAGGTATGCCCCCTTCTCTCTCCCTTTTTCTTTGGTGAATATAAAACTGCTTAAATCTTGATGTGTGTGTGTGTGGCACACGACTTGAAATTATTTCTTAATTCTTTTTATGCCGTCTTGATCTTGGAATTAATTTTGCTTTCATCTGTTTTCTGGCGATATCTCCTTACGGTGTTTCTCGCTGGGATTTCATCCTTTTCTTGCGCCGATCTGAAGTTTCACTTCTCTGATTCATGTTGATGTGAATACCTTTTGAATTTCTACCATCTCTGTTCATTGATTCTATCCCGATCGGATGATTCTTCTTTCGATTTTACGTTTCCCTGATTCACTCTCGAAATGTTATGTAGCGGCCAAGTGGTGGGGTGGCCGCCAGTCAGGACGTATCGGATGAACAGCGTGATCAACCACTCCAAGGACAGCTCCGAAGGAAACAACAACGAGAAAGACTGCAGCAATGGCGCTAGCCGCTGCAAGATCACTGGTCACGCGGTTAACATCCCCCGCAGCGCCACCAAGGAGATGGGTTCTCACCAACAGCAGGCGAAGAAGGGGCCAATTGGGGGTTCTCTGTTCGTGAAGGTCAATATGGATGGAATGCCCATCGGGAGGAAGGTGGACCTCAACTCTCACCACACATATGAAGCCCTTGCCATGGCGCTGGAGGAGATGTTTCAGAGCCGCAACTCTGTGGACAGATCTATCAGTTGGGGGGCATCCTCTTCGACCTCTCTCATCCCTGCTTTGTCCTCACGTCTTGATTAACATGTTTTCTGATGTCAGGAACCTGGAAGAAGGCGAATCTGCTGGACGGCTCCTCTGGTTTCATCCTAACATATGAAGACAAGGATGGGGACTGGATGCTCGTCGGTGACGTTCCGTGGGGGTATGGCTTTCCTTCCCTTCCACATTGCTCCATGTCCTTCTCTCTTTTCACTCTGATTTTACAGAGGAATTCCTGTGAACGCTTCACCGACAAGGTGAGTTCTTGACTTCACAATCTGTTCATAGGCTTGATATCTTGAAGGCTCATGCTTGTCATAACATGGTCCATGGAATCTGCCCCTGTAACCATGGTAGTGAGTGGGCGCAAGGTCAACGTGTTACTAAAGGCTGATGGTTTTTTTTTCCACTTCATCTTTGTCGAATAAATCTTCCTTCCTTCTGATGGTTCCTGGGGCAGCCATCTTCTGATTTAAAATCCGCCTTAGTTTATCCTCAATTTCTCCAGCCGGATCATCAGTACCTTGGTTCCTCAGCTGCATCCTCGGGGAGATGTTTTATCTATCTGGCTCTGCTCCATCGTCTTGTTCTTGAATGCTGTGATCTTTATCTCGCAGGATGTTCTTGAGCACAGTGCAGCGACTCAGAATCATGAGAGTACCGGATGTTCGTGGACTTGGTAACTACTGGAACTAGTATCCGCCCTGGTTTTCTGTCTAGACTGAGGCTCATTCTGGTTTCGGGTAAGGCTTATGCAGTCCCCCTGGGATCACTTACCCTCCTTGATACCCTATATTCCGAGAAATTTGTCCTCACGATCATGCGACCGTGGCTACCCACAGGAGGATTGTTAGTCAAACTTCTGAGCAGGCAATCTGTAAATTTTGTTAACGTTTTTTAATTTTTCGTAATAACTTTTTTTCTTCTATTTTGGGAGTACAATGACACTGATAACCCAAATATATTCTATTCCTTGGATGCTAGCATCCGTCCTTCGTCTTGAACTCGCTATCTGGATGATTTAACGCTTCATCTTGTTTCTTTTCTTTGTTGAGAGCTCTTAGTTGGCCTTCTGTTGCAGGACCGGGCTTCGACCCTTGGAGGTCATTGGGTCGAGGAACAATCGCGATCTCGCCCATAGAACCTCCAGCTCAGCATAATCAATCAAAACAAGAATATCTTTGTTAAATGCAAAGAATGATGAAAGAGTAAGCCGTTGCTAACCTCGCCTTTTCTGAGAATTTTCCACCTTCTGGTCTAAATTTGATGTCAATATTTCTGGTGCCCTCTTTTTTTTTTCTGGAGCTCTGTAAATATGCTTATTCTAATGGGTTTTCCACGTGGACCATGAAAGTCTCTCTCTCTCTCTCTCTCTCTCTCTCTCTCTCTCTCTCTCTCTCTCTCTCTCATACGATTGCTGCTTTGTAAGCCAAGCATTTTGCGGTGCTCATTTCATTAATCACATCGATAGCATTTCGCCTTAATTACAAGAATCATCTTCAAAAATGTCAAGACAGTCTTAAGTGTCGGTGGTAATCACAAAAAAATCTCAATAAAAAATTCAAATATGAATAATATTTTATTCTAGAATAATGTATCAAAGTATTTTGGAGATGTGGTATTAATGAATGTTTACCTCATAAATCACTGACTAGCCTGAGTATTGTAACTTAAAAGTCCCCTAGAGGTTGTATCACACCATTACTCACATATTCAATTAAGAACTAACTTGATTCTAAGGATATTTGAATGTGTGGTATGTTCACAATCCAGATCAAGTCAAATAGAAGTTTGATCTATGTTTACTAAAATAAGTTGTTATGAGATACAAGAACTATAAGAAATGACATAAATGTTATCGTTCTTTATCAAAGATATATTTTATTTCAATTGATGTAACCTTTTGTGAACATGAATTCTTTTTTAATAGTAAAGAAAAATTTCTTAATTGAGAAAATTTTCTTAATTGAGAAAAAATACTTAAATATGATGGTGGAAAACTAAAATTTAGAAACTTCTTATTACCGATATCACCTTTACAAGAACCTATGCTTGTAAATGTGGCCTTTGAGGAACCTCTACTTGATATGTAATCTCTAGGCTCTAAGAATATCTAAGAAAATCTTATTCAATTCTCTACATTAGAAGGAATGCTCCAGATTTACTTATCACTCCTAGGAAAGAAAAGAAGAAAAAGAAGAAATGGTTTAATACCTAATGTTTTTAATTTATAAATTTATCCCTTTTAAAGATTTATCTTTATATATATAATTTCTTACTTCTCTTAATGCCTATCTATCTTATCTGAAAAAAAAAAAACTATATTGTGAAGAATAGAAAGAAAAGATGAACAAGGAGATGAAGTCATTAAACACAAAATCAAAATTGAGAACTAGTCAAGTTACTACAAGGAAAGAAAAAAATCGGATGTAAATGTATGTATGCCATTAAATATAAAACTGATGGGACATTAGAAAGATATAAAACTAGATGGGTAGCTAAATGATACAGACAAACTCATGTGATAATTATTTGGATAAAAAGTGGCAAAGATGGATATTATTAGAACTTTACTTTCTTTTGTACTTAATTGTTATAAAAAAAATTAAATGATTTCAACTACATCAAATGATGGTTCAAATTAGTCAAGATTCCCCAACCACCTCTTTGTGGAGTTGGTTCATTATATAGGCTTGTGATTCGACTTTGATCATTATGGACTGGTACCAAACAACCTTGATACAAAAATATATTTATATATAGAGAACTTAAAAAATAAATTTATATAGATGTTCCATGAAGATTTGAAATCAACTCCAAGAATGATGTAGTTTATAAATTAAATTTTCTTTTATCTGGGCTCAAGTAATCCTTAAGAACTTGGTTTATGTAATTCACAAAAGTGATGTGAGAGATAGGTGATGTACTTAGTAATAGAGACTACTCTATCTATTAATCACTCATCATTATGAGAATATATTTTCAAGTGATCTTGATTTATTTTGTTTATGAGAGAGGGAACTTGAATATAGAAGGTAGTGCAGACTTATATTCATCTCAAACATCTCAATAAAATCGATGTGGGAATAAAACACAGACATAATATATTGACAAAATCATATCAAAAAGATCCTTATGTTATGGGTAATGTAGTTACAGTTTACTATTTTAAGGCTATTTTGGTAATTAGTTACACCTGTGTAGTTAGGCAATCAACAAAGGTTCAAACCTCACAAACATAAAAAATCATAGCTTAATTATGGTTTAACTATATGATTTTCTTGTACAATATTGACTAATGATAATTACAAATCATTTTTAATAACTAACTAAAAGATTTAGATATAAAAGTCATGAATCATTCAAAAATTCATTTTTGATTGGTTGACGAATGTGTCCTTATTGAGAATAATGTGATTGAATAATAGACTAATTATAACCTTTTTCAATTGTTCTAAATGTTGATATAAGGATAAAGCTCCTTAAGATGCACCCCACCTCCCTTTAACTTAACTCTACTAAATGATAGCCACTAGGGACTCATCATCATTGAACTTCTATTCCACCAAGTGATAATTATTAGCAACACTTCATCCACCTCTACCTTTGTCCTCTAAACTTCACATAGAAATCTAGAGAGTATCCATGTTGAACACATCCAAAGAGAGCTTTTGAAGTAATAGATATTACTTGAAGATCATTTTAAACACTTAAAATTTTCAGCAATCATTGTTGTGTCGTTGAAACTCTATCTTTAGTATTTTATACTTGATCAATCTTTAAATTAATAATTTTTTATTTAAATTGAAGTTTGAAAATTCTTCTTTAATCCATTATGATTCATTTGACATTTCCAAATCTTAATTTTACTAATTAAATTATATGTAATTATTTATGTAGTATTTTCAAGCATAACTCTATTTTCATCTAAATCATTGTTCTTCAAGCACTAACATTAGGATTCAAATTTTCTCATTTCCTCTAATTTTTAAATAATTTTTCTTATGATTTTTTAGCCCAAAAGTTTTGAGAAAAATTGTAAAATTTTACATGATATTGTCTTAGATTACTATGTAAAATTATATTTGATATATTTGTTCATAAATATATATATAATATTTTCTAGTTTTATAAAATTTAAATTTATTACATAATGATTAAGTCACGTCAGTCATCATACACTTGTCATATATCTTAGCAACTAGTAGATCTTTTTACCAAAGAATTAGGTGGACTAACTTTTAGATGCTCACCTCCAAATTGAGATTGGATGATGTCTATTCACTAATTTGAGGTAACATTTATACAAAAAATATTTTTCATTTAGATATAGGTCTATTATATTCTTGCTTTTATTTCTTTTCTATTTGGGTGTGTTTAATCCAGTTTTGGTAAAAGTGAAACTCACTAATGAAATATGACCAACTAGGATTACTTTGATAAAAATATATGTATATGTTTTCTAATTAAATTAATCATACATATCCGTCTTTATCTTTCTCTTTCTTCTCTCACAAGTCAATGACTCTGTACACACCAGCTCCCGCCGGCTGCTGGCATTGAGCTGCCACCACCTTTGATGACCAACGACCTATGCAATGTCAATAGTCTTGTCATTTTTATTATGCCTTCTCTATAATATGCCACATGCTGTCATATGTCGCTTTGGATATAATGTTTCTCACTTGGCACTTTCATGTGTATTAATATATCTTCACTCCGTGTTGGGTATATTGCCAAGTTTTGGCACCTATTTGGTGCCTTAACCTACAAAAAGTTTAATCATTTTTTCTCTTCTAATTAAAGATGGGTCACCACTTTCTTTCTCATCTATTTATTCTAAAATCAATTATATGATCTATAATTTTATTCAACCTCATGCTCGTATCAATTTTGACATCTAATTTCTTCATTTGGCACCTATTTACAACATAAAACTACTAACTAATGATCATAATTGGTTAAAGAAACATTAATAAATCTGAAAAACAAACATCTATACCATTAAACGGATAGGCTATGCTAGGTTTAATTACGGACTTAATACTTAGGAGCCAACCGCATTTATAAAAGAAAGATGACCATGAGTTAGAGAGAGTGTAAAATGAGGAGAGGACCGCTTATTTATGGAGCTCAACAGCTCCATAAATAAGCGGTCCTCTCTTGGAGTGTAAAATGAGAAAGATGCTCAACAGCTCGCTCAGATCAACCATGCCCTCGAGCTCCAGAGGCACATGAGGATTGAGAGATTCGAAACCTGGAGGGTAATCCAAGAGAGCACATCACCTCTCTTGGAGCTCGCATCTCTGGACTACAACGTGGTTCAATCACAACTCCAAGAGGAGCTGACGGAGGTGATAGGTGTTGAAGACGCAAATGTCCCAGAAAGAAACAAGAACACGGAAGAAGTGAATAGAAAATGCACCAAATTGAATGCGCAAATGTCCCAGTTTTTCGTCGAACACTTAGCCCTCTATTTAGGGGGCCAATCAGAGGTGAAGAGAGGATGAGAGTAACGGCCGCTCAAGAAGCTGGCACCGCATCTCATGTGGCCGATTATCTGCCGTTATAACTCCAAGAGATGTGCGGGTATGATTTACACCCAAATGTTTCTCGATGGAGAGTTCGCCGGAGATGGCGAGCAGCGAAGGAGCTGCTCCAGCTCCTTCATTCTCCTCCTTGCTCCTGCTCCTCCGTGAGAAGATTCCGCACACCCAGATGCTGTCGCATTTCTATGAACTTCTGCCTTCCAAGTGCCTTAGTGAGAATATCAACTAATTGATCCTCCGTCTTGACGTAATGTACTTCGACCTTTTTGTCTTCAACACATTGACGAATGAAGTGATATCTTGTGTCAATGTGCTTTGTACGATTGTGGTGGACAGGATTCTTGCTCAGATAATGGCTGATTGATTGTCCACCATCAATTTTACTGCCTTCATTTTTTCCCCTTTCATCTCACTAATCAAGCAACTCAACCACACACCTTGACAAGCAGCTGCCGTAGCTGCAATGTATTCAGCTTTGCACGAGGATATGACAACTCTTTTCTGCTTCTGAGATGACCAGCTGATTGCTATGCCTCGAAGGAAATAGATGTGACCAGAGGTGCTCTTTCAATCATCTGCGTCTCCTGCAAAGTCACTGTCGCTGAAGCCAATTAATTCAGAATTCAATCCACCTTTCTTGTAGAAAAGTCCATAATCGACATCCATAATCGACAGTCCCCTTCACATATCTGAGAATCCGCTTAACTCCACTGAGATGCTCCGAAGTAGGATTCTTCATGAACCTGCTCAATACTCCCACATAGTACAGCAAATCGGGTCTTGAGTGGGTTAGGTACCTCAGACTCCCGATTAGGCTTCTAAAATTTGTTAAGTCCACTCTTGGGCTTCCTTCATTTAGAGTGAATTTAACTCGGGCTTCAAGTGGTGTGAACACCAGATTGCAATCTTCCATCCTCGCATGCTCCAATATTTTAAAGGCATAAGCCTTCTGAGCGAAAAAAATGAAGTCATTACTATGTACGATCTTGAGTCCTAGATAGGAACTTAGTGATCCAAGATCACTCATTTCAAATTTCTCCTTCATCCTTGCCTTGAAGACTTCTTTGCACTAGGTGGTAGAACCTGTGATTATTAAGTCATCAACTTAAACCTCGATAATTAAGACTTTTCTACTCGATTCTTGAGATAGAGAGCTTGCTCATGATTGCTCTTAGCAAATCTAAGAGAGGTCAGACACTCGTGGAGCTTGAACTATTGGGCCCTTGGAGCTTGCTTCAAACCATACAATGCCTTTTTTAATTGTAAAATAGAGCCTTCTCTGCCTTCCACAGTGAACCCATCAGGCTGCTTTATATAGATTTCTTCTTCGAGCTCCCTATTCAAGAAGGCCGACTTGACATCAAGGTGATGAAGAATCCATCCTCTTAAAGCTGTTAAGGCAATTAGAGCTCTTATAGACTCAAAGCAGACCATTGGTGTGAATGCCTCCTTGTAGTCAATCCCATGCCTTTGTGAGTATCCCTTCACAACCAGCTAAGCTTTGTGTTTGACGATCTCTCCTTGTGGGTTCTTCTTGACTTTGAAGATCCACTTTAGCCCAATTGGCTTACAATTATCCAAGGGTGACACCAGCTCCCACGTTTGACTTCAATTAATGGCCTGCATTTCCTCCTTCATGGCTCTCCTCCATACTTCCTCTCGAGAAGCTTTTGAGTAGGAGAATAGTTCTTCACATGTTAGCAAGTAAACCTGATAATTCGGTGGAATTGAAGTAGTCTCTAAGTAAATTTCAGCAATATACTTGTATTTGTGAGGCTGACTTTCTTCAGACTCATTCTAAGAGACTGAAGTCTCCTCCCAAGGTGCAAACAACTCCATATCTTCAGCTTCAGCATCAGAGTCTTCTTCCATACCCTAATTAGATAGAAAATCAAGTACGAAGATATAATTAGTGGAAATTTCACCTTTCTTCATCTAATCTCACGTGCAATTTTCTTCAAAAATGACATCTCAATTGATATTGACTTTGCCATTAACCGGGTTATAACATCTTGAAGCCCACCTCATATCTAATGAAGACCATAGGTTGACTTCGGTCTTCCAACTTGCTTTGTGATCCTCTAGTGCATTTCATATGGACAATTGAGCCAAAGACTCAAGTGGTCAATGTGGGGTTTTCTCTCAGTCCACTTCTCATAAGGAGTCAATCCCTATAAACTTTTAGCAAGGAGTGATTAAGGATGTAAATAGTAGTGTTTACTACTTCTCCCCACAGCTCTTGAGACAACTCCTTTGCTTTCAACATGCTTTAGACTATGGACATCATAGTCTGGTTCTTCCTTCACCACTCCATTCTATTGAGGTGAGTAAGGGGCTGTTAGTTGTCTCTTAATGTCCTGTGAGATACAATAATTGTCAAATTCATCAGACATAAATTCTCCTCCTCTATTTGATCTGAAGTTTTTGATCTTCACACCCTTCTTTGTCTTTACCAAAGTCTTGAATCGCTTAAATGTAGAAAATACATTGAAATTTTACTTCAACATAGCCACCCACATTACACAAGAGTAATAATTGATAATAAGAAGGAAATACCTACTTGTCCCTAAGGTTGGTGGGGTAATGGGCCTGTAAATATCAGCATTAATAAGTTCTAGAGGTTTAGAAGCTCTGGATGTAGTGGGTTGGGGAAATGGTGACTGGTGTTGCTTTGATATGAGGCAACAGTTGACCATCTCTTTCAAAGAGTGAAAGCTAAGATTTCCAGACCAAGAATGTCACAACCATTTCTCATAATTGTGTTAGTAGTAAGCAAACACTAATCCACCACATTTAATTTCAGCAAATAGAGTCTACCTTCAGATCTCTGAACTTCAATGAACAGACAACTATCACAGTCAAAAATAGTCAACTGACCCCCATACATCATCATACAACAGCCTTTCTCATCCAAGCAACTGAGACTAAGGATGTTAGCCACCAATTGAGGGACAAATAGCACATTAGGAAGCCAAAGCAGTCCACCATCTTTCTAATTAATCAAAATATTACTTCTGCCTTCAATATGGACCTTTGAATTATTGTTAAATTTGACAAATCCAGATGTAGTTTCATCCAAGTCCTCGAAGACGTTAAGGAAAAAGTGATTCTCTTCTTAATTATCGAGAGTATGAAAGCTAAGGCTTGTTAGTGATTGGAATTGTTCTTTCCCCTTCCCTTATACAAAAAAGATTGAGAGGGGCCCGAACCAAACTAAGAACGAAAACAAAATCCTTTCGACTCACTCTTGTATGGCTCACCCTTGAGCCTTGGGTGGGTCTTTATCTCTTGTTCTATTCCCCCCACGATAAAGATGCACAGAAGAAAGCGTGTTTGTTAAGTGTTTGTTGTCTCGATAGAGAGTAATACAATCTTTCCCCTATTATATTGAATCAATATAAAAAGAGGTTTGTGCTATTGTGTCCTATTGTTTGATCTAATATTAACTAGGGACGAGCCTTGACTTCCATAGGTCCTTGGTTCGACTTCCTAATGAGAATTGAGGTCCTAGCTTTTAATAAAGTGGAGTGGGTCCAATTTCTCATACTTGTTCAACTGTCAACCCCTTCTTATGTTAGGGGTCTCTTGCTTTTGCTAAATCTATAGAGAGATACTATGAGTCCTCCATCCTAGATTCCCTGTTTCCTCTTTATATTCTTGATCTAACATCTGGAGCTTATTAGGGCCTTCAATATTTCTCTCTGATTGTGCTCCTTCTACTACTACAATTATTTTATTGATCTCCTCTTTTGGAAACAAATTTTCGGTGGCCAAACATTTAATTTGTTGCTCCAATATCAAGATACTAGAGATTGGGATTAGAGAATATCCTCTAGAAGCCCTAAAGTAGTAGGCTATTGTGTTCGTCTACAATTGCCACCAGAAACAAAGATTCTGTTGTTAATGCAAAAGAATCAAACACATATGCATGTTCTTCCTTTTCCTTCTTTGCACTTTGACACTTATAAGCAAAGTGTCATACTTCTCGCAATTGTGACATTGAATTTGTGATTTATTGAATTGTTTTTTCTTGTTGTTAGGAGGTAGATGTCAACTATGGCCACGGCCTTTGCCTTTGCTGCAGCCATAGTATCTACCTCTTTAACAAGATGAGGACTCCTCCTCACTTGAGAATTTGGCTTTGCTCAGTGCTCTAGCTAGCAATGCTTGCTCTTCTTCTTGTGGTTCTCACTCCTTGAGCCACAACTCGTGGATGGTCAAAGAACCAATTACTTCATCTAGACTGATTTTGTCCAAATTGTTGTATTGCTCCAAAGACAAGGTGAGTGCATTGAATTTTGAACGTGTTGTCCACAGAGGTCGCTGCACCACCTCTCTTTCTTCCATTATCTCACCCAAGTTCCAAAGTTTCGACACAAGACTGGTGAATTTCATTGCAAAATCCACCACCACTTCATTCTTTTCTATTGTGAGAATTTCATACTCACATTTCAGGCCTTGAATTCTTGACTAAATTACTTTATTCATGCCAAGATTTTACAAATAAAAAATCTCCGACTTGCACCCAAGGAGGCCTATCTCCTGAAGCATGTTGAGGGCATACTTGTGCTAAGTGAGGGTGACCTTTCCGTCTTGATATGTAAACTCAATCCTAAGAAAATACCACGGAGTCTCTAAGTCATGAATGTTATGGTGTTGCTGCAAGTAAGCTTTGGTAGTAGAGATGCCGGCCTCATCACTTTTAGTTACAAGAATGTTGTCGACATAGACTACAAAAATACTAATACCATCCTCTGTCTTCTTTATGAGCACGATGGGGTCTATAGTGTAAGAGGTAAAGCTAAAGGTGGTGAATAAACCACTAAACTTGACAAACTAAGCACATGGACTCTACTTAAACTCATAAATAGCATGTTGCAAGAGACACACCTTCAATGACTCTCCTTGAACAACATATCCAATCAGTTGTTCCATAAAGACTTGCTTCATGAGATCACCATAGAGAAAGATGCTAGAAATATCTAATTAGTGGAGAGACCATACTTGATTGACGACAAGAGAGAGTAGCATGTGGACGAAGTTAAGGTGGACGATAGGAAAGAACATCTCAATATAGTCAATCTCATATACTTATGTAAAGCCTTGAGCAACTAGACGAGCTTTGTGACGAGTGATGGAGCCATCCGAGTGATACTTGATAGTAAACACCCATTTACACGTCACCATGTTGGCATCAGTCGCATACGGAACTAAATCTTAAATCTTCTGAGCAATCAATGCAGCTACCTTTGAATCCATGGCCGCCTTCTATGCAAGTACTTGTGCAGTCTCAACATATGATTGCGAAAGTGACTTGGAGGCCACAAAGAGAGCAAAGGCATGAAAGGAGGGAGAAAGACGATCATAAGAGATAAATTAGAAGATGGGATAGTAGGTGCAAGCGCATGTACCTTTGCAGAGGATAATAAAGAGATGAAAGTCATTAGGTACAGTAGTGACTAAAGGCGCAGAGTGGATCGTAGGAGAGGAAGAAGATGATACTACATCCAGAGTAGGAGGAGCCATGAGAGACATGGGCCGAAGAGAGGTGGGCGTGAGTAATGACCCTAAAGAGAGTGGACAGGAGGGAATAAAAGAGAGGGTTTGCAAGAACCATCAACACAGGGAACCCAAGTGGAGGAGATGTAGTGGCCTAAGGAGGAGTCAAAATAAGGGAGAAGAAAGGAGACTCCTCATGAAAAGTAACATTGGCCAAGGTCACATAGTGATAGGTATTGAGAAAGTAGACTCGATAACTCTTTCGTATATGAGAGTAGTCAACAAAGATCCTTTTATGACCACGAGAGATAAGTTTAGAAAAAGAAGGAGATAAATCTTAGATGAAGGCGGTGCATCCAAAGACCTAAAGGGAAGAGAAAAAAGAGGAGAATTAGGGATTAAGAGATGGACAAAAATGACCCCTTCAAGAGGAGCTAAGGGAAGTTGATTTTAGAGGTAAGTGGTAGTCATAAAGATGTCAGTCTAACGATAGTGAGAGACATTCATGTCAAGAAAAAGTGTGCGAGTGATGTCAAGGAGCTGGTGATGTTTACATTTGACAACATCATTCTACTGTGAAGTGTGAGGACATGTGGTATGGTGAAAGATGCCACAATCATTGCAAAAGGTGTAGAGAGATATTTTAACAAACTCAAGAGTATTATTAGTACAAAGAATCTTAGATGTAGTGGTGTATTTAGTGATAACTTTGGTGATAAAGTGAGTAATTATAGTGACAATCTTAGAGTAGTCACAGAAGAGGTAGACTCAACTCACACGAGTATAGTCATCAACAAAAATGATGTAATCGTAATGATTTGAGATAGAGAAAGTATGAGATAGATCTCATACATCCTAGTAGGGAAGGTCAAAAGAGTGGAAGAGGGGATGCTATCACAACTAAGATAAAAAGACAGTGATGTTTGCCCAGTTAACAAGACCCACACACAAACTTAGAGAGAGAAAGTCACAGTAAAATTTTTTATAATTTAGAGAAACAAGGATGACCTAAACAATGATGCCACAAAAGAAAGGAAGTAGTCGTAGAGGAAACAAAAAGGCCTAAAGGTCAGATGAGGTTTGTCTGGAATGAGTTTGTAAACACTTTGTCTATTTTTACAACCCAAACCAATCCTTCATTCGATTTGTAGATCTTAAAAAGTATAGTGAAAGGGAAAGAATGTAAGTGTACAAAAGAGGACAGGGGTAATAACACTAATAGAAAGAAAATTAGTAAGAAAATTGAGAACGTAGAGAATTTAGGTGAGGTGAATAGAGGGAGAAGCTGAGGTGGCACCATGACCTTTAATCGGACAGGTTTATCCATCGGCAATGGTGATAGAGGGATGGGTCGAGGTAGACTAATAGGAGGAGAGAATAGTAGAGATATCGGTCATGTGAGTGGAGGCCCTCGAATCAATAATCCACCACGTCGAAGAGGAAGCAAGGAGAGTGTATGTACCTAATGTGGAAGAGGCTGAAAACAAGGTGAGACTTATAAAGGTGGAAGTGTTGGTATCATTGGTCGTAGCAAAGGACATTATACTTCGTAGGCGTCAAGGTTATGTGGAAAGTAAGAGTTGGAATATGAGATTGAGTGGGGGATGCCATAGTTGAAGAAGTTATTGTCAACTATGTAGAAGCGGGCTTGTTGAATTACTTCCAACACTTAGTAGCCAGATGATTTTATTTCCTACAGTCGAGACATAGAAGAAAAGTATTACACCCACATTTGTGAGGGAGTACGACTACCGTTAGGACAAGAGGGAGGTCATCTCAAGCCCGCAAAGTAGCAAGAGCAAGAGTCAAATGAGGAGTGGATTGGCATACTAGTGGTGACCTAAAGGATTGTCAAGAAGATGGAGGCGAGATCAAGCACGCAATCTCTAGAGAGAGCAACCCCCTAGATCTAAATGTGATGGACCGATAAAGTCTACTGAGATAAACCCCAACATAAAACTCTTGACGATAACATTGGAGGGTCAGGAGGTTGGTAGTTAGGGGCTAATAGATATCAACCTCTAGATGAGGGCTTGGAGGCGACCGTAGTGGGCTTAAAGAGAGAGATCATCTTATTTGTAGGAGAGAAGAGACTCAAAGATCTCCACAACTCGACCAATGTTTGTCCGATTGACATACATGATTTTCATAGTTAGTTACACAAGATAGGTCTAGGTGATGCATGCTTGTGGCTCGACAATGTTAGGGTTTAATGCTTTGAAGTATCAATGTGATGACAACCAAGTCGAGCTGCGACTATGTTGCATACAAGGGGTCTCGAAGTCAGGTGGGTCATTCGAGAGGTGATAGAGGAGACTATGAGATCTAAGGAAGAGCTCGAAGCTAGATGCCCACAATACATAATTGTGGTCATTGAAGATAGATGTATGTTGGTTGAATAAGTTGCAGCGTGATGGAGTGGCGAGCTAGAGGAACCATTAGAAAAGAGAGAACATCAACTAGAAAGAGCTCAAAGGACTCAAAGGCAGGTGATGGAGGGGGGCGAGATGATGTCATGAGGCTAGTGGGTACAGGTTGGAGGGGTAGGTGGTGGGGTGAGCAGGTCGGGCCCGGATGGGCTAGTTTGGAGGGGTAGGTAGAGTTAGTTGGGGTCAACTAGGCTGCTCTGGGCCATCAGATCTACGTGGGGTCAGCAGGTCTGACATAGTCGGTCTCGAGTGGGCTGGTCCAAAAGAAAACCATCAGACAACTCATCGGGAGATAGGTGAAAATCTAGCAGCCGTGGCTGGACAGCGACAACACCCGTGACAGCAATGGCAATAGCTAGGGCGTGACAGCCAGGAGAGATCTTGATGGTGGCAATGATGTCTGTAACAACGTGACAGCGAGGACCCAACGGTGAGGAGGGACCTCGACGGCAATGGCAATGGTGGTGATGTCGGAGAAGAAGAGGAGAGCAACAACATTGGCGAGGGCGACAACGGCGAGAAGAGTGGTGCTGAAAGGAGAAGGAAAGTAATGATAGAGACGACAATGCCAAAAGAGGGAAGAGTGGTGATGTTGAAGAGCTGCCCGAGGAGGAAAGTGGCACGTCGAAGATGGGAAGCACACTAGAGAGGAGGAGGATGACGATGCCTATGGATCTCTAGAAGAACTCACCGTCTTCACCGACGCCATTAAAATGTTTACAGGCCTAGGTAAATAAGATTGCCTTCATCTCCTCATCGGAGAGATTAGAAATTTTCCTAAATTGTAGACTCTTTTCACTAGGTCTAAGTGGGAGCTTGAAGCCAAGAAAGAGTTCCTTGAGGTCATGAAGATATGCTACCATGCATGGTATAACACTATTAATGAGATTGGCTACAAGCTCCTCGTGAACCATAGGAATTACATCATTTTTCATTTGAGAAAGATTCTGAGCACCATCTCTTTCTCTCTCTCTCTCTCTCTCTCTATCTCTCTCTCTCTCTCTCTCTATATATATATATATATATCTATCTCTCTATCTAATTCTCGCCCTCGCCCTCACCCTCTTGCCATTCTCTCAATCTCAATTCTAAGATTTCCTTGCATAATCCTATTACAGGTTGTGGACTTGTGTGAGGCATTCTTGCTTGGGGCAAAGTGGTTCAACGAAAAGATCATCCCAAATGTAGAGGAGTATTTGAAGAACAATGTCACCTCGACAGGAACACATGTGGCCTCCCTACATGTCTTCTTTCTTCTAGGGAGCCCCATCTCGAAGGTGAGTCTACGCCTTGTTTGCAGTCGCAAAGGTCTACTCATTATAGCAAAAGGATCCTCCAAGTCTGGAACAACTAGACTTCTTGATAACTACGCCTCATAAACTTTTGATGATTCGGGTATCGGAATATTGATTTTCCACATCGATGTGTTGCAAGAAGAACAAGAGAGAGGGGACGTGGCTTCGAGCATGTAGTGCTACATGCAAGAAAGAGGAGTTGCGGAGAGGATGGCGATGCTCAAAAGTACATTAGAGGGCTAATAAGCACTGTGTGGAAGGATCTCAATGGGGAGGCCATGGCTCCTTTGCCATTGCCTCTCTCCATCATCAATGTCTTCTTCAATCTTGCACAGACCTCATAGTGCTTTTACCAACACAGCGACGACCCCAAGGCCCCAAGGGTTGATGACATAGTCAAGGCATTTATCTTTCGCTCGTCAAATAGGAGATGATAGAGAGAACTTATGATTGGTGCTTATTCTATTGTGATAACTTGGATAATGGTTTGGTTGTTTGAGTCGTAAGTGTAGATTCCAATCTACACGTTATACGTTGGATGATAGTTTAATTGTTTGCATCCATCTCTCTCTCTCATTTCTCAAATATCTACACCACTAAATGGAGGAACTTGTGTTCTTTAAGTTGGTTTTTTAGGACATTCATTGAATTAGAGCCACAAGGTAGACCCTTTCAAAAGCAATCTTCATCATGTCAAATAAGTTGATGTGGGACGTGTTCAAAGTATGTGTTTAGACCATTGATCAACTTAGAGACGCAAGGTAAACCCTTTCAAAAGCCATATTCATCTTGATATACTTGTTGATGTGGGACGTGTTCAACAGCCCACAGCACACCACTGTGGATGCCCCACCAATCAATTGTACCTACAACAATCAAACCCAAGACTTTATAGGTAGATAGGCACCGAAATAATCCATCTCTAGAGGATCTTCGAGGGATCGAGACAATCGCATTATGTGTGTGTGTGTGTGTGTGAGTGAGTGAGTGAGAGAGAGGGGGGTAGCAGCCGTGGTGGCATTGTAGGTGCATGAGGGTGTCACACGTTGTGCTAGGCTCATTGGAAGGCCCCTAAGATACATTGAAAGTATGTAAAGAATGATAATGCGAGGTATATAGGAAGATCCCAAACTCCTCACTTAGTCGACAATGAGGTCAGAACATGCAAAGTAGAATTTAATATTAATCCTTGATGTGATTACTCTAACCTCATGAGAACTGCCATCAACTTTTAATTAATTAAAGAAGATTATGTCTCGAATAAGTACAAGCATGAGCTTGTAATACTGACTGCAAAAGAATTATCCTAACCACATAAATCTGATGTAATTTTTTTTCACTCTCCTTATCTCTTTTTCGCACCTACTTTTGATTTGAAGGGAGGCACTCTCTTCTAATGAGACTAACTGTGACAAGTGGTTGACAAGGGATTACACAATATTTGACTAATGATCAATAGGTTGCCCAATGATTTAGGTGCACGTAGCAAAGATTTAATGGTTGAGAACCTTGCTTTAATAGTTTACTTTTCCTTTCCTTGTCAAAGGAAAACTTGGAGACCCACAATCAAAAACAAGAGATGTCTGGTCAATCTTAAGATATCAATCTAAGGGTAGAGATTTCAAGCCTAAATCATGTCTTATACTATTATTCTAGGGAAACCTTTACAATGATTCATTCAAGAAGTGGTAGCCCCTTTGAACAGGGGAAAGTTGAAAGTTGTTTTGCTTAAAGCCGGTCAATCATCTAAGAGTGGGCAAGAATGGCAACCATTACGACTTGAGATTGTTGAAGATGAGTACATCCATGAACAAGGCTGCGTTTCTTTTAGTTCTTCTTGTGATTATGGGGACCCGTGAGGATGTAGAGGCAAGAGCTGATCAGACAGACGCCGTTGCTGAAAGAGAAGGCATCCGCACACTCTTCTTGTCGTAGTTGTTCAGCTATGAAAGCTTTACGTCTTTCTCTACATCATAATTGTTCAGCCATGGAATCGGTGAGAGGTGGAGACCTCCTTGAAGTGAAATATGAGCCTACCAAGGTTGTGCTCCTTCAAGACATTTGTAAGGGTGACTTGGTCATCCTTCATTCAGCAAGGCACATGTGGGCTACATCCCTTCATACTAGGCTTTCACTTATGACTATTTTCTATTTAGAAAATAGTCCCCCTTTTATGTCACCTGTATTTAAAGGGAGCTCAGGGAGAGAGAAAAGAGATAGAAAATAGAAAAATCTAGAGCATGAGAAGCCCAATTCTCTCTAGTGACTGCAACAAGAGTTACGACATCATCTCTCTCCTTCTGTCCTCTTTTTCCTCCATTAGTGACTGGTATTACTACTTCATTAACTATGTCTCTATTGTATTATATTCTTCAGACCTTGTCATTACTCTCTTATCTATTGATTTACTGGTCGTGAGGTGTGTTTGTCCTTTTTAGACCACAGTAATTAAAGTCCTACTTCATTATAGCCCATTCTACATTATCATTATTATTTATATATTAGAAGATGTTGTACTTGTAATCTCTAGTTTCCGTTGTGCTGATAGATTAGTCTAGACCTATTAAGATCTTATTCCAAGCATTATTTCCTAATAAATTGGTATCAAAACTTGATTAGAGGTTTATTTCAACACAAATAGAGATACAAGATGTCTACTAAGTTTGATATTGAGAAGTTTGACCGAAGCATCAACTTTGGAATATGGTAGGTCATGATGAGAGCCCTCTTGACCCACCAAGGGCTACATAAAATATTATTAGGAAAAGAGAAAATGTCAAACACTATGTCTATGGAAGTAAAATAAGAATTAAATGAAAAAGCTCTTGATGTGATTCAACTTAATTTGTCTAATGAGGTTTTGCATGAGTTCATTCATGAATCTACAATGGCTACATTATGATTGAAGTTGGAATCACTATATATGACTAGATCGCTCACCAATAAATTATTTCTGAAGTAATGTCTATTCATGTTCAAGATAGCAGAAGGACAACAACTTGAAGGTCTTATTACAAAAGGTAGACCTAAGGAGAAAAGTCAATAAAGAAATAGAGATGAGTCAAGATATTAATCAAAATCTAAAAATAAGTTATGTAATTATTGTTGCAAGAAAGGTCATATAAAGCCTGACTGTTATAAACTCAAGATAAGGTAGCAAGAAGACTCTAAATAATCTAATTATACTGAAATTTCAACATAGACTAGTGTTGTTAAAGACAAGATTCATGATTTTGTTCTTTTTGTTCATACCATCAGATCTAAAGATGATTGTATTTTAGATACAAACTGTTCATACCATATGACTACTTATAGAGAGTATTTTTTTACTAATGAGCAAATCAATGGTGGAAACGTTTTAATGGAAAATTATGTTTCATGTAAGACTATTGGTATTAGCATAATTTGTATCAAAATATTTGATGATATCACAAGAACATTGTCTAATGTTAGACATGTTCTTGATTTGAAGAAAAATCTCATTTCTTTAGACACTCTTGAAACTAATCGTTGTAAATATTCAAGTGAAAATAGAGTCATAAAAGTCAGCAAATGAGCCCTTGTTGTGATGATAGGACAAAGATGTGGTACCCTCTACACCCTATTAGGGACTACTATTTCTAGTTCAATCGCTACAACATCTACCTCAATGACAGAAGAAGATGTCACCAAATTGTGGCATATGAGGTTGGGACATATGAGCGAGAAAGGAATAGATCTATTAAGCAAAAGAGGCTTGCTTTGTGGGCAAAGTATCAGCAAGGTTGAATTTTGTGAGCATTGCATTTTAGGTAAGCATAAAAGAGTTAGCTTCCAAATGGCAACTCACAAGACCAAAGGTACTCTTGATTATATCCACTCAAATCTTTGAGGTCTTCGCATTCCTTCAAAAAGTGTTGCTCACTATTTTCTATCATTTATTGATGATTTTTCTCAAAATATTTGGGTATTCATGCTTAAGCATAAATCTGAAGTTTTTATGTATTCTAAGCAATGGAAGGTTTCGCTCAAAAGATAAATTGAGAAGAAAATTAGAAAGCTGAGGACTAACAACAGTCTAGAGTTCTGCTCCACCGAATTTAATGATTTATGTAAAAACAAAGGTATCGTCGAGCATAGAACAATTCGTTATACTCCATAAAAAAATGAAGTTATAGAAAGAATAAATAGAACTCTACTAGAACAAGTCTATTGTATGCTATTATCTATAGGTCTTGGTCAAAACTTTTGGACATAAGTAGTGTCTACAATTTGTCATCTTGTGAATAGATCTCCAGCATCAGTCATTAACTTCAAAACTCCTGAAAAAGTTTGGTCAGGTAACTCTCTTGATTATTTAGATTTAAAAATTTATGATTGTCTTGCATATGTCCATGTAAATGATGGCAAGTTGGAGCCTACAACTAAGAAGTGTATCTTCCTCAATTATGCCTTTAGAGTCAAAGGATACAAGTTATGGCTTCTTGATCCTAAATCTCCCAAACTTTTAATTAGGAGAATTATTTTTGATGAAGTTAGAATTCTACATCCTAGAGAAAGAATGTCTACCCCTAAAATTATAGATTCAAATGGCGGTACTCTAAATTAGGTGGAGTTAGATATATCTGATTCACATAAGATGTATTCCTAGTAAGAGCATGTTTTAGTGCCTAACACGTATCATGTGGAGATATCTTCACAAAACTAAAATTACTCTCTTGCTCATGATCAATCAAGGAGAGATACTAAGCCACTGTTGACATATGGATATGTTAATATGGTCACTCATTCAGACCCTTGTTGAAGAAACTTTGGATCTGAATGAGTCTTCCAAGTTTTAAGATATTATATCTTGTGAGGATGCAGAAAAATGACTAGTTTCTATAGAGGAGAAAATTGAATCTCTCCATAAAAATCAGAACTGAGAGTTGGTGGAGGCTCCTAAAGGATAAAAAGTCATTGGCTACAAGTGGGTTTTCAAGAAGAAAAGAAGCACTCTAAACTCTGATGATGTTAGATACAAAGTACGATTAGTTGCAAAAGGTTACAATCAGGTCGAAGGTATTGATTATAATGATATCTTTTCTCCTACCATTAAGCATAACTCTATACGTGTTTGATTATCTATTGTTGCATCATATAATTTAGAGTTAGAATAGATGGTTGTTAAAATAGTATTTCTTCACGACAATCTTAAAGAACATATTGATATGCAGCAACCAAAGGGCTTTCTTGTTGAAAGAAAAGAGATGTTTGTTTGCTAAAGAAATCTCTATATGGTCGCAAAGAATCTCCTCGATAGAGGTATAAAAGATTTGATACATTTATGACACAACATGAATTCTCTCATAGTAAATTTGACAACTATGTTTACTTTTACAAAGTTGTCAAATATTTTCACTCTTTATTTATAGCTTTATGTTGACGATATGTTGATCACGACAAAAGATATATTTGAAATGAGTAAATTGAAAACTTTATTGAATAGTGAGTTTGAGATGAAAGAATTTAGAGCAGCCAAAAAAATTTCTCAAAATGGAGATCTGTAGAAGTCGGAGTGAAGGTAAGCTATACTTATCCCAAGCTAAGTACATTGAGAAAGTATGTAAGCATTTTAATATGTGGGATGCTAAGCTTATTCACACTCCATTTGCTGCTTATTTCAAGCTTTCAAATTCCTTATCACCATAGTCCCCAATCGATGAAATTTTTTCGTCACATGTTCTATACTCTAGTGTTATAGGTAACATGATGTATGCTATGATATGCACTCATCTTGATATATCACATGCAATCAATGTAGTTAGTCGTTATATGGTTAATCTAAGTAAAACACATTGGCCATATGTTAAGTGAATTTTCGGGTACTTGAGGGGTACTATTAATATATGTTTACAGTTTGGGAGAACAAGTGATACCTTGACTAAATTTATATATTCAATTTTTACAAGAAATCTTGATAAATGAAGGTCACTAATTGGTTATATATTTTTAATTAGTGGATATGTTGTTAGTTGGAAAGCTTTCCTACAACCTACTATTACTCTGTCCACAATAGAGACAGAATTTATGATAGTTACAGAGGCATTAAAGGAAGCTATATGGTTAAGAGGTTTATTATATGAATTATGTTCATGTCAAGCTTCAATTGTTATTCATTGTGATAGTTAGAGTGTTATTCATTTGACCAAAGATCAGATGTATCACAAAAGGACAAAGCATATTGACGTCAAGTATCACTTTATCTGCGAGATAATTTTCTCAAGTGAAATTAGTGTGTAGAAAATTAGTACTGAAAATAATTAGCTAATATGCTAACAAAACCTCTCCCCATTTCAAAGTTCCAACACTGTTTGAACCTGATTGGAGTTCACAACACTTAGATCTAACCTCTCTTCTTCGTTTTATCTTTGAGAGAATGTATGCAACTATATTCTCTTCTATTGCAATCATGAGGAGCTGATAGAGTTTTCAATATGAAGCTTTGAAGATCATTGTGATGTCTAAGTCAAGGTAGAGAATTGTAAGGGTGACTTGGTCATCCTTCATTCAGCAAGGCCTATGTGAGCTATGTCCCTTCTTATTGGGCTTTCACTTATGACTATTTTCTATCTAGAAAATAGTCTAGCTCCTTTTTTGTCACATGTATTTAAAGAGAGCTCAAGGAGAGAGAAAAGAGATAAGAAATAGAAAAATCTAGGGCACGAGAAGCTCAATCCAATAGCTGCAACATGAGTTACGACATCATCTCCCTCTTTTTGTCCTCTTTCTCCTCCACTAGTGGCTAGTATTACTATTTCATTAACTCTGTCTTTATTATATAATATTCTTCAAACCTTATAATTACTTCTTATATGTTGGTTTACTAGTTGTGAGGTGTGTTTGTCCTTTTTAGACCACAATAATTAGAGTCTTGCTTTATTATAGCCCATTCTACATTTTCATTATCATTTATATATTAGAAGACTTGTTGTACTTATACTCTCTAGTTTCCACTTCGTTGACAAGTTAGTCTAGACCCATTAAGATCATGTTCTAAGCACTATTTCCTAACAACATTATTGACCACTTCTTGCACTCCCTTGTCGGGGTGCCTCATCAGATTAGGGTTTGGGACTAGTCGGGGTTTTTGACTGCCCACAGCAACAGACAAAGGGCACAATGATCGGTCTACTTGCTAGGCCAATTAGCACTGGAAGAAGTATGAAAGTGTTCTTGAAGAAGACGCCATCGGACCTCTCCGCACCACCACCACCGTCAGAGAGCGAGGATGACATAGGCATTGATACAACTATGGCTTTGTGGTGGGTTTTAAACATCTTGGACAATGTACTGCATTGATGACGGTTTTTGATTATTAGTGTTTATTCTACATGGCTTGTTGAAAACATTAAAAAATAGCATTTACAGAAGATCAACTATGATGCAAAGATCTGTTAAAAATGTCAACTGAAAAATGAAAAACCAAAAGATGAGTAAATCATGTAAAATTTAGTTATGCTAAAGGATGACTACCTTGGATTTTTAGCTTAAGTCTCAAACACAATAGGGGTAATTTAAATCAATTAATAATGTAAAGTAGGTTCAATCATCAAAATACTTTAAATAAAATACAAATTAGGGATATTGGTGCTTTCATTTATATATTTGAGTGGAAATTATTAATCCCTTCATAAGCTAGATTTATCTACTATAAGAGGAGGTGGTGAATTAATTTTTATTTAATTATAATGTTTTTCTGTGTTTTAATTTTTTTCTCAATTCTAATTATAGTGCCTTGACACACTGATTTGGGTTGACATAGAAGATTTTGGGTTGACACGCAAAGTTGTTTGACTAAGTTGTCGCATTATCTCAACACAACAAGTCTGCACATTAACATTTTATGTGTGTTAAATGTCAGGATTGAGAGTGGTTATGTTTTTTATTAGCCTACATCCATTTTCCACACCAAGGATAATTGAATCTAATAATTGAGATATTGATTTCCAAGCTGGTGTAGTTAAACACATTTTAGAGTATTTTTTATTTATGTGATTATTTATCAATATCAAAATACTTAAAACCAACAGAAACATTGTGAAATTTGGGGGTTAGTAGGCAGCACCCCAATCATGGCCTATCAATAATCATTTTGAGCTCATAGGGATTATTTGGGCAAATCCCCTTTAATGGAATTGACTCTCTTTAAACTCTAGCCCATTTTATGAATAGGTCATATATGTGTACCAAAATGTCAATTTTGATCTCCTTCACTTGAGACATCACTTCATATGTTACTTATAAGTTGTCTCATAATTCTTTAATTGTCTCAAAGCTATAAATTCTATTAAATTCATTAGAACATGAGCTATTGACATTGACTTTGTAAATACTGATCAATAGTTATAATGAAAATCTTAATTATGACTTTCCAATAAGTGCAGTTTGATTTCTTACAAAGAAGAGTTTGTGTGAAATGATCTTCATCAAAAACTTCATGAGGTGGTAGCCATGGATCTGCTCCTTAAAAGGTGGTATTTGGTATTACCTTTTAGTTCCCTAATAGGTCAGAAGATAAAAGAAGAGGGGGCCAAGGTGAATTGGTTTTTCAATGTTTTTTAGTATTTTTGATCATTTCTAAGCTATTTCGACGAATTACAGTTATATTGGGTTGACACAGTCTCATTTGGGTCAGCATAAGATTCTATGAGTTGACACAATTGGTCAGCATAAACGGTAAAAAAAAGGAAAAGGAAAGGCCGAACTATTTATAAATCTTCATTCTTCAAATGTTTTACAACTAAGCCCCAACTCTACTTTTCCAAAGGTACATACCCTTAGATTTCGCACTCTCGATGACAATGTACAATATTAATGAGGAAATAAAGATACAACAAATCAAGGGGACCATTTATCATGCCTCCGTTGTGGACTTCTCCCAGCGGGTTAACCAAGTCAACCATATAATGTACGTGCCAGAAAAGGAACCTAACTCCATGGTCCATCTTGCTGCGGCGGTGGTCGCTCCATGCCGATAAAGCCGAATAAGCCTTCATTCAACAGGAGAGAAACAGCAGCCTCCTCCAATGAGGCGGCTGAACCAGCTGTCCCGACGACCCGGCGGCGGCTAAACCAACTGCAGCAGCTTGCTTCCACCGTGCTGGAACCTGTGGAGACGAAATTCATCATCGGCCCGGAGAAGCCCTGCCCCGCTCTGCGGACCTGGCGATACAGCTCGCCAGCAGCTTCGGGCCAGTGGCTGGATCGCTTTCTTCTGTTGGAAGTTTTAGGTTGTAGGAAATAGCGTAATTAGTTGATGATATTTTTGTAAAAGTGTCAAAGATTTCTCCCTATATTAAGGGGTGTAATGGTTGAGTGGAATTGAGGCAGTTTCTGCCGTTATCCCCTATTTCCTCTGTGATAGATGTATCATAGTGGTATCATCGGCCTAATTGGGTTTCATCGGCTCTTGTTTGGCATCTCTTACTTGAGGGAGCGCCACTGCTGCCACCTCCACCACTGTTGCTGCCGCCTCTGTTTGGCGTCGGTCTTGTTTGGCGTCTCCTATACGAGGGAGCACCATTACTGTTGCCTTTGTTCAGTGTCGGCTTTGTCCAACTAGGGTTTCATCGTGAAGCACTTCTTGTGCCATTTGAGGCACGTTACCTTCCCACCTTTTATATGCGTGATATCTTACCATTTCGAGCAGGTTTTCTTTTCAATTCAGAACGGTTCTACTTCCATTCAATCGTGTCCCTGAAAACTTCTAGAATGGCAAGTTTCATGATCATAAGACTCATGTGATTCAATCAATCCTACTTTTATCCCTCTCTTATCCTCATAAGACATAAGAGTTTGTGAAATGATCTTCTCTTAATGTAACATCTAGATTCATAAAACTAAGAATTCTTGAAGTTGGTGCTATTTAACATAGGAATATAGTTGATATGAGTAGAAATAATAAAAATAGAATTTAAAACTATATAGAGAAAAATATAAAGCTCATATAAGTAAATTATTTTAAAATAATGATACTTCAATTCACAAGATATCGAGTGCAACATTAAAAAAAAATTGGACAACAATATTAACTACACGTAATATCTTGGTGTGATGAATAAATATTGATGATAAGTTTCTATCAAAAAATAAGTCTTTCTTTCTAGTGACTTATTGTTCACATAAAAATATTAGATAATTATCACATATTTATTATTACAAATATATGTATTTTTTAAAATACTAAACTTTTCTTTGAGTCAACTAGTATCCACAAAATCACATACACAACATCTCATATGTTAGAAAAATCAATATCTATAAGAGAACTTACTTTGGTAGCATGCTGTTTTAATTAATAATTTTAATATATCAGACATGTAGTAAGACTTAAATCATGATAATAATTTGACATTTAATCATACCCGATGTAAAATATAATGATTAATTTTTTTAAATAAGTTCGTGAACAATTTATAAAATAAAATTAGTAATAATATTTCAGAAATAAATAAAATAACATCAAAAATAAATAATTTTATGGGCCTAACGTCAGCAAACCAAATTCTGAAGTCATCATTATGATGTCATCCATGTAAACTGGCAGGTTGACTAACCAAATTTGCTCATACCGAGCTGGTGCATCGTCTACCCTAATCAGCGCAGTGCACTATTCCGGCTGTCCAGCTCGTGCTGAGCCAATCACGCAAATCGATGCGTGTGGTGTATGCAACATCACATTACTATTCCTCTCCCGTCTAGCACACCCCAAAAATGGTGTCGTCATTTCATGCAATAAACTGGTGGCCAGCACCTGAACCACTGCATGACAATTCTTCTCTCGTCTAGTGCACCAAAAAATGGTGTGGCTGTTTCACGCGGTGGACCGTAACACGAACTGTCACATGAAGGGAGAAGCATAATAAGCCACATCGGGCTCGGTGCAAAGGGGAAGCAGCATACCAGGTCATTCCGGTAACTTAGGACTTGGAATAGCTGGCTCAAAATGGCCTCATTTGAAAAACGGAGCCGTAACAAGTGCCCCCTTTCTCTTGATTCCCTCCACATCCTTCTGTTGATTTTCAAAGGGGCCAAAAACCATCCTTCTACGAGAGGAAGAGTGGGAAGAATCAAATGAGTAAGGGGCGTCTGGAAGCCGCCGCAAGCCTCTGCCTTCGGCACAACCCTTCAGAACCCTACGACGTTGTCTTGCGTCTTCTCTTCACCTTTCGGAGGCCTCCCATGTCCAAACATTCGGAAGCGCTGTCCACTGCTCTCCAGCCTTCTGTCCGATGATGTAAAAGGGAAAGAGGAATGGTTGGGCCCCCATTGCAACCCTTGATTTCCAAATGGAAATCTTCCTTCAAAAAAAAAGAGGAAGAGAGGTGTGCGAAAACTACCACTCCTCTTCCTCTATAGGGAAAGAAGAAGAGTCAACAGTCAATAAACCCATCTGCATGGTATATATGGCTCATTAGTTTATTTATAGTAATGTTGAAACCTTACAATATGCCTAAATCCATTCTCAAGAAAAGATATAAAAAAATAGTATCAAAATAAATGAAAAATATGAATAACATGTAATTCTCTAAAATCTCAACACATTTAGCTTTGATAACACTTGTCGAATCGAAAGAATCTAATGTTAAGATAAATAGAGAACATGATAAAACATAATGAGAAGAAATTAAAGTCATATCTAAATCTATAAAGACTTTTCAAGAGAGATGTCATCCAATGACTTATTCAAGAGATGTGATATTTTAAGAGTGACTCTCAATGTGTGACCCAAAGATTATGACACTCTATTTATAGACAAGAGGTGGTTAACCTCTTGATGTCTTTTTTCAATTTAACTTATCATAAAATTGAAAGAAGATTAGATCTATATATATATATATATATATCTATTTATATTTATATTTATACTCATACTTATGTTGTAGTCCGAAATACTTAAACTTCAATAAATCACTTTAAGTAAGACTAATTCAATAATAGCCACATAATATACAAGTCATATATAATTATTCACAATGAGATTAATTTTAACAGCTCTTCTCCGTTTCTTACAAATTACACTATACGCCCATCATCGTCCATGACTTCGCCATCAAGGAGAACGGCATCTTCGTCCCCGACCAGCAGTTCGCCTTCAACCTCACCGCCAGCTGAAAAACCAGTCGCATGTGAGATACGATTCCCGAAGGAAGCCCACCTCGGGGTCCTCCCGAAGTACGACGAGCAGAAGCAGAAGCTTCGGAAGGTCGATCTGCCGGAATGCTGCTTCTGCTTCCACTTTTGGAACGATTGGGAGGAGGAGCACGGAACCATCGTGGTCATCTCCTCCTGCATGTAACCCACGGACGCCTTCTCTGCTCGCCGGGAAGATACGCGGCCACCGGTGACAAGCGTCCTGTCGGCGATTCGCCTCCGACCGGCGACGGGGAAGTGCTCCCTGAGGATCATCTCCCCAGAACGAACCTGGAGGCGGAGCAGATGAACAAGCTGCGGCTGGGGAGGAAGATCCGCTTCGTGTACATCGCGATGGCGGAGCCCTTTCTGAGGTGCTCCGGCATGGCGAAGGTGGACCTTCTGCCGGCGGCTCCGGAGAGACGAGATTCGTCTAGGAGTGGGTGGCGGTTCCGGGGAGAGACGACGTTCGTGCTGGCGGAGAGCTTAGAAAGGGAGGACAAGGGGTATCTGATGAGCTTTGTCAACGACGAGGACCCGGATGAATCGGGGCTGGTCATCCTCGACTCCGTGGCCATGGATTAGGTGGCCTCCGTCAGGTGGCCTAGTAGGGGGTTCCTGTTGAGGCACTGGCTTTTCTGAGCTCTCCACGTGAGAAGAGAGACCTCAGAAATTCACTAGCATTTCTGATCACTCACCCGCTTGGGAAGAGATCCTAACCGAATTACTCTCTCTCTCTCTCTCTCTCTCTCTCTCTCTCTCTCTCTCAGACGAGTGCTGCTTTGTAGGCCAAGGATTCTGCGGCGCTCATTTTATTAATTACATCCGTACCGTTCCGCCGAACTAGGAAGATTGCCCTTGTTATTTCCTACAATGGATGCCGAGCCACGTGGAGAGTGGGCTGTCTGAAAATACATCCCTTGATTACGTGAATATTTTTTGCGAATTTTTAATTTTGAAAATACAATAATATTGACTTGCCTTAATTCCAAACGTCATCTTCAAAAAATCGCATTGCTCTTAGGGCGGTGATAATAGTAAATATTTTTCAAGAAATATTGAATAGATTAAGTATGTTTAATATTAATCCCGATATTGCTGAACGAAGAGAGTGTTCGAGAAAGTTCTAGTCCTCGCACCAGAACCCGGAAACGTCTAGAAGATAAAATGGCAGATCTGACAGCCGAAGCACCAACAGACACATGGGCCCATAAGGCGGCTCCACCTTGTGGACCAGGATTCTCGCCACGTAAGCGAGCAGCTCCCCTGCCCAACAGTGTATATCCTTGCGGCAGCGTCTGTTGGCCCACATGTAGCAGACTGGATGATAGATACGCCAGGCACATTCTCTCCACCACCCCTGTCTTCAGGACATACAACTCTCTCTCTCTCTCTCTCTCTCTCTATCTCTAGACTCCTTCTCTCCTGCATGGCTTGAGACGCGACCTCGTGCGAGAAGAGGAACCTAACTCCATGGCCCATCTCGCTGCGGCGGTAGCCGCTCCATCTCTGATGAAACCGAAGAAAGCCTCATTCAACAGGAGAGCAACAGCAGCCTCTTCCTCCTCCAACAAAGCGCCTGAACCAACTGTCTCGACGACGCCGCGGCGGCTGAACCAGCTGCAGCAGCTCGCCTCCACCGTGCTGGACGCTGTGGAGACGAAATTCATCACCGGCCCCGAGAAGTGCCGCCCTCTGCCCCGCTCTGTGGACCCGGCGGTGCAGCTCGCCGGCAACTTCGGGCCTGTGGGGGAGTCCCCGGCGCGGCACGGGCTGCTGGTCGCCGGCCAAATCCCCGCCGACCTCCGCGGGGGGGTCTACCTACGCAACGGCGCCAACCCCTTGCTGCCGCCCGCCGGCGGGCACCACCTCTTCGACGGCGACGGCATGGTGCACGCCGTCTCGCTTCGCGACGCCCGCTCGGCCACCTACAGCTGCCGCTTCACTCGCACGAGCCGCCTGCTGCAGGAGGCCGCGCTGGGGCGCCCCGTCTTCCCTAGAGCCATCGGGGAGCTCCACGGCTTCTCCGCGCTGGGCCGCCTTGCGCTGCTGCACCTGCGCGACGCCGCCGGCATCATAGACGCCGGCTGCTCGGGAGTGGCCAACGCGGGGCTCGTTTTCTTCGACGGGCGGCTGCTGGCGCTGTCGGAGGACGGATTGCCGTACCACCTGCGGGTCACCGACGGCGGGGACCTGGAGACGGTGGGGAGCTTCGACTTCGAGGGGAAGCTCGGGGGCTCCATGATCGCCCACCCCAAGGTGGATCCCACCACCGGGGAGCTCTTCTCCCTCTCCAACAACATGCTCTGGAAGCCCCGGCTGAAGTCCTTCCGGGTGAGCCCCACAGGGAAGAAGTCGCCGGACGTGGAGATCCATCTCCAGAGACCCATCATCGTCCACGATTTCGCCATCACGGAGAACCACATCCTCGTCCCCGACCAGCAGCTCGTCTTCGACGTCACCCGCCTGTTGAAAAACCAGTCGCCAGTGAGCTTTGATCCCCGGAAGAAAGCCAGGCTCGGAGTCCTCCCCAAATACAACGAGCGGAAGCAGAAGCAGAAGCTCCGGTGGGTCGATCTGCCGGAGTGCGGCTTCTACTTCCACTTCTGGAACGCATGGGAGGAGGAGCATGGAGCGATCGTAGTCCTTGCCTCCTGCATGTCCCCGCCGGACGCCATGTTCTCCGCTCGCCGCCGGGAAGATCAAACGGCGCCGCCGGTGAGGAGCGTGCTGTCGGAGATTCGCCTCCGGCCGGCGACGGGCGAGTGCTCCAATAGGATCATCTCCCAGGGGACGAACCTGGAGGCGGGGCAGGTGAACAAGCTGTGGCTGGGGAGGAAGACCCGCTTCGTGTACCTCGCGGTGGCGGAGCCATTTCCGAGGTGCTCCGGCATGACGAAGGTGGACCTTCTAACAGGGGAGGAGACAAGATTCGTCTACGGGGAGCAGCGGTTTGGGGGAGAGCCTATGTTCGTGCCGGCGGAGAGCTCGGAAAGGGAGGACGAGGGGTACGTGATGAGCTTCGTCCACGACGAGGAGGACACGGGCGAGTCGGAGCTGGTCATCCTCGACGCCACGACAATGGGTCAGCTGGCCTCCGTCAGGTTGCCCAGTAGGGTTCCCTACGGCTTCCACGGCACCTTTTTAAGCTCTCGCGACCTGCGCAACCAGAGGTAGCCGCTATGGACGGGGAGGCACAGATAGGAAACGCTCCGCAACACACCCCAAGCTCCTCCCCCTCCTCTCTCTCTCTCTCTCTCTCTTCTCTGCTTCTTTCTAGTGATCAAAGGTCAACGCCCCTCCCCGGTGCGCGAGGTACGCTCAGATTCCACGGCGTTGACTTCCGCGTGTGGTGACGATGGTAATTTGACCCCTGCTACCCCAGCTGCCACTAGTTGGGCACTATCTTATTGGGCTGCGATCCATTTCCAGCCTCTCGTTGTTCTCTGGTGTGGGCAACAAGTGGGCCACGTCGGAGAGGATAATGGGCCTGACAACGACGGGTCAACTGATCTCGCCCACACCGGACATCCCGCTTCCGCCTGCCTGGCCCACTCATGCAAGGTGACTACAACTCCGAGCCCCCTGCTCCCAACAAGCTGGACTCTCTGCAACCAACTGGACGCGCGTGGCCCAGAGCCGGAACCCACTAGGCGGCCACAGCACATAGGTGGGCCGGGTCGGTAACGCGGGGCCCAGTTGCCATTCAAGAAGACAGAGATGAGAGTAAACATCCGGAGATTACCCTACCCATTCAGGAAAATGGAAAAGAAAAGCAAAACTCAGGGGGAAGGGGGTGGTGGGCTGGCGACGCCGGTTCAACGCGACCGGCGGCATCTCTTAAATTGTGCCCGAGGGATCATTTTAAGCTAAAGGAGAGAAGCAGCCGGGGAGAAAGAATCGTTCATAGTTTTTCTAGAGAGAGAAGATGGGAAGAATGGATCGAGGGTGGGGGGGGGGGGGGGGAGGCCAGGGGCGAGCTCACTCACCTACCGTCAAGCCGAAGCCGAACTTGTAATCCTTCTTCAGATGGTCGATCTGCAGAACGGGCGGAGGCCCAGAGTTCAGGAAACGCCGACCAATGAGAAGAGGACAGGTGGCGTCATTTACCTCTGCCGACAGGACGAAATTTACACCCATGTTCAGCCTCTCCTCCAGGAACGCCGCCACACAGCCGTTGGAGTCGATCTTCCCCCTCAACCGGCACTGCCAACAACCATTTTTCGCATAAATGGCCAGGAAGCGCAGTGAAAACCATATAAAATACCCTCCGCCAGGTTAGAAAAATCACATCCAATTCTCTCTCTACAAACCAACATTCAAACTACCATCTTCGAATTTTTCTATAAGTGGGATTGTCTGAGGCTCGTTATTACTATAAATGGACTAGGCGAGTGGGGCCCAGAGGTCGGGAGATTACCTGCCGAAGGATGTAGTCGTATCCGAAAGTTGCGGTCACGTCCCTGGACATGTGGTTGTACATGAAATCCGAGGCGAGGGTGACCTGAAGGAGAGAGAGAGTTTGAGTAGAAGCTAAAGGCTTGGAAACCCCCGAAGCAGGAGCAGGTGAAGGGTGGGGAGAGACTCACCTTCTCGGATACCTTCTGCACGTAGCTTAGGGCGACTATGCCGGTGCTTGCCACCTGTGCGGTCCCAACCTGGCAAATAGTTCATCCGTAAGGAAAGAGAAAGCCCATGAAATGAATGCTAGATCAGCACAAGATTCCCCGGTAGATCCTGATAGAGTTATAAGCCATGTGTTTGATGAGATAAGTAAGTGATCATGTGATTCTCCAAGTGGATAATTTATATCGAACGAGAAAGAAGTCAACGCAGGCTTTGGTCAAACAGGAGAATGCCTGTTTCTTCTGGTTCTAGACTAAACGTAAAAAGAGCAAAACACCAGGAACCCTCATGGGGGAAGTCAAATGAATGACAGCATGGTCCACAAAGGCATCGCAGGGGGAAAATTAATGGAGGAAAAGATATATCGTACCCACTTGGCTGTGTTGTACCTAGCTGCAAAACCCAGACCGGATTTTCTTTGGTGGCCAAGCCAAAAGATCTCACTTCCGAGAGATAAGTGTGGAGTGACACTCTGCAAGATGGAGGGAAAAAGTCAAGAAGAAGTCAAATGAAAAATGTTGATCAATCGGCCACGCAAAAAAAAAAGAAGGGGGGGAGGGATATTACCCAATAAGGAAAATCGTGAATGACATAAATTCATATCAACATTCTGCTCGTTATGGCAAACATTGTAAAAAAGTCAAATCTTAGGCACTCAGGGATACGGGCAAGTTCATAAAAGTATCAATGATCAATAGATTAGAGAAGGAGGGGGGTCACTGGACAATGCTTTGGATAGCAATAGTTTTATCAAAAATCAGAGAGTGAGGCTACTAAAGAAGTCACGGATGCAATCAAAACAAGCAGCAGCACCACAATAAACGAATACGATCCTCAAAACGACAGCCTTGGAAGGACCGCAGGCCCTTGAACAGTGGCTGCTGACGAGTTTCCTAGGCGAAGCCACACGTTTTATGTCCACAAGTGGATCACGGTCAGATAAGGCAATTATCTAAGATGGAGATAGGGAAGGACTGTGGACCACATAGTCATTCAACTAAGGTGTCGAAGAGGACAGACAAGGCACTATCTTGCATGCTATCCAGAGTCTGCGGCACACCTAGAAGAACATTAGTGATAGATAAACCGGTCTACAGGTGACTAAGAGAATGTGTTACTGTACAAATTTCAAGAAAAGAATGAACAGAAGAGGATTAAAATTTCTGAGTATCACCAATAAGCAACTTGCAACCCCAACTGGATCGACACCACGCCTGACAATTAGAAAGGCCATGCACATACCAACAAAAGTTGATGGGAAGGAGGAGGAGAAAATGAGCATCTGAGGCGAACAGTAAATTGAGCATTATCAGAATACGAAAATTTCTCATAGAGATTTTATCAGTCGTTATGTACAAATTATGGCGAGAAACGATGGCCGGAGAATATCAGATCAGAGGATATTTTGCTTGAAGATGTCTTATAGTAATCAATAAAACTAATTCAGGGCAGGCACTCGGAAGCCCATGAATTCAATAGTTGATGTACCAGTAGAACAAGAACGAAGTACCTGGGATGTAAGTATAAATATAAGAACAGTACTGGAAAATAGAATATCCTTGTAGTCAGAATTTGAAATGTTTCAGTTGTAATATGCATAAAGACGAAGAAACTGATGTTGAGCGGCAATTATGAAGCATTCATTAAGCCCTGTATGATGGTTGTAAAATAAGCCAAGATAAACCAAGTGCTGTTGGGCGTGGGTGTTAAAGAATTTTCACATGTAATCAAAGATCCTCCTTAGTGAACAACGATGGTGGAGCTGGTACCTGATTCCTCTGATATTGGTGACAGGCTGTCAAATTCAGGATAGCCATCAGAAGACATAAGTGTGTTGGCTTTGGACACCGAAGCTTTCAATGAATGGAGTGGTGTGCAGATAAGTGGCAGTAAGAAAGACTCGAGAGATTCTGATATGGTAAAAGCTCCAAAAAGAGACTGCACAGATCGTTTGCGGCAGGGAATTATCACAGACCAATTTTAATCAAGTTCCTGCCCTATTCAAAAAATAATGGAAAAACCAGTCAATTACGAAAAATATCTCGCAAATGTTGACTGCGGCGCACTTGAAATAATGAGGTACGGGTCCAAGGATTAATGGGTTAAATCTCGAGGGCCAGTTTATTTTTTCCTTCGCAAATAAAGGAAAATGACTGATGCCTTGGAAAACATTTCAAGGGAAATTGTAGGATAAGATGGAACCAGAAGTTGTGAGGGCATCTGGTCAGAGTTAGAGGAAATATAACGAGTATAAAGGAAATTGATGAAGAGGTGACAGAAACAGAGCGATAGAAGTCCAAGGAAGTAGCCAAGGCGTATCTTTTCTCCATTTTGTCCTATGATATACATCTGATCCCAAAAAAAATAGCTTGTTCTTCCCAGAAAAACTTGATGAAGATGACGTTCTGTGGAGCTTGAGTAGTCCTTCGTAGAGACTCCAGACACTTGTGCCCCAAATTGAGGTTGTATAGGCAAAAGGCGTCATTAGAATATAGATTTCGATCAGTAGAGTCTATAAGGCGTCATCATAAGAAAGGCCAAGCAAACGAGAGGGAAATGCATTGTGCGAAAAAAAAGTGCTGAGGAATTTGCATCAGGGAGGTTTTTAGATCAGGTGGTTTAGAAGAAAAACAAGAGCCAAAGATATTAAAAAAAAGAGAGATAAAAACAACTTATCAGTTGATAAGGTGCTTTTAGAGGAAAGAAGAGCCATAGGGAAAAAAAGTGGAAAGAGCAAAAAAGGTAAGAGAGAAGGGGAAAACTCCCAAAGAATCCTAAAATAGTGTATGACGCCCAAGTATACAATACGTTGCATGAACAGAGTATCAGTAATGGTCATTCAGATATTGTGCCTTTGTGCTCCAGGTTTAAAAAAATCGAAGGCAGAAAAATGAAGAAAATCGTATTACAATTGGAGGTATAAATCATACGAGTCACAAAACAGATGCATTCTTCTATACCTCTTCATATTCTCCACAATGCCAGGCTATTGCCCATGTGAATCTTCAATTACACCAAAGGAGTGGAGAAGACAAATGAAAATTAAGCGAAAAAATACCAAATCATAAGATATTCCTAAATGCAGAGAGTTTGGAATTCCGTGGTAAAGAGTGTAATTTAGTAAATTGGATGTCCTCTCAACAAGGAACGACAAAGAGTATCACAATGTAGAAAAATCACTGTCTTCTAATGTAGGAAGCAAACTTCTAAAACAGTGAGGTTTCTCTTTTCGCTCAAAAATCAAAAACCTTCTTTTCTTCACTTCAAGTAGGAAGTTTCTAAGATGGCTAAACGGATCCAACCCAAAAACTCATATTTAAGGATTCATTGGACCACCTGAAGGATCATATCTGTTCGGATATGATTTGTCTCAGTGATCTGCAAATCCTTGAGCCAATGGCTTCATTACACAGTTTTGGTCCATTAATTTACAAATATTAACTAGTTTAAAACTGTCTGAAATGCTTTCATTATTTAGGATGGTTTCCTTAGGGATGTTTACTCTCGGAAACAGTTTTTTCTTATACGAGCTAACAAGATGACTATCAATGAATGTTTCTAATGTGCACATTGCATGGTACTACACTGCTGACTGAATATGCCTCAGACGCCGAATACTCTAGAACCAAGGAGAGGTTTTTAAGTCGGTCAATGGACCAATGGATCGTGTCAGCCCCCATGAACTAGGACTATAAAATAGAATCTTTCATCTACAGAAGCTAACTGAAAAATAATTAACTATCAAGCCTGTTGAGTGGCCATGGACTGAAGAATGCGGTAATCGGCTGATGACATTCTGTATCTACTTAAAAAAAAGTAATATCAACCCTTGAAGTTATGACAAGGTCCCAAACATTTCATTCCCAATAAAATATCTACAATTTTGAAGAAGATATAAGTCAAAAGTTAATCGAAACTTGAGAACTTCCTTATCAGTCTCAGAATGTTGTCTTTAATGCAGTTTCACATTAAGACCAACCTGGTGTTGAAACACCAAAGGTAGGAAAAAACAAAAGGGAATGCCAATATAGTATATGAACCTTGGTTCATTTCCATCTCCAGAATCACGCCTGACTAGATTAAGGTCAATAACTCACATAAAACAAGAAAAAACAAGAACGTATGATTGTTTTTTGATTGGGGATAACCATCCCAGAGTTTCTTAAAAGAACATTACCTGGATATAATTTGCACCATAAAAGGCATTGTTTCCTATTTGAAATTGTGATCTGAAGTCTTTACCCTGCAGTTGAAGAAACATAAATCAAGCTAAAAGTTTGAAAGGTACTGAAAAATGAAATGTGACAGAAAATCGAACCCACACCTCTAGTTTTCAATTTTGGTCAGTGATTTCAGGAACCGTGTTCTTGAATCAGATGATGTATTTTTTAAGAATTTCTTTGAAAGTATGCCTTATGAAATAATGGGGATAATTTGGCTTACTTTCCCTTTATCCAAATCGCTCATGTGTGCGCGTGCTTGTGTGCAACCAAGAACGTATTGCAATTTGAACGATTTTTTTCGAAAAAAGTCTAGGTCTCCAGAAATATCATTTGTGACCCACCACGTCACCCATCAACTTTATCAATTGTTCAATCAAATATACCATTACCCACAAAGAGCTAACATCACATCAAGGTGGCATTACATTCATATAAATATATATGTACATATTCAAATGTATAATGCACTTGATTTCACTGTTTTAGATATGTACATATATGACTTTAATTAAAGTTCAATTTCATCATATATAAGTTACAAGAGTGCCATTGACAAACCTTGTAATCAAAGTTGAACATCCCCTGAGAGTAATGAGGCTCGTTTGTAAGCTGAATACAGAATATCAAAAGTCATTGTACACTTCATAAAAGGCTGTCGACTATTCACAGATACAATAAATAATCATGCAATACCTGGGCATTTATTTTCATGGTTAGATTATCAGTTAAATCACATTTGACTCGTGCATTCAGCCTTCCATCAGTTAGAATCCTTCCAACAAGCATCAACTGCAAAACATACCCATTAATTTCCATGGGCACATCCATGTTTAACATTAGGGTTATAAATGTTCACTCTTTAGTTGAGAAGGGACAGAAACGTCACCATGTCAATTTGTAATACACGACATCTGATTTGCAAGTACCGCACACTGAACGCGAAGTAGGGGCATAATTACGTAAATGAAATAGCTACAAACCTTTGGGTCAAGGAAATTGGCTCCAAACTCGTAATGTGCTGTTGGGACTTTGACAGTCTTCATGGACTGTGATGGCACTTCCATGGACCCCATGAAAACACTGATGAAGCAATATTAGTTGATATAGATGCCTTGATGAAGGCAAATGAAATTGGCATGAAAACAACAAAATAGCAATCTACCTGTGACTGAGGGAGAATTTCTGATTGAGTCCCTTTGTAAAATCAAAACGCATTCCCTCGAAAAGCTCAGGCTTCAAAGACACTGAAATGAGCATTCAAGTATGGAATTGAGAGAAGGATAATGGATAAGAGAGGAACTAGAAAATTAACAGTAACATTTTAACAGCGCTTCTATAATTGATGAAAAAACTATACGAGACAACGGACAATCAAGCATCTTGGAAGCAGGTTGGAATTTTTTCTCATAAAAATGGTCACCATGAAGCACTACACCTTAAATGAGGGTAATATCCATCAAGCATCTTTAGTCGCAACCTTCGAAGAGAGTGGGATCTAATAAGCAGCTTCAATTGCATTAGCTCGAATCCACTTAGGAATAATATGAAAGGTAATGACCCGAGAAAATAACTGAATTTTTCTACTGGCCGGGGTAGTCATATTTCCGGTGCTACATTCTTAGTAGCAGACGCCTAAAACCAAAGGAATTCCATAAGCGTCCGCTAGATGACCCCATTCTTGAATAAGTAAATCATATTCTAACACACCAAAAAACAAAAAGACAACTAAAGATTTGCCGCCGGTACTTTTCACAAATATTAATGGCAATCTTCGTGGAAAAGATTGATCGTACCGTCAAAAAATGACATAAGCATTGACAATGTGAAATTAGATGAAACATTTGAAAATGAACAAACGCTATTAAAATAGGACTTGACAACCTTATTAATCGCGCAATGCAATGGGAATATTTGAGCCCTAAGACCATCTAATCTTGCAAGACCCCCAGCCGAAACTTCGAAAAAAATGCATGGTATAGAAAGTAAATCACAGCGATCTTCACACTGGAAAATCAACTGACAGCTTCAACGAAAGCGGAAGAAAAAGTATTGCGCGTACTCAATGCCTCCCGTTGGATCTCTTCGAACGGGACGGGACACGGGAGGTTTGTATAGTCGACCTTCTCGGCAGTATCATCCTTCTTCTCCTCCGCCGGGGGAGGGAGAACAACCCCCAGGCCCAGGGGATGCGCCGGCGGCGGCGCTACGGGAGGTGGCGGCGGAGGGGCGGCCGCATGGCTGATGGAAATCCCCATCGATTTCTGGTTCGAGGCAACTCTTCCCGGCGGCCTTGGAGGAGCTAGCGCTGTTGCGCACAGAGAGAGCTGGGCGCCGGGAAGGGCCGCAGCGATTGTGGCACAATGCCTCCACCTTCTCCTTGGTTGTCCCGGAGGCGGCGAAGGGATCAGCAGCAGTCTCTTTCGTTCCACTTTGAGGGGTTTTGGGAGGGTTTTCCCTCTTTCCTTTTAACCTCAATATTATGGGAATTAACTCTACATCCTACCTTTTTCCGGGAATCTATACACTCATTATTTTGGGTATTAACTAAACGTCCTTTTATATAACTCTGTATATTTTACATTATTTACTTATTTAGTTTCCCACTCCTCCTTACAAAATACGCCTTCACAGATATCTTGGGCTTTGTGAGGCTTATGCCCAGAAGTGTTTATTAAAGGGAAATAGTTAAAGTTTGAAGTCCCATTTTTAAATAAAATATATTATGGGGTCTGAATTTGTAAACTCCCATAAATTTAGATTGACTCGTCCGTCATAATTGTTTACAATATTATGTTTTTGAAAATTTTCTATCTTGAGAACAATGGTGATCTATCAGTCAACGGGGAAGTCAATGTAAGGGAATATATTTGTTATTTTGATAAAAAATGGATATATTTGCTCTTCCACTTGTTTAATGGTGACTATATGGGACATCTCCAGACTCGGACTCTTGAACACGTGGGAGGTCGTAGAGGTTAGGGTTCGAGCCACCGAAAAGGGGGATATAAATTAAATATTTTTATATTTAGGGCACTATAAACTGTTGCATAAATTACTGAGGATCTAATCCTATAAACTTTTCTGTCACATCTCCAACAGATCTGGAAAACCCTGGAGGGGGGGTGGACCCGGTTACCTTTCTTCGTTTCTCCGCAAGTTCTCTGGTTCTGACTGTCTCGTCCTCTCCTCTCGATCCCACGCGCGCTGGTCCTGACGAGGTTTGGAGATTCCGTGGCGGCACGGAAACTGCGACATTCTTGGAATATAGATCTGCCCCATCGATCCCACACGCGCTGGTTCTTATCTCATTCCGTTCCAGTTTGAAGCTGTGACCATCCTCGGGAAGGAGGGAGAGTGTAGAGGGGGGAGGGGGGGCTCAAACCTAGACAAGATTGACTGGCCTTAGGTTTAACAAAATTTTGCAGTTGGAAAGGCATGGCAGTAGTTGCGACCCATCAGTTTGCTCAATGCATCACATGTCATGTGTGGAGCCCCGATCAAACAAGTAAGTTCCCTGCGCATGGCTCCTTAGTGTTTCTATTTGAGGTTTCTTCGTCGCTTGGAAAATTGACCGCGGAGAGGGGAGGAAGTGACGGGAAGGCGATTTCTTTTTAGAGAATGTTCCGTGACTGTAGCATCTCTAATTGAGGATCGCAGACGCAGTTCACTGTAACGACTTTTTGACCTGGAACCTAATAACATGCAAAGAAAAGCCAATTACCTAACAAGTTCCTTTCTCTTTTAGACTTTTCGAAATGCCAGGTATTTGGACCAATGTTTGACAGATGTATCAGATAGGGTTTTGGGTGGAGCTTGGTTGCACTCTTTTCCGACAGACCTTGTAGACCATTAGATGATGATAGTGCGTAATTTCTATTTATTCAGATATTTATCCCTTTATCCTGGACAAGAATGAGAAGATGACGTAAAATACGAACCAAATTTTTAGGTTTCGTGCACTCTTAATCTGGTGATATAATGAGATATGAACGAAGAAGCCTTCTAGTGTGACATCTGAAACAGCTTCTTAGATATGGTGTACACTTACTTCCTGCTGCGTGGTGCAAATCCCTTTGACGTCTCTGAGGGTACCCGGTCTTCATTTTATTAGTAAAAGAGGATAGAAATATACCTTCAGCAGTTTAGATACTCCTTTCAGAAAATATGCATTAGAGCCTCCTCTAGCAATAAAAAAGGCTATGATGGTGTAGTGTGTCTAAATTTCGTTTTGAATCCCCTTCACAGATGGAAATTTTCTTGCCGTTAAATGTTCCATTTCAAATATTGATCGTTGCTCCTATTTAGGAACTTCATGTTTTCAACCTTAGCATATCATGTCTTACAATTTTCAACAATTTTTCTCTCAATGTTCATATCTATATTTGTGCATAAATACGAAAAATATGATTTTATCAATTCGTATGATTCTATATTTTGGAGGGGGAGCCGATGTGGACAAAGGTCTCATTGTTTGAGAAGATTAGCATTTGAGTCAAATTTATGTATGGCGTGCTCTCTTATTTTGATTCATGCCATAGAAAAACAAGCTAATAGTTGATATTAGACGCATGACTACTCTTCTATAAAAAGAAGAATATTTTGACCTTTGTGAATCCAGTTATTTAGTTTTGCACATCAGCTTCTAATACTTGCTTATAATTCTGATCCCGTTAGCTTATAATACTTGCTATTGTGAATCCAGTTTTTTTAGCTTCGCACCTCAGCTTGTGACATGTGTCCATTTATTTTTTAGTGGTCGCTTTTTGCCCTAATAACAATGAAGTTCACATCTATAAGCTCATTCAAGACAAGTGGGAAAGAGCACATGTTCTTCAGAAGGTACAGCCTTACATGTAGACAGCATCTTTCGGTTACTTTTATTTCACCCCACCGAAATGAGGGTGAATCAATGTTTTATTGGCAAAGCAAATTACTTAATATCGTTTACATAGTAGTTCGTAAAATCTTCCCTGTGTTAGTTTGATAGCAAGTAAAAAAAGGATCTACTGAATAGAATTAGGCATGGCCTTGGTTTACATTTATTCACTGGGTACACTCTGAAAAGTTGCGTTAATTTTATGTAATATCATCCTATCCTTAGCTGTAATTTTTTCATTGAATATTCTCACTGTTGGTTAATCTTTAAGGATGTGCCCATTTCAGATACCTTCTTATGCTAACAAAGACCTTTGGTTTCTATGACAGAAATCATATCGAGGGAAATAAACATAGGTTGGTTAGTATATTAGAGAACTCTCACTGTGATGTTCTTGTGTTCGGACCATTTTCAGGTTGAATCATCTACCGACACAACCTGGTTAACCCTGATGTTCCCACAGAAAAAACACTAATTATTTTCAAGTCTGACAGAGTCTTCAATCTTTCCTGTCAAATGAGTCTATTACCCAGTATGTATGTGCATACTATGTCCAATGACTAATAAAGAGTCTCATTATTTACTGTTTGCTGAATAATTATTAGTTTTCAGCTTACATTTTGCACAGAGAATTTCGTGTCCTTATCACGTCTCCGGAATATTCGTTGGTTTTGTACTACCACTCTTTAAAAGAGCTGTCATGGGTGAGATGCATGATATGAGAATTTCATGAATCCTTAATTTTGCTCTTAGATCCAACGGTGATTGTATAAATCACCTAGATGATTTCAGTTTCTTGGAAAAGATGAGTCCACTCGTGTGGTCAACTGTATTGTTGTTAGACCCATCTTTTAGAGGCCAACCTGTTATACTGATTTTCATCATTTTGAATATTGTCCACACTACGGACTTTTTGTTAATGACCTCACTAGTCCTATTTTGCTACTTGTTTGAATTTCATGCAATGCAGCGGGCATTTTTAATGCCATTCATTTCATTTTGGTTTGTCTCTAATATTGGTCTCATTCTGTTCAGCATGATCAGCTTATATCTGCAATAGATTGGAGTTCTAGGACAAACAAAATTGTTACAGCGTCACATGACAGGAATTCGTGAGTTCCTAATAGATCATTTGTCAAAGATTTTTTGGCCTTTGCACTCCTTTTACAGTATTTGATAGTTTTTTTTCCCCTCTAGTTATGTTTGGAACCAAGAAGGAGCTGAGTGGCTGCCAACCCTTGTCATTCTCAGGCTTAACCGAGCTGCTCTTTGTGTTAAATGGAGCTCAGCAGGTGTCCTCACTGGACGATATTGTAATTTTTAATTCATCTAGCATGCTTGTTGGCCCTTAGACTATGATTGCTATAAATATAAAGCACATGTGTCTCCATCTCTGAGAGCTACGCCTTTAATTATTAGTTAATTTTCAGGCATAGGTTTTAGTGCCTTGAATATGCAGGTTTTGTTAGAACCTATCTTTTTGGAATTTCTTTTTTGATTTATATCCATTCGTTGTCATTTGTATGGGCATCTACATTGTTTCTAGCTTTTATTTATGCTTTGATAAGGCTTGGCCCGATTTTTTAAACTATACTCATTATGCTGATACGACTCAGTAAACTTCTTTTTTTTGCTTTCAAATTGTGGATTAGGTTAAGATCAATCCAAGCCAGCACGAGTCCTTGGAGAGCATTGCTCTAAATTCAACCATACATGTTATGCCCATCAATTCTAACCCATCAAACCTTATTTGAAGCTTGATTTTGGTTTTTTTTTTCGTTTATCTCTCGCTGGTTATTTCGTTGCCTTGCCTTACCCATCTTTGCTGATAAGCCTCCTGGTCTCATTTTGACCCCTGGTTCTAAAATGATAATATTGATAATGATTCACGAACCCCTGTTTGTCACCCCTCTTTGTCTATCCTGAAATAAACCAATATTATTCGTGGTTGTGAAAAGAAATCTGAAGAGGTTTTATGGCTGACTTAGTTCTTTATATACCTTCCTCTTTTCAAAAGTATATGACTTAGTTCTTTATATACCTTCCTCTTTTCAAAAGTTGTTCTTTATTATACCCCTCTTTGTTTAAATTGTTTCTGAATTCACTGATGTTGGATTTTTTCCCTGACTTTGATGATTTCGTGATCTATGTTTGATTGTTTCATCATGATTTAGTTGATCATGCTCTTGCTTTAGTAATTTGTTATTATGAGCTTCACTCGTTGTGCCTCACATGTGACAGTGAAATTTCTGGTGGCTGTTTTTCTATTTACTTGAATGAGATATCTCCATTTTCCTGTTGTGGGACCATTTCATTTCCCCCGTATGACCGTCGATCTGCATTCCGAATGGATGATGCATCTGATATCTGACGCTATTTTCATCTTTACTGATGAAAATATCTTATGGGACTCTATTCACGGATAAGTGGAATATACAGTTGTAGTTTCATTGATTATCTCATTGCATTGATGAAATGGTCAGCTTTGGAGTTTAATTGTTAGTTAGCTCTTTGCTATGTTAGTTTTTTTTTCTCTGATTAAGGTACCAAAACAACAGGGACTTTTTAATCCTTCATAATTCATGGATGCATTTATTTGTTTGAGTGTGAATAAAGACAGTTAATTGATATTACCCCTAAATATGCATGAAATACTGAACTACCTGTGACGATCCTTAGTATTGTTTGTTTGAAGGAGAGTATAGATAATTAATAGCTATTTCTACCAAATATCCATGGAGTAAATACTGGGCAGGCTGTATACCGTGTTCGGGATTACATTGTTTTCATTGTACAGTGACTTTCCTCGTGTGCCATTTGTCTGTGAAGGGAATCAGTAGTCTATCTTCCATTAGAAGATTTATAGGTAGACTTGTTTGATCATGTTTACACATCACGCTTCATATTTTTTTCAGAAAACAAATTTGCTGTGGGAAGTGGTGCTAAAACTGTCTGCGTTTGCTACTATGAGAAGGACAATGACTGGTACTTTGCTTATGTTTCAGACTCTTGATTTTTAAATTACATGTGCAATCTTCTCACCTGCTCTTAGAAGAAGTCAGCCTGTTATTTATTCTACTTCTTAATCCTTTTTTTAGCTGGCAGCACTTTAAATGTAAAAAGCACTATGGCCTTTTAGTGAAATTATTGTGGTCGTGATACTTAGAATTGGTTCGATTTTGACCTGCAAATCAATTTGAGATCAGCACTATCGATCCAACTATAGAGAGGAAATCCACTCCTCATGAAATGAAAGTAAAAGTAGATAGCAAGTATAACTGGCCACAGATCAATCAATGTCACTTGGATTGGCTAATACCTGGTCAAATATTCTTACTGACAATGGGCTGTCAACCCATTCGTGGAGGGTGGAGAGAAAAGAGGAGAGAACAAGGAAACAAATGTCTTTGCTCCTTGCAAAGGTTTTGCATAAAAGTTCTTGAGATTTGCGCTGGGATTATATTCTTCTTCACTGTAAATGCTCGTGCTGTACAGCTCCTAATTTGGCCTGATACGTGTCTGACATCTGTTATGAGCTTCAGTAATTCTTACCTCGTGCTTTTTTCTTTATTAACATTTCAGGTGGGTCAGCAAACTTATTAGAAAAAAGCATTCTTCCTCCGTGACAAGTGTTGCTTGGCATCCAGACAATGTGAGACTGTTTCCCATTATTCGTTAGTATATTTACAGGATTCTCGTCAGATGATTAAACCTCGGATGATGTAGACTCTCGTATTCTTGAGAGTACGGGAGCCTGGCGGATCCTCTAACAGGCCCTTATTTCAGGAATTATGTAACTAACATGTTTTCTTTGTGTTTTGGTGTACAATCTTAGCATGTCAGAATGAGGAGGAATCCCATAGCAGTTCCCACTTGATCTATGGATTATTTCTTCATTTTTAGGATATTTATGTTAACACAAATAATGAACTCTGTATTAGGGATTATATCGATAAATCATGAAAACCAAACCCTCTCACATGCCCAAGAATGTGTAACACATACGAGAAATAGTCACATCAATTGCTTCTCTTTTTTAGATTTTCAAAAAATACTTCTTAATATAACTATTCTAAGTTTATATTTGGGATGACATTACATGTGTTCTTTTGTAAAAATAGGGACAAACTTGTATTTTAAAAAAACGCAGATTCTTATGTACTATGGCTTTCTCTTCTTTGTCATGTGGATTGCTCATTTTTGTATTTTTTATTTATGAGGCAGACTCACGTAGTATTTTTTTCTTCAATTATTAACGCTACTCTTCTAGTTAAATGGACCCAACTTGGCATTGATTGTAATGTGCTTGTACTTGCTAGATTCTCCTTGCTACAACATCAACTGATGGGAAATGTCGAATATTCTCTACTTTCATAAAGGGTGTCGATACAAGGTTTGGTTAACTTCTTGCAGTAGTTGCTCTTGCTTTCCTCTAGTTTCTTATGGTTTCTCACCTTGGTCACCATTGGCTCAATGAAACAGGGATTCAGGGACCAGCATTCCTGATTCAAAGTTTGGAGAGGTTTGATAAATGGCTTTCTTAATTTAAACATTTCCTATAACTCTCTGTAGCTTTGTGCCTAGGTAGTGTATCGCAAAGTATCATTCACCTTCAATCTTATGATATAGTTTAGGTGGTTCATAACCATCATTATCATCAGATATTTATCCTGTTCAAATGGGGTTGGCTAGACTCTGGGAAAAAAAAAAAAGGGTTTTCTGATCGGCTCTTCTCCCTACCGACTTCCTGCAAGGTGGCAGAAGCATCTGATAAGTACAACCTTTACCAGTAGGGTTTCTGTTAAAAGTCATGGAAAACAAGGGATAAGAATTACGTTAAACTGTTTCAAATTTACGTCATTCCAGGACAGTACGCTTTATGACCTTGGAAATTTTAGAGAATAAAAAGGGAAGCATGCAGCTATCTAGAATAAAAAGGGTTTCTGTACCAGTAGGGTGAATAGCATGCAGCTATTCACCTTCAAATTCATGCAACATGTTTTTATGAGAGGTTTTTCTGTTGTGGTGAAATATGCTACAATTACAAAAGTATCTGACAATGACACCTGTTAGGTTTTTTGCGTGTTTCTGCTGCTTATCTTATTTAGGAGGCCACTTTGGTTTGTAAATTAATTGGTCGATTATGTATAGTCGATATTTACCCTCCCTTCTTGTTAAGGCCAATTTGATTTCCTTCATGGTTATTCAGTCTAATAATGTAAAATCTTATGATTTTTAAGGTTCTTGACATCATTTTTTGTTGGCTAAATGTTCCTTTTTAGGGGTTGGAATATACAAACAACTTTAAATTTACATATAGAGCTCATCCAGGTGGTGATAGATTAGATGTCGTTTGGTTCCATCTGTTTTCTTATCCGACTTGGTACTATGGGCCTATGGTCCTATTTTTAGAATATGGGATGGGGTTAGATCCATTGCCTCGTAGCAAGGTAGCCATTTTGCAGATTTAATCATGTACATGAATCGGTACTGCTGTAATAAATGTTTTCCTTCTCCTATTCATTCTCATCTCCTTTTTTCTAGAACCGTGCTACGCTGTTTATCTTTTATTCATGTTACTAATTGACTTTATTTCTGGATTTGGACAAAAATCATTTCTGTTCATATCATTCGTCAAGTTCTTAATAGTTTATTTTAGCAAGTTATAATCTAGAGTCTCTTACTAAATGAGTCCTATTGTTGATTTTCCCATGGAATTAGCAAATTGTGCAACTTGATCTTTCGAGCACTTGGGCATTTGGTGTTAAGTGGTCGCCAAGTGGAAATACTTTGGCATACACAGGTTATATTTTTCTTCAGTTTTACTGATTTTCAAATGCAGAAAATAAATGTTGTCTTACTTTTTTCAGTGAGGTTTCGTTTGTTGGATAATCGAAAGAATTGGCAGAATGTATAGCTTATATATTTACTTAATGTCCACAAAAGTTATATCTCCGAAGAAAAAAAACAAGATTCCTATCTACCCTATCTTCTGTTTCCTATTTCAGATACGTCATTTCTTTTCATGCATCTCCTTTGGGATAGCTTCAGCTTTTGCAAAAAAAATTCTCTGGGCAACCCAGTTTCAGAAAAGAAAAACGGAGATGTTCTAGAGCATACATTTTTTCTATGCATTATTTCCTTTTGTGACTTTTATCTTGCAATGCCTTGTGGAATTGATTTACCATGTCGGCATGCTCATCTAGGAGAAATCATCCTGGCTGATTCTATAGTTGTGAAATGAACAAACATGAGAGATTATCTTGCTTGTTTACTACTCGTCAGATTATTGGTATGACCAGACAGGTGATACAGGAATATCTTCTCGCATTGTCTTATTCATGAATATTGGGCAGTCTCATCCGAGACAACTCTTTAATGTTATGAGGGTGGTATACGAAACAGTAACTGTGGAGAGTTAGCTATTATTATGCTTCTAGGTCTAATGAAACAATGTCGTGCATTGAGATCCTATATCTTTTAAATAATTAGTGAGTGCATGGCTGATGTACGGGGATGAGAGATTGAGATTTCATGGACATTGTGTTGCTTCCCATTTTCAACGAAAGGAAAAAAAGGGATGCAGGAAAGCAGATGCGCTTCCTAGTTCCTTTTAGGCATTCTTACCGTTTGTGATGTAACAGACGGGGTATTAAAGTGGAAAAGATTAATGGTCTAGTCAAACTGGGCAAGAAATTTTACTGGAAGTTTGAAACTGTCCACTGGAGGGAAAATTGTTCAACTAAAGGAAGGCCATATGCAGTTTAAATACTTCTAATTCCGCCATCTTTATATGCAAAATGATTCCCTTTTCCTCCCAATCCACAATTGTTTATGATGTGATAAAAACCTTAATCAGTTGTATTGTACTTTTATTTGAAAGGGTAGCATCAAGTGAATGTTTTTTTTAATAGTGTGCCACGTATTGTTAATTATGAAAAACAGATGCGGAACTATGCACACTTGTATATGGTCGGCGTGCAAAGCTAACTCTAAGGGGACACCTACCACAAGACTCACACTTTTGCCAAATACCCTGCCTTCTATCATAGATTAGCTAAGATACAAAGATATTAAATCCTATGATCAGCTCTCATAGCTGAGAAATGCAGTTATTTCGTAACTTCGGAATAGCCCAGATTAGGCTCCCTTTCCTTTCCTAGTTTTGCTTCCATCTGCCAAGGGTTTTCTTCTTCATAAACAGTGAATAGTTCGTAATGTTCATTGAATTGAAAATTTTCATATGAAGGAGCAAGTGCGTTATGTCTTCCTTCCTTCCTTCAAGTTTCTGCGTAAACTTCACAAAGCGTTAATGTTCATTATAAGCGAGCTTCATCTGAAGAGAATGCCATATTTAGTAGATAATTTATAGATGACTACTGTGCCACTTATTCTTTTGCAAGCTCTGAAGGGCCTTCCATTTATCCTACCCGTCAGGTCAAAGTTCCATGGTGTACTTTGTCGACGATATCGGCCCTTCTCCAGTTGCACAGAGTGTCGCATTTCGTGACTTGCCTCTCCGTGATGTGGGTCAGCATCCTGTCTTCTCCAGTATTTCTTTTCTTTTCTTTTCTTTTCTTTTATTTTAGTTTATTTTATTTTATTTTATCTTATCTTATTTTATCTTATTTTATCTTTCCTGGGCATTTTTAGAAGGTTTCTTAATCTTAAAAACTTACTACTTTCAGGTGCTTTTCATTTCTGAGAGAATGGTTGTTGCTGTCGGATATGACTGCAATCCCATGGTTTTTACAGCAGATGAGAGGGGAATATGGTGTTCTTCCTATTTCTCTAGCGATTTCCCAGCTCCATGTTTTGTTCATACATGATACATACTCGATGCGTGGCAGAAGAAAAATCAACCGTTTATTTTGTTGTGGCAGGAGTTTTGTCAGATTTCTCGATGAAAGAAAATTGGCTCCATCGGGTTCGAAATATGGATCTCAGGTATTTTCTTAGATAATTTTTCATAAATAAATTATATAAATAAATATAGTTTTGTTGGGAGAAGTCAACATATTGTTCTCAAAAGGAGATGAGGGTCTCTGAGTCTGCTTTTGACTCATTTTTCTACAACTTTCATGAGCCTTGTTCATACGTCTTCAAGGTGGGTCTGCATTTTCCGAGGCCATTTTTTTAGTAATGGTCACAATTTTCGTTTCCAGTTCACAGAAGCCTTCGGCAAGTTCTATGGCCAGTCAAAGCAAATGGGCAGCGACACCGTTGACCCTACCAGGGCCCGGGGCGGCGCTCACGAGAATTGTATAACGTATGCGGATCTCAACCCACCCTCGTATAACGTATTCTTGGCAAAATAAGTCAACTTCAACTTACCCTTTGATTGAGTTTATCTCCTTTCAATCGCATCTTTGCTCTATGAAAAAAAATAAAATGAGGGGAGGGGTTGACTTTTTTATTATTATTATTATTTTATTTTATTTTATTTTATCTCTCCCTGCAGTTGTATCCTGCCTCTTCGAAGCGAAGGTGTAACCGTGGTGAAGCGATTCAGCACTTCTGGTCAGACCCCTGATGGATGTCTAAGCTTTTGTTATTATTATTATTATTATTATTATTATTATTTATTATTACTATTATCGTTTCTCTTCTCAGGATTGGATGGCAGAATCGTCGTCTGGGAGTTGGACAGCGACTGAAACAGGTAAAACGACCTTTTATTTTCCTAATTAAATCCTCTTTTTTTTTTGGGACAAATACCAGGTGGGCCACTCATCCTAATCCCTGTGGCGTCCATCTCCTCTGCCAGGATATGGCGGAGCTTTTGTGGGCCTTAGAAAAGAAAATGTCACGGGATCCGTTTGTTCTTCTTCTGTTTTTCTTCTTCTTCGTGCTGGTCCCAGTCTCTTCTGTTCCATCTGGTCGGTGTTTCTCGGATCATAACGGCTCCCTGTTACTTGGGAAGGAAGCGAAATCCAGATTTTTAATATCCGAAAATGGTGATAGTAATAAAATAAAAAGGGGACTAGGCGTGTTTCTTTTCACATGGTTTGCCTACTTTGATACCGAAAAACCAGATTTTAATTGGCCCAATAATCAATTTAATAAATCTCATCTATTTCAAGATATGATGGGCCCTCAGAAGATTACAAAACTATTATAATCAATATTAGAAAGAGTTAAATCCGAAAATGGTGATGATAAAATTAAATGTCTACATAATTTAGGTATTCTTTTTGGCTCAAGCATAAAAGCATAACATTTAGTAAACCTCATTTAATTCAATGCATAAAAGGCACGAAAATAATAAAATAATAATAATAATGGAAAATAGAAGAAATGCGTCTTATTGATTATTACTCTGGACTAAAATCTCAGATGCACTTTTTTGCTCTTCTTAGTTTATCGTTACTCTCACCTTTTCGTTAAAAATAAGAAAATATGACGTGGAAAAGATTAATGCGTTAATATTATCGGGGAATCCGCAATTGGGCTTTGGTAAGTCTGAAAACGTGTTTGGACCAGCGGAAATCCGATTCGATCGTTCACCTGAGATCTGGCAGTGGGTGACGTGTTGAATGCGGTCCTCTCTGTCCATGGCCGTGGACCGGGGTCAGGTAGAACCTGTCCGGTCCGAGCCAGAAACGAACCGGCACTGGGAGGGTAGGAGTTAGACCGGAGGACGCTTCCGCTCGTCGTCTTCTCTCTCTGGCCTGCTCGAGGGGGAGGACGTGAGGGTTTTAGCTCTGCCCCGCCGGCGGGATCTTTCCGCTCCGTCGATCTCGCCGGCCGCTGCGCCGTAGACGTCGCGGCATGCTCACAGGCTCCTGCGCCGGACCTTGGAGTGTCAGTCCTCGCTGATCTCCAGCATTGGCGACGAGGAATACGGGAAGTGTTCTTCGAGCTTCCCGAGTTCCGGGGATTCTTGACGCTTCTTCGTCTCCGGATGATCGGATACGACCGGGGGGCCGTCTGAGGAAGCATCGCGGTCGCCACCTTCCGGTTTTCTGTTTCCTACGGGTACTTCTCCTGAAACTCGTCGCCTTACTCTGCTGGCGCTCGTTTGTCCCTGACTGATCAACCCCCAAGGAGTTTATTCGAGAATTCTATAGCACCTATGTTTGTGCGCTACCCTTCGCCAATCTGTACCCCTCCTTGAGTGAACTCCACGATCTTCTCTCCTCGGCAGCCGTTGTTGGCCCAAGAGTTCCCCTTCACCAGCCAACGTTCTCCGAGGACCTTTCCCTTTCCGTTTTCGACGGGTCTCCTTCTCGTCCACCCCTCCCCAGCGAGACCTCTTCCGGAACTCTGTGATCATCTCCCCTCTCCCGTCACTGTTGGCCAGCTAACCACAGTCAGCCGGCACCAACATCCCTTTGTCCACCAGCAGCATGCTGAAATCCAGAAGCTAAGCGATACAAGCTCAGAAACAAGGATCCGTCTTCCTTATTACGTAAACCTGAAACTTGTATACACAACACGATGGAACATTAAGATCCGTACGTTAGCGTTTTTAAACTTGGTATTCCAAAGTTTCATAGCTGCTGCTCCGACACCTGAAAGGAGAAGAACGTCACATGTGATTGACATGAAACTAAGCCATTATATCAGTCATAATGCATGATTATCTCATATTTGCGTCTTATAGGTACCTAATTATTTCCTTGTTTCTGTTTCGAATGAAGATGCAGCATCATCGCTAGATTCCCATTTGAGCTACGTCGGACGTCACCATCATGGCAGTGGTTGCCAAGGGCAGGGGTCCATGGGCTCGCATCCTTAGTGTATGGAGCATGGGCAGGGCCAGTACTGTACATTACACACGGAATGTTTCCACATTCTCTGCTTCTGGGCTTGGATCCTTCTGTGCTCGTAGAACCATCTTAACTCCTAGACAGTTTTTCAGTTTCCAGAGGCATTTCTCCCCTATCTCTCCGGCACAAAGAGAGAGGGCAGTCCGTGACCTGCTGGCTGAGGTAGAAAGGGAGAAGCAGAGGGAGAGGGACGAGAAGAGAAGGGCTGGGGAGGAGGCGGTCGATGATGAGAATGAGGAGGACTACATGGGTGTTGGATCACTAATTGAGAAGTGGGAAAAACGGATTGCCAAGGATCCAGGGGACGACGAAGCATGGGAGATTCCCACCGACTCAGACAGCGAAGATGATGAGCGCTTCTCACCTCAGGAAGTAAAAAAGCGTGTTGAGGAGTTTGAGAAGAAACACAAACGCCACGAGGAGCTTCTCCTCAAGTTTGCTGAGGCTGGTGAGCAACAAAAATTGGAATTGTTCTCATTTTGTATACCCATATAAGCTGTGATGACTTCTATTGGTTTAATTTCAGTTGGCAACGTCAATCATGACATATGCTGGAAAACAGATCTGTAAATTGCCACTTTATGCTGGCATTTCAAGTATATAATTAATGCTCTCACTAAATTTTGTGTTGTTTATTTTCTCTGCATACTTCTGCCACTCCAGTTGTACCTTTTGTTTTTGTTTGTACTGAACAAAATTAAAAAAACTGATGGCTCAATTTAATTATTTTGTACATATATAAAGTTAGTTTTCTTGCTTGGAATACATGTAGAATCATGCTACCTGGAGCCATCCAAAGAGACAATAAGATTAAAGGATACATAAAGTGTATTTATTTAAGACAGGTGGATAAACCCTTGTCATTTTTTTCCTGAGATAAAACATCGTGTCCTCTGGAGAACATCTTTTAATGGGTATTTTTGTCGATCTTCTTGATGAATTAGCTGATATCATCTCCGAAAATTGTTTTCTAGCAGCCTCTATGGACGATATTCTTTTATCTCCAATCTCCACTTCTCCAAGTGATTGGGTGTCTTGTAGGAAGATGTGGTATTCTGGTTTAGAATGGTACTTGAACATCCCAGTTTGGCATTATGTTTTTCTTGGTGGGACAGGATGTGGGTTGCTGAGCTTCAAAAAGGACAGGATTATAATTGTTTACCGGATTTTATTTTAGCCTTGTTCCTCCATTGTCTCCAAGGACCTATTCCTTGTTTCTGTTAATGCACCTGTTGACTTTAACCATTTCTCTATCCCGGAATTCAAGGCTTCAGCTGCATTATTCTTTGTTAACTTAATCAGCTTCAGTTTCGTATCCACTAGGATGATGTTTGGAACTCATTACAGGTTTCCTTGCTTTCTTATGGAATTACTTCGCCCCTAATCAAATCCCAAGTAATAATTTACCATCTGTTCCTTAGTAGAAAGTTAATTTCGGTTTTAGGGGAAAGGCACAATATTTACAAATGATTTATTGTCATTGAAGTATATGCTATTGTTAACAAGAAATACGAGATTGTACTAGGATATGACTGCAGGGCTATTGAATTCTTTATGTCACGCCGTACCATATTACCTTGGAATCGTTCATATGCTTCGTTGTTTGAATGATCTAAGTCTATGCATCAATCATTTATCTGGAAATCATTGATTTTTCTGTCATATGCACATTTAGAAAGCAGTGGTTTTGTCCATCACAAGTATTTGCAGTCTAGTGACTTGTATCCCTCTGTCGTGTGTAACCCATTACAGAAACTCTTGATGAGTCCCACAAATGGATGACCAAGATTGACAAGTTTGAACAGAAATATTTAAGGCTGCCATTAGAGTACAGGGTCATAGGAGATTTGATGAACCGTCTGAAGGATGCCACTGACAAGGAGAAATTTATCCTCCAGCATAAGCTGAACCGAGCTGTCAGGTTGATGGATTGTAAGGAAGCCTATGACCCTAACGATCCTGCTAATTATGGAGCTATTCGCCATTCACAAGTTGGCCCTTCAGTTGATCAGTTGAAATATACCGACTTCCAAAAGGAGAAGAAGATGATCCAAGGGGCTGATTTGGACGAAGAGGACGATGACGACTTTAGTGAGATAAAAGAGAAGGATGATAAACTTTTAGAGAAGCTTAATGATATTGACAAAAAGCTCGAAGAGAAGCTAGCAGAACTCGATCATACGTTTGGAAAGAAAGGAAGAGCACTAGAAGAGGAAATCAAAGAGCTGGCTGATGAGAGAAGTGCATTGACAGAGAAAAGTAGAAGGCCTCTTTATCGAAAAGTAAGTCCAGACATCATTTTCACATTATTTTGTCCAATCAAGTAATAAATGCCCCATATTACTTGTTTTTTCGAAGAAAAAAAAAATGCAATTGTTCCATCTGTATTGCGTAGGGAGAGTCGGGCTTGGCTTTCCATTTACAGAACCTGCCATTCAACCGCTTTTATGATAGGATGGTTGCTTGATTTAATACTTCGATATAACTTCAAGATCCTGACTTCATGGATAGATCGTATTCTTAACCTCTTTTATTTGTAATTTGTCAATCGAAGCATGTTCGTATGTTAGTTGTCATAGTATCATGCTTAAGATTTTACTCAATGATTTATCAAAGTGTGGGTGTGAGCATACTTCTTCATAAATAATGAACAGAAACATTTTTTTTGTTTATTCGTCTCAATTTCGGTTTTGCTCGCTGTCGTAAATGATTAGCTTGAGGTTGAACTTGTACCTAAGTCAGAACTAGAATTAGGAAAGGATTGATAACAAATTATTTTCTTTTGCCTCTCATCAACTGATGATGGACTTTCTACTCACTCAAACTACCTTATTGCCCATAGGCACAGTCAACTATAGAATATGCTCCAGGAGAGTCAGAACAGCTCTCTTTAGCTAGAGGCCGCACTTTATGGGATAAACCGTGCATTTCTAAATACAATAATAATAGCCAACTTCCATTCTCGACTAATATGCTGCAACTCGTTGCTGTTGGATTTTATTGAGGCAGTTTATGGAGGAATCGGGCTAATAATTTCTTGTTTAACTTGTTGTTCCCTCAGTACTTGAAATGTTAATTCTTATTCCTCGCTGTGTTTTTCCCTAATCTTAATGAAGAACCACACTAATCTTCATTTTAGTGATGACACCATAGGAATAGGCCATGCTTGCTCTTTGATCATTGGGGAGTGCCTGCCTTTTTTCTCTCATACAGCTGGCATTGCTAATTTCAATTCCTCCAAAAAATGTGTTTCCTGCCTCGTTGATAGTTTTTTATTCTTCCGTTTAATGAATGTGTGCATCTATTCCTTCATCATTGGATACATTCGCTCGAAGTAAAACAAATACGTTGCATGATTGCAGGGATTCGATGTGAAGGTTGTCGATGTCAATCGCACGTGTAAAGTTACAAAGGTGATGAAGATTATCGAATTTTATTGTTGTTATTTGAGTTATTTTCCTCCTTTTTTGGAATGCTGAACGCTAAATCACCATTCTGGTTATCATTTTATCTGAAAAAAAATGCCCAAAAAATATGAAATCGTGTTGCTTTTTTTTTTAGTTTTGATTACATTTGAAAAGCCTGGTCCCTCTCAATTGTTTTATTGAAGAAGGTAGAATAGTTTAATCTTGTTTTTGAGAAAAACGATGGACAGGGTTTTTTGGGCTTGACTTTAATGTACTCAAGAGTAAGATGTTTCAATAAATTCTTCATCAAATATTTCTGCTCTTACTATTTTAGGGAGGGCAATTGACCAAGTACACTGCATTGTTAGCATGTGGGAACTTCAATGGAGTTATAGGTTTCGCCAAGGCAAAGGGCCCGACACCTCGAATTGCAATTCAAAAGGTAATCCATAGTATTTATATATTCCCACTAATAATTTTTTATCACCCTTTGGCAACATTTTCTCCATGTTTCTTCTTTCTTTCTTATCACCAATTCCAGTACCTTGTTTGCTTTAGAATATATGTTGTCCTTTTTTCCTTATTTCTTTCGATTCTCTCTCTCTCTCTCTCTCTCTCTCTCTCTCTCTCTGTGTGGCTTCCAGGAATATATATGCATATATTTTTCAAATGAATTAACTTGTTGATAGAAATAGAGAGTGCATGAAGGAGAGAGAGGAAGAGAGAAATAAAGGGCTTGCCCAAAAACCCTAATCGAGAGACTCTGGTATTTATACCAGAGTCTCAAGCAACCTAGATGGGCTGATAGGGCCCATACCCATATGAGTAGATATGGTCACAACCTAGGGTCACAAGCTAGAGCATATACATCATATGCACCTTGCATGTTACATAGAAATTGTACTCTGACCATTTAGAGACCTGGCGAACAGATATGCAAGTTGATCTACAGAGTTAATGTGGATTGTGGTGATAAGTTACACTAAGATCTTCGCTTTGATGAAGTGACAATCAACTTCAATGTGTTTTATCCCCTTATGAAGCACATGATTAGAAGAAATATAAAATGTCACCCGATTATCACATTTGTGCATCATATAACCTTCATGAAGAAAATCAAGTTCTTCAAGAAGATGCCTAATCCGTTTAAGTTCACATATGGTATGTGCCATTACCCTTTATTCTGATTCAACACTTGACTGTGATATCACATATTGTTTCTTTCTTTCCTAAGAAATAAGATTGTCACCAAGGAAAATTCAATAGGTAGTAATAAATCTCTTGTATAGATTGCAACCAGCTCAATCAGCATATGAAAAACCTTGCACTGTGAAGTGACCATTATTCTTATATATCAGTCCTCTACTTGATTTACCTTTGAGATACCTCAATATCCGCCTGACTGCATTAGGATGCTTAGTGTGTGGTGGTTCCATGAAGTGACTCACCACTAGAAGAAGAAGAGATATGGCCGAGTGATAGTCAAATAATTTAGTTTACCAACTGAATGTCTTTACCTCCCTGAATCATCTAACATGTCACCTTCATGAAATGCTAACTTCAAGTTAGGGTTCATAGGAGCAGTAGTTGGCCTTGTACCTACCTAGCATACGTGCCTCTATGAGAAGGTCAAAGAAATACTTTTGTTGATTTCAATCTTCAGAAAGTATTTGAGATTACCAAGGTCCTTGGTTGTAAATTGCCCTTGTAAGAGATCCTTGAGTTGATGTCATCAGCATATACAATCAACAAAATACAACTAACGAATGAATGTCTATAAAAGATAGAATAATCAACCCCGTATCTTTGAAGACCAAAGTACAATATAATATTACTGAATGGACTAAACCAAGTACGTAGAGAGATTTATGTAGGCGACAAACCAAGCTAGACTCTACTTGAGCAACAAAACTTGCTGGTTGCTTCATAGAAATCTCTTCTTATAAGTCATCATGAAGGAATACATCCCTGATATCTAGCTGATGTAGGGGTCTCAAGAGATTGAACAGCTAATATCAAGAAAATTCAGACTGAAGTAATTTTGGCAATTGGAGAGAATGTCTCAACATAATCTTCATGTTATATTTGGGTTTAGTCTTTGGCCATCAAATGAGCTTTTAATCTGTTCAGATAACTATCTGGGCCAACTTTAACATTGAATACTCATTTGCACCCAACAATAGATTTACCATACCGTCATAAAACTAGATATCATGTGCCATTCTACTTGAGAGTGGTCATCTCTTCCTCCATAGTTATATGCTGCCCGAGTTGGCCTAGTGCTTTTGAAACAAAGGTAGAATAAACTAGAGCTAGGTGAGAATAGGAGATAAAATCAGACATAGGGTGAAGGGTGCACTTGGGTAATTGTTGGGCAAGTTTACAGAATTATCTGTCGCATACATACATGTGATAGGGGGTTGACTACGATCACCTATTGGAGCACGAGACTCAACATGATTATCACCTATTAGAGGACCAATAGTAGATATTCACTCAAGAACTACTAGTAGTGGTAATAGTATAATTAAAAAAGGATGTACCTTCGAAGAATGTAACATTAGCTGAAGCAATGTGATGACCAAGTGATGGACTATAACACTTATCTCCTTTTTAACACAAGAATATCCTAAAAAGATGCATATTATAAATTTGGGGCCTAGTTTATCCTGATGAACTCGTAGTCTACGGATGAAACAAACACATCCAAATATTTTAGGTGGAATATTATATAATGGTTCTTTTGAGTGAAGAACAGAGTATGGGATCTTGTTGTCTAGAATAGAAGATGGCATGCAGTTGATTAGATAAGTGGCTATAAGTACAACATATTCTCAAAATTCTATAGGAATGTGCATAGGTAAAACAAGTGTAGGGGAAGTTTCAATAATGTATCTATTTATTTTATTTTTCTCAATGACTCTATTTTTTTAAGAGATATGATAACATAATGACTGATGAACTAGTCCATGGTGGGTTTAGTAATGTGTAGAACAAAAAGAAGAATTAAAATATTATTTTACATCACTAAAACATAATATATTAATAGTTTTGTCAAATTGGTTTTTTTAATTTAGCATAGAATATGCAAAAGATAGATAAGAATTTGGATCTATCTTTCACGAGATACATACAACCATGTGACATGAATGGTCATCAATGAAAGTAACAAAATATCTAAACCTTAATTTAGATGTGACCCAACTCGAACATCATACATCTGAATGAACTAAATCAAAGATTGACCTCACTTGATTATAAGCACATGATCCAGAACTAGAACGCTGGCATTCACCTAACTAACAACTCTAAGTTATCTAGACCAATAAGATTGGGAGCTAATTACTTGAGCTTATCAAGAGACATAGGACCTAATCGAAAACTGTGAACTGTGAATTGTGAACTGTGAACTGTGAACTGTGAACTTGGCAGGCATATGAAAAGTGCTTCCAAAACCTTCACTATGTGGAAAGGCACGAGGAGCACACCATTGCCCATGCAGTCCAGACGAAGTACGAGAAGACAAAGGTATTCGAGATATTTCCCTTTCTATCTTCTTTCCTCACTCAAGAAATTTATCACTTATTTAATATATTTATATTTTATACTACGACCTCAGATCTGCCTCTGGCCTGCTCCCACCCGATCGGGGGTTGTAGGCGCATCCAAGACAGTGGAGACTATCCTGTTCTTGGCCGGCTTTAAAAACGTGAAGTCAAAGGTGAGCTTTTTCTGTTGACTCCATGATCAGGGAATAACATGAGTTTCATTTAATTCATGGAAATTTTATAGGTGATCGGCTCCAGGAACCCACATAACACCATTAAGGCCCTCTTTAAAGCGTTGAATGCCGTGAGTTGGCTCTCTCTCTCTCTCTCTCTCTCTCTCTCTCTCTCTCTCTCTCTCTCTAACATGGCTTTTATTCATGAGGGAGACTTACTGCATGGCTTTTTTCCCACTTTGGCAGATCGAAACTCCCAAAGATGTTCAAGAGAAGTTCGGGCGAACGGTGGTGGAATCCTACTTGCTGTGAGCACCCCCCAGATCCTCATCCTCTTTGCCTCTGGGCTCCTCTTGTCCCTTGGAAAATTGCGGAAAGGACCTCAGAAGAAGATTTCATATCCAGAGTACCCCCTTCCCGCCCCCTCAAGAACTTTCCATTAAGGAAATCTTTTTGGATATATGCCCGCTAGCTGGGATTTTTTTATTATTATTATTTGTTGCCTGTTATTCCCAATAATTTCCTCCAGTAATTACTCTTCTTCACCCTTACAAAAAATATTGCTTTTTTTCCGGCCGCCGCATGCAAAATAGCCGATCAGTCCCCGGAAAAAAAACATAATTTCAATCTCGCCATCGAATTTCCCGGCAGCGGAACAAAGCTGGGCGGGGCTTCTCGATGGCGTCGAACCGTCGCCTCCTTATCGGGCCGGGCCGGGCCAGAAGTAAGATCCGAGAAGTCCGGACTGTAGATGAAGAAGACGAAGAAGAAAGACCTCGCTGTTTACAGCCTCGGGGAGATCTCCAGACGTTGACCTTCGAGGGTCGCCTCCTTGAGTCGCCTCCTGAGGATCTTCCCTGAGGGGGACCTCGGGATCGAGTCAACGAACCTCACTCTCCTAATCTTCTTGTATGGCGCCACCTAAAACAATGACACCATACGGTCAATGCCCCCATCTATGCGATAAGAGAGAGAGAGAGAGAGAGAGAGGGAGAGAGAGAGGGGGGGGGGACCTTGGCGGCCATGAAGGAGATGATCTCGTCCTCGCTAATGGAGCTGCCATCTCGTCGGACGACGCAGGCGACCGGGATCTCTCCGGCCTCCGAGCTCGGGTGCCTGAAACACAGGGAGAAGCGCGGGTTCTTGTTAGAGGAGAGAGGAAGGTGGCGCGGAAGTCAACGGTGGTCTGACTCACGGGATGACGGCGACGTCGGCGACGTCGGGGTGGCGGCTGAGGATCTCCTCCAGCTCCGCCGGCACCACCTGCAAGAGCTCCCCACCAGCCCAGCCCCCTTTCAGCGCCGCCGCAACAGTCGACTAGAAAGAAGAAAGAGTTCATCGCCGACGCCGCAATGGTGGAGTGAGAAAGAGTACCTGGTAGGCCTTGTACTTGATGAGCTCTTTGATCCTGTCCACGAGGAAGACGAGGCCGCGGCCATCGATGTAGCAGAGGTCGCCGGTGTGGAGCCATCCCTCGTCGTCGATGCCCAGCGCCGTCGCCTCCGGGTTGTTCAGGTAGCCCTTCATCACCGGCGGGCCCCTCACGCAGAGCTCTCCGATCTGCTCCGGCGGCAGCGGGCGGCGCGTCCTCACGTCGCAGATCTTCGCCTCCATCGACGGCACCAGCCTCCCGATCGACGCGTGCACCTTCCCGGCGACGCCGTCGCAGAGCGTGATGGGCCCGCTGGTCTCCGTCAATCCGTAGCACTGCGGCCAAAAACCAGTAAAACAGAGAGCCGCGGTGGCGGAGCATCGGCGGCGGAGTACACTCACCTGGGAGAGGGTGATGCGGGGGAAGCAGCGGCGGAAGCGGTCCCGGTGGTCGCCGGCGAGCGGCGCGCCGGAGCAGATGACCTCCCGGAGGGAGCTGAGGTCGAACTTCTCCGCCAGGTGAGGGGACCGTGCGAGCTGGTTCACCATGGGCGGCACGGCGGGGAGGCGGGTGATCCGGTGCTCCGCCACCGCGCCCAGCGTGCCCTCCAGGGAGTAGCGGCGAAGCACCACAACCGTGGCGCCCGCCGCCAGCGCGCCGCAGACGAACATCGAGAAGCCGAACATGTGGAACAGCGGCACTGCGCAGAGGTACACGTCCTCGCCGGGGTCGCCGCCGTGCGCCGCTAGCCACACCTGCCGGAGAATGCAGCTCATGGCGATGAGGTTCCCGTGGGTGCAGACCACCGCCTTGCTCTTCCCCGTCGTCCCCGAGGAATACATCAGCGCCGCCGCCTCCTCCGGAGAGGTCCCCTCCACCGCTGCCGCCGCCGCCACCGCCTCCTCCTGCGCCACCAGTTGCAGCAGCTCCGGAACCAACACCAGCGGGCCCGAGACGAGGCCCAGAAGCTTGGGGCGGAGCTCGGAGGTGGTGACCACAACGACGGGATTGGAGTCTCTGATTTGGATCTGCAACTCCTCCCTGGTGTTCAAGAAGTTGGCGGTGCTGAAGACGGCGCCCACGGACATGATCCCCAGGACTACCACCGGGAAGTGCAGCGAGTTGGGGGAGACGACGAGGACGACGTCCCCCCTGCAAACCCCCAGCCCCCGGAGCGCCGCCGCTGCAGCCGCCGTCCGCTGCCGCAGGCCCTCGTAGCTCAAGGCGGCGCCGGAAGCCGCGTCCACGAACGCCGCCTTCGCGGGGGGCCCCGCAGAGAGGAGGAAGCTCGGGAGGGCGGCGGCCGGCGGCGGCGGGAGGAGGGCTGCGCCGTCCCATTTACTGTGGTAAATTCCCGTGGACGGGCAGAAGCCGCTCTCTCCGACGATCTCCATCGCTCTCTCACTCTCTGCCTCTCTCTCTCTCTGCTCTCCGCTCGCTGTCTCCGGCAGAGCAGAGCTCCTTCTTTAATGGAGCTTCTGCCGGAGCCAGCCAGCGGGCAATAAATGGGGGCGGTTAGGGAGTAGGGCTCCAGCTCCGCTGCTTCATAAAGGGGCGAGCTGTGCGAGGTCCTCGCCGCCGCCGCCATCACCAGCTCGGTGGCGGCGGCGCCACTTCGGTACTGTCGACCTCCGCCGCCGGCCCCGACAGGTGTCAACCAGTTGCCCGTCTCTCTTTATGTCGCTGTGGGGCCCACTTCTCTGTAGTCTCCGGCAAGTCCAGCGCCGACAACTCATCCTCGCCTCCCGCTCCACCGTCGACGCCTCACCGCTTCTGCAACCAGCCTCCCCCTGGATTTTTTTAAAAAATGGTGTTATTTTGTAATTATTTATCAAATGGGGGATTTATATATAATTTCCAACCCCCCCGCTTATTAAAATATTACAGACGGTAATTACAATATTACAGTAAACCTACAGTAATTACCCATCTGCCCTGTTTTGGGCGGGTGTAAAAGGGAAGAAAATTTTCTGGGCTGATTCGTAAATATACAGAAAAATGGGCCACGGGGGATTTTATTGGCCCCAAATTGACCCGTCAGAATACATGCGGGCCCGGTATGGTATCAGTTGGGCCGATATTACTTCCTAAGTGGGCTTCGAATTTGGGCCTCGGATGTCCGGTTCCTACGGTTGAAGCCATTATAATTACCATTTTACCCTGTTTTCAAATGGTCCGGATTGATGTTTTGGCGGCGGGGGGTTTATTGGGCCCTAATTGACTCAACAAGATTGTCTTTGGGCCCAGTATGGGATAATGGGGCCGATATTACATCTTAAGTGGGCTTAAAAATTGGGCCTCAAATGTCTGGTTTACCTGGCACGCAACTGAGGCGTGAACGGTCGGGGGGCAGGAGGGAGGGCCTTGAAGCTTCTGTTCTCAGATTCCGCCTTTCCATCTCCGAACGTGCCCGCCAGGAAGGTTGGTACCGCCGGGGAAGGAGTTGGTCGGGGAACATTGCCGCCGAGGGCTCGCAGCCCGGAGAAGGTTCCGTATGCACCGCCATTTCTATCCTCGAGTCTCGTTTCTGATTCGATGCTAGTGTCGACGCCGGGATTTGCCTGATTTTGTACCCTGGTAGATGCAGCAGACTGCCACTGCTGTGGCTGGCACCGACCGGGCGTTGCCGCTTCGCATACTTCGTCACCTGCTCCCATGCACGAACTGGCTCTGCTGACGTTCCGACATTGGCCACTGCTCCGTGTCAGCGGGTAGCTGCATGCGGGTTAGTCTCTCGCGGCTTCTCCTCACCACTAGGGTTTTTTTTTTTTGGCTGTTTGAGATCACGCGGGTGCATGGGTTCCCCCCGTCTCAGTACAGAAAGAATTCCCGCGGAAGACCAGTCGTATTTTCTGAATCATCTTCGACATTCGAATCGGTGCCTCGACATCGTCGAACCCGCTATAGTTGAATTCTCCCGCGTTTATATACTTTCATTACTATTTTCTTCATAAAAGAATATGCATTTTTCAAGAAATACGCTGACTTTTCTTGTTCCAAAATTGACCTTTGACTTCTGATTCCCTGGTGCCATTAAAACTAATTGATTGATGTTTTTCATGGACGGCAGGGGGATATCGCTCGTCCTCACTGGAGAAAAAGCGTTGCGTTTAGAACAACCCTTCTAAGTCTTTATAGAAAGGCCATCCAACCTAGGTGATTAGCTTGCACCAGAAACTAATGAATTGGGCTTGTTCACTGGTTACTGAATGAGACCTCTCTGCAGAAAGAGGAAAAATGGTGCGCATGTTGACAGCAACTGTCTGTGTACCATTGTGATAAAAAGTGGTTGTGATAAATCTCCTTCTTTGTGTTTTCTCATATTCGACCAAAATATCCATGCAATTTTTCTATCCTCATAAGTAATTTGGTCACTGGCCCACAGTCATATTACATAATGACTGTGGAAGATATTGTAAAGTGAGAGAATTAATGAATAAATCTGCATCACTACCACTTGACCTACTTCCCTGGGTGCAATCTCTGCTACCTGTCCCACCACAAAAATATTCAGAGCGTTTCTCAGTTTATTTTTTGTTCAAAATTAGTTATGTGACATTAATAAATGTTTCCGTTATTAAGCTGATATATATGTGATCTGTCTGGTATACATGTACTTTAATTTTTTATGTCCTGTAACGATTCTAATGATGTGATATTGCAGGAACTGTTATATCAAGTTTTTTTGCGGGAGAAATTGGGGACCATTTATAAAAAATTATGCACAGAAGGAATGACCAGAGAATGAAAAAAATATGAAAAATGGGGGAATGCAAAATTGAAGAGGAGGAAAATGAATTGGAAAGCGGAGTATTTGAGGAAATAAAACTGACTACTGATGTAGATAAGGTGGAACCAAGTAAAAATGAGGTGCAGGATATTCAAACGGATGAGAAAACTGTGCTAGTTTTAGACAACACAGATAAAGAAGAAGAAAATGAATCAGAAGAAGTGCAAGAAGCTGAGGAAGACGTTGAAAGTGAATCTAGCGATTCATTTATTTGCGATTCAGAAGATGGTCTGTCAGAAGATGAAACGAATGATGGATTAACTTCCGAGGTAAGCTCTTGTTTGCATTTTTATCTTTCTGTTATGATGATAAGTATTTTCCTGTTGTTAATAAGACAGTATAATTAACCTTGCGCAGTATCCTATGCTCTTCTTGACCACGAAACCGCTGTAATCATTGTTCTCATTAAATGCAAACCTCATCTACATTTTATCTCTCATTTTCATGGCTACCACCGTGATCAGTTGGGTCAATATCTATTGGTTCGAAGCATGGTACTTGGAGTTAGCCGATTTGGGCCAAGATTGGCGCTAGCTGATCCTATCTTAGGGGAAATTTGATCCATCTTGCTATTCGAAAAAAGGAGAAAAGGGCATAACGCACTGGAGACTGTAATGTCTTACTTCAATCGGACCTGCTGCATATCTAGGAAAAGCAAGGGCGGCTACTCACACCTGCCAGCTAAAGGTGTAACGGAAAAACTTCTTCACATTTATGTTCATTTGTTACCACTGCCATCACAAGCTGTGGCCACCTTGGAGTACCCCACTGTGAAAGAGTCAGGCTTAGGCTTTGGGGTTTATGCTAAACTTTGGTTTTATTGCCCCATGAGTACTTCGAACTATTTGCACGTCTCCATCTAGTTGTCTATCACTATGATTCCTCCAAACTAAGAGGTCTTAGTTACTATCATCAACTAGTTCTTTAATGATTTCTAAGGAGCCAAAGGTTCTTTGCTTTTATATCGTCTCCATTAATATTAATATCTAATACATCTTCTAAAAAATTTAACACGAAGCTGTCAACCAACGTAGCCTTTGTTTCATTATTCTGTGAACGATTTACAGTAAATCCAATGAACGGAAAATATTTTTAAACTTTAGATCAGATCTTTAAGAATTCTATTAATTAAAATATTTTTTATTTTCAGACTGTCATTTTTAAAAGATGTGCTTCATGAGCATTTAATGTCCGTCTATTTGGCTCATTAAATTTATTGAATTAACGAGAATGTAAGGGGCCAGAATGTCCCAGCAGAGGTGTAGAGCTGTTTTGAAAGGGGTATAGAAATTGTCCTGCTACTGGGGCAGGCTACTACAAGAGGGGAGTCATTGGATGGGGTTTGACTGTGGAGGATGGAGGAGAGAGGAGGCCATTGAATGTGGGTACAGAAATGTGGAATGAGATGACCTCCTATAGGTTAGAGGGCATCCAGATTGGGGTGGTGGTTCGTCTTGGGGGGTTGTGAAAAAAAGAAAGAGGGACGGGGGTTGGGCTGTTACAGAAGCGAGGGGATCAGGTAGGAACTGCCATTCTGTCAGAAGTGAGTGTGCAGAGAGAAGGCTGTTCGACATAAGGAGGGCTGTCAATTAGAGAAATAAGGAGGCCACTCGGGGCAAGGGGTTGATGAGATCCAGATATAGATGATAGTGGAGGAATGCAGACGGAGTAACTTAGATGTTACAGAGTGGAAGTGCTTGAGAAAATGAAGGGATTTTTCTTAATGAAAAATTGGAGCCACCTATGAGAGGGGGCTGCCACAGAGGGGAGGATGCACTAAGAGAATTGGCAGCATCTAGATGAGGGGTGACAGCTAGTTCCGGGGGAGGATGGATCTGAATGGAATAAGAGATGCAGGGGGGTAACTGGTATACACAAGGAGCCATCCTAGAGTATTCCATCGTAGGAGTAGTTTCGGCAGCTTGAAGAGATCGAATTTACAACTTGGTTTCTTGAGGATTTCTTTAAAGTTCTTGGCATTTCCGACAGGGTTTTCGGAAGAAGTCATGGAAAATAACTATGTCAAAGGGTTGAAAGATGAGAACTGATGTTTATTTTTTTCCATGTATGCTGCTGGAAAGTGCTAATCGTTTTCTTGTTACTATAGTTGTTTGTATTATTTTTGTTTGGTTCCTTGAGTTATTCACTATCTCTTTCTTAGAATCTTTGCTGTTGATCTATTGAGAGAAAATTTCATTTTTAATTATCGTGCCCGACAGGTTCCTTTAACTGATGCAGAAGTGGAAGAACTTATTACGGAGTTTTTAGATGTTGAGAGTAAGGTATAATCTTTCTTTCACTTATAGTGACTTTAAATTTAGTAAAAAATATTTCTGTCTTTGTCTTTTTCTCATATAAGTTTTAGGCAGCAGAGGCCCAAGAGTCACTGGAAAAGGAGTCTCTTGCACAAGTGGAGAGTGAAGTAAAAGCAGAGCTGTCTGAAAAATTTCAGGGTGAAGAGGTAGGAGTTAGTTTTTCACTCACTTAAGAACATCGCATCCCTCGTGATAATTCTTCTTTTTGATGTATTTGTTATTTTTCCAAACGCAGTTAGAAACCGCTGTACTGGCAGAAATGAAAATTTACATTGAACAATGGAAGTCAACGCTTGATGAATTGGAGACTGAGAGTTCTCTGCTGTTGGTGAGTTTGCATCTTATATTTCTAATAGAATGTTACCTTCATTTCGCTTTTTTCTCTCCTACATGCGATGCAATTTCTTTAGGGTTTTCAATGTCACCATTTTTGTCATTCTTGTGGCATTTTTGCCTGAAGCGTTTATTATTTTTCTTGAAGGTGAAGTTTTTTTCATAATGAATTCATAACATCATGATGTGTCTTCTCGTGCTAGTGATGCTCAACTAAGGTTTTTGATTAAAAGAAATATTTTGAAGACTACTCCTTTTCTTGTGAAATGAATCCATCTGTTGCGTTGTTTTTTCTCTTACCTTGGTTCTTGACATTTAATCAGTCGCTACTTATCATTTGGAAGCATGCGTGGATAAACAATAATAAATTCCTAGGTTTTATTAGAAGTAGAGCAATCAAATGTTGGTAACTTTATGCCTGTTATTGAACTTGACCAAGAGAAAACAATTTTCTCTGGTGTAAGGGTCTATGTTGACCCAACTGACCATATTCTATCGTTTTTGTTTCTACAATTAACATTGGCTGACTTTGCATGCAACTAATTCCTCTGTTATGTATTATTTGTACTCCTATCGTTTTATTCCTGCATATTTTTACAAAATTTATTTTCTTAATATTTTTTAGTTTTAGGTTGAGGTTTTAGCTCCTAAATGCTTGTTTATGATTAGTTAGCTTTAGTATTATTCATCAAGAAGCTCAAGTTGTGCAACATTTTCATGGTAAAGTTGTTGTGCTCTCCGTGGAATATACCTGGCTTTCCTATAATCATGTAATGTTGATAGCTTTCTGTGAGAGTCATAACTGCATGCGTTGGTACTAACCTCTATTTGTTTCTGTAACTTCACCCCCAGTACCCTGATTCCTTTGTTTGGATAAATCCTGATTCCTTGTTTTAGTTTAACATAATGCGGTTGGCTTTATTCTGCATGAAATTCTTAGTTTATGCCTTTTAAATTTCCAGTTCGTATTTTTCTATTTTCGCATGCCCAGCCGCAGCCTCGTGGCTGTTAGTTACCATTGGTTGTGCCAGGCAAGGGTCAGATCAGGATTTTTGGCAAGTTGAGTTCTGGGATCATCCACTGGGATCTAATCACTAAGGTTTCATAATCTTTCTGTTCGTTGATGAATGACTAAGAACCCAAATAATTTTTTCTTGTTATGTCTCTGATGAAACATGAGCCACTTTCGTTTGTTCGTGGCAATGGGTTCTACAATACTCATCTTCATCTCATTCGCTATAGGAACAACTTGATGGGGCAGGCGTTGAGCTTCCTAAACTCTATAGGTTGATTGAAAGCCAGGTAGCTGATTGTTGCTCCACTGAAGCCTGGAAGAGAAGGGCACACTGGGTAGGTTGCCAGTTGACTAGTGAACTAGATGAAGCAATTAATGATGCGGAAAAGTACCTTCAATCTTGTCGACCTGTGAGAAGGTAACATTTCGCTTTTGGATCATGTGCTTTTCTGATTGAATTTTTTTCGCTTCTACTCTTTTGTTCTTATTTTTTTATGATATCAGACGGCATGGTCGGGTGATGGAGGAAGGTGCAAGTGGTTTTCTTGCCAAAAAGCTGACAACTGAAGAGCACAGAAAAGGTACTGCAGAGAGCTCAGATCAAGATTGGTCCTCATTCACGGAGGTCCTCCAGTCTAGTAGGTCCTCTGAGAATGGCGTTTCATTTGGCAGCAAGAATTGGGCTTCTGTATACTTAGCAAGTACACCTCAACAAGCTTCTTTGATGGGTCTGAAGTTGCCCGGAGTTGATGAGGTGAGCTTCATAGTGAATTCGTATTCACAATATGATGCATTCATCGTTAGTACAACTAATTAAAACAATAAATCATGTTGTTTGTTTAATTTACAAGAAAAGGTAAACTTTCTTGGTGTTCACAAATAATCTTATCTGGCATGTTATGAGAGAGAATGTTTAACTCGGATTACGAGATATCTTATGTGACACATAAAACTTAGACATCATTATTGTATTTTCTAATGAATAATGAGAAAGAATAGGATACTTTGTACCATGTAGAGAAACTAGACAGAAGATGAATAATTTGACTCTATGAGAAAGAGTAGGATACTTTATACCACCTTATGTGAGTGCAGAATAATTTGATTTTGACAGAAGATGAATGACACTGAAGTTCTAAGTTATCAATTGAAATGAGCGAGAAGAATGGGCCTGTGCTGATTGCTAAATTGAATGTTGCATTCTAATGCAGAGAGTTGTACGGCTTTTTAAAGTGATCTTTAATGTTGCAAAAGCATGGATTCTAGTTCTTAATGAAGTTATTCTGTGAAGTGAATTGCTCAGTCTCTAGCATCAGCTGCGATCATGAGAATTGGCATGCATTTTTCACAGAGAAAATGTGAAGTGATTTATTTTCTTATGTAAGGAAATGAAATGTATTGTTGAGTCATAATCAGGCGAAACTTAGCTAAGCCAATTATTAGAAGGGGGTGCGAAAGATATGACTTGTAGCACATTTAATGCCTATATCATACAGTGGACATTTTTTATCTGCATAATTCACTGTGCTACTTTTCAAACTGTTAGTATTCCATATGACGTATAATGGCTCTTTTGCTTACACTGACATTATCAAATTGACAAATAATTGTGAAGAACAAACAATCTTAGCCTGTAGTTGGAAGTTTCAGGGGTATTGCATTGCATCAAAATGACTTCATTATTCCTGCTCTAATAACTTTGCTTGCCTGTCCATTCCGGAAGGTTCTGTTAGACTCTTGGACTTGATGATTGCTAGTTTAAGAATTAGTTGAGTTAATAATGTAGACTGTTAAAGAAGTGAAGATTTGTAGCTACATTAAATCTATAGCAGTTGACAATCATCCTGCAAAAGGCTTATGTCCTCCTTTTGGTTTCTCTTTTACCTAGCCCATGCAAAAACACTTTCTTCTTTTATTAGACTATATTTCTAAATTGTATTTCTCTTGCGTCAGTTTAACTTGCTGTGTGTGTCATATTTTATTTCCTTTTATAAGTATATGAAGGGGCACATGGTCTTGGCAGGTGGAAGAAATTGATGAAATTCCGATAGATTCTTGTGATCCATTTTATGCAGATGCAATTGCTAATGAGAAAGCCATTGATCTGTCTGAAGAGCAAAGGAGAAACTTTAGAAAGGTAAAAACAGAATTCAAGTTACCTCCTTTTTCAACATAACATTCCATCTTATTCTGATTCTTTTTTCTACTAGTGGAAAGCTTTCTTTATTTCCCCATATATCATTGTGACATGATCACTGCTTCAGAAGTCCTGTCTATAACCTTTGTTTCATTGCTTCTTTCTACTGGAAACAAACCCTTGTGTTGTGTAGCTCCCACACACTTGAACGTCACTGAATTTGTGGCAAGTTTTATGTTCACGACTGTGTCTCGCTCAGGTGGCTCATACTGAATGCTGTGTTGAATTATCATGGTCTGATCCGGCTATGCATGCCCAGTTCCTTCTTTTCCAAAATGGTTGCAAACATAAATAGTTTCTCTAAAAAAGTAAAAAATAAAACGAACATTTCGTGGCCAATAGATATGTGCTGCGTAAACATTTGATTTGGGTGCATACTTGCCTCTTTCCAGTCGCAATTTTAAATAGACTAGATATACCTCTGGTTTAATAAGCATTACCTAAGAAGAGAATATTCTCAAGATGTCTGAAGAAATTTAATATAAATCAATACCCATTTCAGTGAAAGGTGTTGGGTTCCTGCTGTTTATACGTGTGATATTCTTGTGGTCATGTTAAAGGAATGCTTGTGAATATGATGGCATAATGGGAAACATAGTTGGCATGTTTGGGTTATTGAAGCAAATGTTGTGACGTCAGCTGTGTAGCTACCGATATGATGATATAAGGAGGTCTTTAATTGACGATCTTATTTTTTCATATGCGAAATTTTTGGATGCTGCCAACAGCAAATAATCGCTGAGGCTGCTTACTTTGATTCTCCAGATCTTATGATTTGTGATTCCTAATGTTCTTTGGTCGTTTGTTGATGCATAGTATTTGTGTTTTATTGTCTTTGCAATTCAGTTATCGTTTATCTCATTACAATTGTGGGTTGGTGGCTGGACTCCCAAGGTCAAATTTGGGTCATAATCGGATTGGTCTAACTAGTCAATATAGGTTACTGTGATTTTTGGGGTAGACAGATATGTGTAATTATATCTATATATATATATATACATATATATATATATATCTGTAGTTAAAAGCATTTACACAACAGAAAGGTCAGTGTGATTTTTGGTATAAGATATTAAACTCTAGTCTTTTTCCAGATCCTCAGATGATCGTCCTTTTTGGATGTAATTATGCTATCAAATTCTTTTCTGTATTTTATTCTTACGATTATAATAGTGATACATTATATATTAGAAAGATTCTCGCTGTAATATTTCACGATTTGTTTTTTTTCCACAACTTCGTGGAGCGAGCCGCATCTGCCAGAAGAAAAAACCAAGAAAAAGAAAGTGAAAATAAAAGCATAGGAGCATCTTAGTTTTGCTCAGTATTTCTTGTTGACAGCTAATCTGAACTTGAGCCTCTAGCTGGGGAAAGTTGATGTAGCACCCATGACACTTGACGAGAATGACGTGAAGATTGAGAGTACAGAGTTATTGATGGTGAAAAATGAGTTCCACTCTGTAGAGAAATCCCTTTATAATGTTTGTTTTATAATGCTTTTATGAAATCTTTAGACAAATGTATATATTCAAAATTGCTAAGCTATATATGGTACCTATACAATAAGTCATACCTCGGAGTGGATTTTATTTTCCCTTATACCTGGTTCAGTATCTGGGATTGGTGGCTGAAAAGAGGCAAATCGCTTGATGACTATTTTGCTGTCATTGGGACCATAATTGTACATTTGCGCTTTCTTATGTTACGGACTTAAAAACTATTGAAACCTCTTTTTTGGTGGGTAGGAGAAGAGAGGTGTAACATATTCTACTAATGCAGGTAAGGGAGGAGGAGGATGCAAAGTTTACACGAAAGCTGCAGCTTCATCTGAAGAAGCGCAGGCAGCAAAGAAAATCTTTTCAGGTCTCATCTTTTATGTCAGTGTTCTCTCTTCAAAATGGGTTTTGGTCCGCTGGCACTTGTTTAAATGACAATTTAGGAAGATATATTCCCCACCTGTTGGGGATATAACTTAACAATTTGCGATAACTTTTTGAATTTATATAGTTTGGGAGGATTCCGTTTAATTTTGATGCCTATTTTTTTATAAAGAGTTTATCTTGTTCTTAGTTTGATGATTTTTTGTTTATGGAATCAAAGCAGAAAGACATTCGAGATCAAAGCTCAGAAAGAGATCTGCATTGTGCTCAACATGGCAAGAAAATCTCGTCAGAAGTTGATGATGCATCCACTCACTTATTGTCAGAAAGCGTATTATCCGATGACACTCGCGAAGGAAGACATACTGTTAATGGAAGCTGCTCAACATCGAGAGAATGCAAACGTGTGCACGCTGGTCTTGATCCAGAAACAGACAATAAAAGGTGTCGAACTCTCATTAATGATGATGATGATGATGATGTGCAAGTGCTGGAGAAAATAGTAAAAGATACCACTAAGCTGCCAAAAATGGACTCACAGCCTACCCACGATGTCAAAGAGTCGGTTGATGTTATAGATGTTGATTCTGTTCCTTCACCTTGTCCAAGCCATTCAAAAGATTATTCTGAAAACTTTCACTGCACTGTTTGCTGTAAAGTTCTAAGTCCTTCCGAGGTCTGCAGACATCCTCTTCTGGAAGTGATCAGTTGTAAAACGTGTCACCGTTTTATGAAGGAAAGGTTGCATCACAAGGTACGATCATCATCAAATCTACAATCATTCATATAATGTGTTGATTATTTGTATATGACAATAGAGGGTTGCCATGCACTCTTAGAATCTCGTTTTGTTGATGATTGTTTGTGTTTTTCCGCTGACAATAGATAATAACCTTTCTGTTCTGATTTTTTTAAAAATAAAATATAGTTCTACTTTGTTTTGTTAGCATATTCCTGGTTAAAATTATAGTGATGCTTTCTATATTGAAAATTTGTGCTTCATTTGTTTTATTTCTTTGATTTTTTTTATCCTTGTGGTATTGACTTTATGGACGTACTTCTTTTGAAATATATACCAAGAAACCTATTCGAACTCATGGCTTCACGATTAACGACTGTATCACAATCTTCATGGTTCCATCTATTTACGTGTTTCTACCCTGTAAAAGTGGCGCTTGGTAAACCAAGCTTCTACCCTTATACAAACAAGTTTCGAGTGATGATTGATCTCTTGAAGATATCTCAAATGATTGTCATCATAAGACCATTGAAGTCGATTTTTTTTTTAATTTGGCGGTGGGGGGATTGGTCAGGGGGTGTGATCTACGAGGCAGACTATAAGAATAGGAAGGTGTTTGATATTTCTGTAGTTCAACAAGTCTGTAGAAAGCAAAGTCTGTAGGATATTAGTAGTTGTAAATCTGAGCCCAGACCCATAAGTCATTCTTTTGTGGGGGGACATTTGTTAGTCGTGGATAGTTTACACCATCAATGAACTTTGATCACGCTGAAAAGGTAACAGCTGTAAGTGGTACTGTCATGTTCCTCTGTTGTACATCACCATAGGTTTATTTATACTTTTGTTGAAGATGAGCCTCTCTGTTGTGTGTTTTGTATAATGCTCAGTTATTATTTTGATCCACAAGATATCATCCAATTCGAAATTTAAGGATTCTGACATCTCCATTTTTGTTGCTGCACCATATTTTACTCTCTGATGATCCCCCCTCAATTCTAAATCTTTACCAATGAAATTTCAGGATTCTGGTGCTGCAGAAAGTTTTTGTGGATGGTGTGGCAAGTGTGGCGATCTAGTAAAGTGTGAATCATGTGCTATGTTTTTCTGTGCAATATGTATCAAGAGAACTCTTGGTGAAGAATGCATGTCAGAATCGAAGTCCTCTGTTTGGCAATGTTTTTGCTGCTGTCCCAGTCAACTGAAACAGCTTGTTATGGATTGTGACAAAGCTCTCAACAGGTTTGCAGCAACAGGCTCTGATATTAGCTCAGAGTCTTCAGATTCTGATATTGATCATCCAATTAGGTAACTTATTAATTTTTTGCCAGATTTATTTTAAGTTTTTGCCAAATATCTGTATAGCTAATTGATAGCAAAGGCATTTTTTGGTTGTGTTTTAGCACCCAACGAGAGAAGGATTTCTTTTTCCAGTATGTAAATAAAATCAAGACCATAAAGATGTCAGGATGCTTCGGGCATCGATGGGCGTCCCTGAACCTGTGCCCTTGTTTTCTTCAAGGCCTGAATCCAACTAGACCTAGAGAGATGTTCGTAAATTAGGCATCTTCTCACTTGTGAAGCGTGAATACCACCTTCTTCAAACAAAGAGGGGGGGGGCATGATTTGGTTATCTGTCGCTACTTGGATGGCGTAGGTAAGGCCATATGGTTGGAAAGTAGGCGTCCGTATCGTACGGGTGGGCCAGCTGGATTCTTTTTTGGTTGAGGGAGGGAAGCGGTGATGGAGATTGTGGCTGCTACCAGCTAATTGCCCCTTCATAAGCAAGAAGTTAGTGAGAAAAGGGTACAGGAAGGATGCTTTTCTTTCATGTCCTTACATCTGTGGATTTAATATTAGATTGTTTTGTAAGTTTATTTTCCCCTCCCCAGTGTATGAACAATTATATTTTTCTTTCAGCAATAAGAAAAGAAGGAAAAAGAGGATTAGGAGAATTCTTGATGATGCAGAGCTCCGGGAAGAAACCAAAGAAAAAATTGCAATAGAAAAGGTCGATATCTCGCAGTTTGTTATTTACTTTGCTTAGTTCTCATTTAGTTGGTATGCTGTTTGCCAATTTATCTCCTTTTCTCCCTGCAACTTGTCTCTCAGGCTCGTCAAGAACATCTGAAGTTAATGCAGTTTACTGCCAAGTCACTGGGTAATGCTGTGATTAGTGTGGATGGGGAATCAATGAAAGCTACTGATGTTAAGGTTATGGGTGATGCAACTAGTGGCTACATTGTGAATGTTGCCAGGGAAGATTCTGAGGAACCAATCAGAATTCCTCCCAGTCTGTCAAGCAGACTAAAGCCCCATCAGGTCTCTCCCACCTCTCGTGCTCTTTTCTACATTTGCTAAGATAGAAAAGCACGTTAATAAGAGAGCTGCGTGTTACCTCATAATGATTTATATTGGCTCAGATATTTTCATTGATATCCCATTTTTCTGATGAGCATGTCTGGTTTAGGTAGTTGGCCTCATGTTATTGATCTGGACTTGAGGAGCAATGTTCATTCTGTTCATTGTTGCATTAGCCATTTCAGAAGAAGAAATGAATATTTTGGTCCATCAAGATCTTTATCTTCTCTTTTTCGAGTCTGTTAAGTCGATGCAAAAGGCAAATATTATTGTAACTCAGACACCATACACACAAGCCTCTCTTGGGGAAGAAGTCAACCTTTGGTTCCTTTTACAGCTTAAAAGTACCAATTATTTTTGTCGGTTTGGTGAATAACTTAAGATCTTAGATACACTTGCATAATTCCCCTATAGACAAAGTTTCTATTGTCGAGAAAACGGATTTGACCGGCTATGAATCAGCGGTAAAACCCTGGAAGTGTGACTGTGGAGGGCCATCCAATCTTCCAAATTGTTTTATGATGCTGCGATTGTCTGTCTATCATTTGATTCTGTGCTCTCCGCCTATGTGTTCTGCAGTTTAAGGCTGTTTCTGAACGGACGATTTCGCTGTTTAGCCTTTTGATCTCTTCATTAAGGTCCTAGTGAATTATTCAGTTATGATTTGAGGGCTTGTGAAACAAAATGCCGTTCCCCTGAAGCTTAGTGAATGAAACTTCAGGGTTCAGGGTTCAATTTCTGTGAATGGTCGTTTCTTTGGTGGTATATGTTGACTATGTTATTCTGATCCATAATAGCTTCAGGTTTCAGGGATTCGGTTTTTGTGGGAAAACATTATACAATCTGTTCGAAAGGTAAAATCTGGGGACAGTGGTCTTGGTTGCATTCTTGCCCACACGATGGGCCTTGGAAAAACAATCCAGGTAATTTGTTTTTCGGTATTGTACCATTCCGTGTGCACACTTTCATACGCACATGCATATAACACTGTCATAGTTTCTTGTTTTTGTCAAATCTACACTTTTATTCGTTGCTTGTTATGAAGGAAAAAATTGTCATTCGTTCCAGTGCACGTGTACACTTGTCAATGATGGTTTGACATTTCACACTTAGGTTTAGTAATTGTATATCTGCATAATTCTCCAATATATCGATTTTGTATCGTGTAATTTTTGGATGTCATGAAAGAGTTAGAAAGGTTATTTTTTAGGTTTCTGTAACTTATTTTGGTGTCACCTGTATAATTTCCAAAACAGTTGCATGGAGTTATTTTACTCCCCCTCTGCTCATTCGTCTACCTATCTGCCATTTTCACTTGGTTGCTGATTCTCATTGCGAGTGATCTTGGTGGCCGTTGATCTTGTCGGTCTCATGTTCAGCTGAGGGAAAGAGACTCTCTGACATTAGGACTAATGGTGTTGACGAACCCAACCTACTGGGTGGGTAAAGCTCTTGTGAAGCGAACTTGCTCTGAGCATGAACGAGTCAAACCAGGAATCATTTTATGCTTCTTAGATGTATGCCTAATGAGAGCCTCAAATAGTCATTTGTGCAGTTTCCCTGGTGATCTAGTCAAACTTCCTGCATGCCTGTAATCAGCTTTGTGCTGCAGGGAGTCAAGGATGAGCTTTTGCTTTTTAATAGTTCCTTGTGATCTTATTATCAAGTCATGGAGAGGCAGGATTAAGAACATGCCAGGCATCTGCATATTTAAATGTTGATTGGTTTTGAGCCATCTATGAGATTGATTTGTGCCCAGTCACAAAACAACATTGAATACTTTATGGGCGTGTAATAGGTTTCTGGGGCCTTATGTGACTTACACTGGTCTGCGTGAGGTGGGTCAAGCCTTTAGTGCATGTTATACATAATGCACTGGCAGTATTTTACCATGCAGACGAGTGAATTTGAGGGAAGAAAAAATTATGGCAGTCTTAACGCTGTAATCATTTTATTTTCTGTGGTCATAATTGAGGTAACTTGTTCATAGAGGTCGAAATCTAAGATGAAAGATTTTTTTCTTGCTCATTTGTAACAACTCCTGAAATTTTGGCATAAATATTTGGGATTTTTGAAATTTGGCAGTCTCTTAATTTCTTATAGCTGAGTTCTTCCCGTCTCTTTTTTCCTCTGGTGTTCTACTTTCTTTCACAATACGTGCCTGGGAGCCCGATCCCATGTGTGGAAATGCCCTGGTGACGACAATGAACCATTTCAGACTACTCAGGTTTTCTGTTATGTAATCTATTGTTTAGAAAGAAATGCCAATAAAAAATTTTCTTGTCTGAAAGTGATTTACAGCTTATTTAATAGTTTGAAAAACACCTTGCTAGACATAAATGAAGTTACAATTTTAGATTATTACACTCCCGGTTGAAATAATTCTGTAGAAGCGTACTTTGGCTTCCTCTTCTCGTTTTTTTCTATGAAAAACATATTCACGGCCGGTAGGGTAAGCTTGAAAGAGTGAAACACACATTTCTGATTCAATCCAGCCTTCAGATAGGCGGTGGCAATTTTTAGCTTGATGCTGACTGAAACACACCTTGTATATTACTCTTTCTTATCCATCAGATGATCATTTGTCGGGAGCTATTTTGATATACTTTAAAATTTGTCGCAGGGTTGCCATCTGACTCCATACTGTGTTGTTGGCGTGAGATTGCTTCTAATATTTTATGGTATCTCTTGAGCAACTGTTTTAGCGCTTTCCAGTGTCATTAATTTCATTTTGTGTGGCTTTAACGCAGGTCATTGCATTTCTATATGCTGCCATGAGAAGTGTCGATATTGGTCTGAGGACAGCAATTATAGTTACACCTGTTAATGTACTGCACAACTGGCGTCACGAGTTTTTGAAGTGGAAACCTGTTGAATTGAAAGCTCTTCGTGTATTTATGATGGATGATGTCCCCAGGTTTGTCGGTAGATGTTTAGAAATTTTAAATAATTGTTTCTTGTGTTCATACTGAATGCATGAAAAGTTCTGCATTCAAGAAATGGAAACTCGCATGTGAAGAACATTTGCCATTTTTACCAGGATCAAGTCATTTAATGCATGAAAAATTGAATCCTCTTTTGTTGGGTGCATTTTATTTTAATGCCAGTCAATGCATGCTAGGCAATGGCAATAAAGAAAATATAAATAGTCGTGATAACCTAAAATTTTCGATGTGCTGCCCATCGCTTGCACTGTTGAAATCTGCATACGTTGATTATCAGTGAGTCTTGCAGACATTTGTTGGAATTTATAGATCAGAAATTGATTATCTTAAATTCAGTGCGATATCAAATCATTCACATGACTTATGGTTAAAGAAATATTACTTGCGCTCTTTATTGTTTGAAATGCATGTTCTCAATCAGATGTGATTCTATATTTTCATGATTTACAGTTTCTATTGTGTTGTCGCGTGATTCATCTTGCTCAGAAGATTCAAATTGATTCCTTATATGTTTTTGTTTCATCTCCCCCGCTAATTGTAATGCTTCAGAGAGAGAAGGGTCGATTTACTTGCGAGGTGGAGAACCAAGGGTGGAGTTCTCTTGATTGGATACAGTGCTTTTCGGAACCTATCTCTGGGCAAGCATGTGAAGGACAAGAACACTGCAATGGAAATGTGTCATTCTCTGCAGGTAAGCTGTCGCCATGCTTATTCAATGAGACTTTGCAAGTAACATGTTTTCTGTAAGTGAAACACTGCTAGAGGCTCCTGTATTTTCTCGTGCACTTCTGCATGTAATTTTTCATCTTGGTACAAATTAATGATTATGTGAACATAAATTTTCTTATTTTCTGTGGACCAATCATTTTCCATTGTGTAGTAGAAAAGCATACGATGCCAGTCTCTCTCCCTCCCACTTGTTGAATTTTCAAACCTTTTAGTGTTTATTCGTTCAGAACTGTAGAGAAAGGGGAGAGGTAGGTGTTGGTTTTATCTAATTTTCTTTAACCACCGTCATGGTCATGGTAATGCATTGAAAATTTGGCTTAATCGGCTTATTGGACATGAATCCTGCTCAGATCTGCCTATGTTCAATGTACTTAATTTCTTGATTAATTCTGTGTTGCATTCTTCGGTTCAATATAAGTCCACTCGCGCACGCTACCTATGATTTGATTTATTGTTCTCTCCTAGTGATGTTTGACCATAAATTCTCTTCCTTTGGCAATGTACTATTCTTTTTTCATTGTATAATGTATTTATATGCCTGTATCAGGTGTATGTTGCTGTTATTGACTTTAAGATTATTAACCTTTTATATATTTTTTTATATCTCCCTTCAGTATGGACCTGATATACTCATTTGCGATGAAGCACATATGATTAAGAACAGAAGGGCTGATATCACATATGCATTGAAACAAGTTAAGACACAGAGGAGAATCGCATTGACTGGGTCACCGTTGCAGAACAATCTCATGGAATACTATTGTGTACGTGGCTTATTCTATATATATATATATATATATATATATACATATACATATTATATTATAAATATGTATACATATTAACAAATTACCGTTTTCCATTTCACAACAATAAGCATGCTAACTGATTATCTGTGTTTATCTATGGAACAGATGGTCGACTTTGTTCGAGAGGGTTTTCTTGGAAGTAGTCACGAATTTAGGAATCGGTAGTTTCCATGACATCAGTTCTTTAATATGTGTTATGTTGTACCATTTTTACTGATCAGATGGCCTTTTCTTATACGGTTATGTTTGATAAAAGTCTTGGTTCGTTTCTGAATGTGAAGTCCTGTTGTAGGTTCCAAAATCCTATTGAAAATGGACAGCATGCAAATTCGACTTCAGAAGATGTAAAGATTATGAACCAAAGGTCACATATTTTGTATGAACAGTTGAAAGGATTCGTGCAGAGAATGGACTTGAACGTGGTAAAGAAAGATCTGCCACCGAAAACTGTTTTTGTCATAACTGTAAAGCTGTCACCTTTACAGAGGAAGCTATATAAAAGATTTCTCGATGTTCATGGATTTACAAATGAGAAGGTTTCTACTGAGAAATCTCTGATAAGGCGTTGTTTCTTTTCCGGATATCAGGCATTGGCGCAGGTATGGTCCTAATTATGGTGACGGTCATGTAAAGAGAATATTCTTGATTTGAATCATCAGGCTAATAGATGGACCTTTCTTCAGAGCCATTGACACAATGTCTTCTGGTTTTAGATTTGGAATCATCCTGGGCTCTTGCAAGTGGCTAAAGAACATAGATACAACCTAAGACAGGAAGATCCTATTGAAAACTTTCTTATTGATGACAGTTCCAGCGATGACAATTTTGAGACTAGTGATATGCTAGATGGAGGTATGTAATCGTAATAATCTATCAGTATTACAAAATGATGTCTATAAATGTGTGATTTTGAATTCTCACTATTTCAATGACGACCTTCACTTGATGCCATTTCCTTCACTTGAATTCTCTATTTCAATGACAACCTTCTCTGTTTATCAGTATTCACTTGATAATCGTAATAATCTATCAGTATTCACTTGATGTCTATAAATGTGTTCTTTTTGAATAGTTTGCTTGTGCCACATCACTTCCAGGCAAAGATCTTGATAGCATGTATTTTATTTCCAGATAAACACAAAATCAGGGACGGTAATATGCAGAAGAAGGGTGATGGTATCTTCTTCCACGAGGTACCTTTTTACTTGTTAATGTCAACATAGCAGTTTTTTCGAATATGAAATTCTCTGCAGTGTTAGCATTTATTTACCAAATGTTCCATCCCAAAAAAAATCTCTTTTTTATCGAACAAGAATCTCCTGGTAGAACTTATCATCATACTGTGGTTGTCAAGGGTATTCTTAACATCTACCATACTATTTGAGAAGGCATATTCGACTATAATGTCAGACTCCGGATCTATAACTGATTAGTCTCAACAGAAAAAACTCCTCGGAAATCTAGTTGTCATAGATTGATATCCATCTCTTGTTTCTAAATTGTACTATAATTGCTATGACAAAAAGGAACACGCTGAACAAAAGCAGATCGATATCAATCTCTTGTTTCTAATATGCACCATAATTGTTCTGACAAAAAGCAATACGCTGAACAAAAGCATAGAGTTCATGATGAATATTATATGAGAAGATGCTACGGACACCCCTGAGGTATTTTCAACTCAAGAATTCACATTAGATTATCAATCCACATTAAATTATCAAGGACAACTCTGATCAAGTTGTTAAAAAAAACTCAGGAAATCTGAAGACCTCAGCTGAATCTGAGGCAGCTTGAATCTTCTTAATTTATGATGGCGAGTGGTATATGCTAATAAAAAACTTTCATTGAATCAAATCATATTATTTTAAAACAAACATCTCCTTCTTTTTGAAAAGAAACAGAGATCTCATGTAAAGAAAGTCTCCGTGGGACCGAGCTTCATCCACTTCACGAGAAATTTTAAGGTTTTTGGACCTTTCACTATACCCCTCACAGTTTGCCTATCGATAACATATTGCTTGGGATTCCTTTCAGAGGTTTCATCTGACCTTCATTCACTAATTTGGCCAAGAGAAGCCATTACAGAATGTTCTCTCTCTGGTTTTGCATAAAAGGTTTGAAGGACGAGCATCTATGAAATGCAAAATCCATGGGTTCTTTATTGAAATTGAAACGCTGTATCATCTTTTTAGTTTCTGAGGTTCAGATCTTGTTAGTATTTTTATTTGATTGGTGAAATCTTACTCTGTTTGCCTATCCAGGAGATGGAGTGGTGGGAAGATCTTCTCCCTGAAAAGATATACAAAGAAGTGGATTATAGTGGGAAAATGGTTTTGCTGCTTGATATTCTTTCCATGAGCTATGAAGTTGGTGATAAGGTCCTTGTTTTCAGTCAGAGCTTGGCAACCCTAGATCTAATAGAACTGTTCCTCTCAAGACTGCGCAGGAAAGAAAGAGAAGGGAAGCACTGGAAACAAGGCAAAGATTGGTACAGGTATGCGTTGATATATGTGCAATTTGTGTGAAGAATTCAGTATCCATATCTGCTGGCCACTACTGTCCCGAGATTTCTGGTGCCAGTGGTATCTCATGGGATTTAACAACCAACCGGGATTTTGATTTGATCATGCGCCGTTGGATTCTCAGGCAGCAATTTTTCTTTTTTTGGCAATTTCAACCTAGCAATTACTCTTCCTGTTGCAGCAACTACATGTGAATAGATAACCATAGGCGACACTTCCTTTTTGTAATGTTCTGTCGCTGTATGTTGTCAAGCATGTTTGGCTGTTGAGTGGGAAAAGGTAGTATCAGCTTGGCAGCTGAGAAGAGCATGTTTTTGGTAGAGGGCTCAAAACTTTGGTGCTTCTCTGGAGGGAAAAAAACTCTTTTTTCTGCCCAAAATTTGTTCGGGGTATGGTGAAGTAAAAGGCTAAAAGTTTCCTCGATTTACAGCCAGGTATTCTTGTTCATCAGTGCTATCAGTTGGCCGAGTGGTTCATTCAGGGCAGGTTTCTTGATGAAATTGGCTTTAGATTGATTGCTTCTCCTATAACCCTGCATTCCATCAATAGCAGATACAAGAGACAGTCAGCTAGAAATCCCTGCATTACTTCCGTAGCAGATACAAGAAACAGTCAGCTACAAATCCCTGCATTGCATCCATAACAGATACAAGAGACAGTCAGCTAGAAATCCCTGCATTGCATCCATAGCAGATACAAGAGACAGTCAGCTAGAAATCCCTGCATTGCATCTATAGCAGATACAAGACACAGTCAGCTAGAAATCCCTGCATTGCATCCATTGCAGATACAAGAGACAGTCAGCTAGAAATCCCTGCATTGCATCCATAGCAGATACAAGAAACAGTCAGCTAGAAATCCCTGCATTGCATCCATAGCAGATACAAGAGACAGTCAGCTAGAAATCCCTGCATTGCATCAATAGCAGATACAAGAGACAGTCAGCTAGAAATCCCTGCATTGCATCTATAGCAGATACAAGACACAGTCAGCTAGAAATCTCTGCATTGCATCCATAGCAGATACAAGAGACAGTCAGCTAGAAATCCCTGCATTGCATCTATAGCAGATACAAGAAACAGTCAGCTACAAATCCCTGCATTGCATCCATTGCAGATACAAGAGACAGTCAGCTAGAAATCCCTGCATTGCTTCCATAGCAGATACAAGAGACAGTCAGCTAGAAATCCCTGCATTGCATCTATAGCAGATACAGGAAACAGTCAGCTAGAAATCCCTGCATTGCTTCCATAGCAGATACAGGAAACAGTCAGCTAGAAATCCCTGCATTGCTTCCATAGCAGATACAAGAGACAGTCAGCTAGAAATCCCTGCATTGCATCTATAGCAGATACAGGAAACAGTCAGCTAGAAATCTCTGCATTGCATCTATAGCAGATACAGGAAACAGTCAGCTAGAAATCCCTGCATTGCTTCCATAGCAGATACAAGAGACAGTCAGCTAGAAATCCCTGCATTGCATCTATAGCAGATACAGGAAACAGTCAGCTAGAAATCCCTGCATTGCTTCCATAGCAGATACAGGAAACAGTCAGCTAGAAATCCCTGCATTGCTTCCATAGCAGATACAAGAGACAGTCAGCTAGAAATCCCTGCATTGCATCTATAGCAGATACAGGAAACAGTCAGCTAGAAATCTCTGCATTGCATCTATAGCAGATACAGGAAACAGTCAGCTAGAAATCCCTGCATTGCTTCCATAGCAGATACAAGAGACAGTCAGCTAGAAATCCCTGCATTGCATCTATAGCAGATACAGGAAACAGTCAGCTAGAAATCCCTGCATTGCTTCCATAGCAGATACAGGAAACAGTCAGCTAGAACTCCTGCATTGCCTCCCATAGCAGATACAAGAGACAGTCAAAGCCAGGAAACTCCCTTGCACTGCATCCATAGCAGATACAGGAAACAGTCAAATAGAATTTTACTGCATCTATAGCAGGATACAGTGGAAACAGCGTCAGCTAGAAACCCTGCATTGCTTCCATAGCAGATACAAGAGACAGTCAGCTGAAATCCCCTGCATTGCATCTATAGTAGATACAGGAAACAGTCATTGGGAACCCTGCATTGCTTCCATAGCAGATACAGGAAACAGTCACAGAAATCCTGCTGCATTGCTTCCATAGCAGATACAAGACAGTCAGCTAGAAATCCCTGCATTGTATCTATAGCAGATACAGAAACAGTCAAATAGAAATCCCCAAACATTGCTTCCATACAGATACAAGAGACAGTCAGCTAGAAATCCCTGCACTGCATCCATAGCAGATACAAGAGACAGTCAGCTAGAAATCCCCGTACTGCATCTATAGCAGATACAAGTATATTGTGTCAGCTAGAAAACTCCCTGCATTGCATCCAGCAGCATACAGGAACAGTCAGCTAGAAATCCCCGCATTGCATCCATAGCAGATACAGGAAACAGTCAGGCTAGAATCCTGCATTGCTTCCATAGCAGACAATGAGACAGTCAGCTAGAAATCCCCGCATTGCATCTAAGGGCAGATACAGGAAACAGTCAGCTAGAAATCCCTGCATTGCTTCCATAGCAGATACAGGAAACAGTCAGCTAGAAATCCCTGCATTGCTTCCATAGCAGATACAAGAGACAGTCAGCTAGAAATCCCTGCATTGCATCTATAGCAGATACAAGAGACAGTCAGCTAGAAATCCCTGCATTGCATCTATAGCAGATACAGGAAACAGTCAGCTAGAAATCTCTGCATTGCATCTATAGCAGATACAGGAAACAGTCAGCTACAAATCCCTGCATTGCATCCATTGCAGATACAAGAGACAGTCAGCTAGAAATCTCTGCATTGCATCTATAGCAGATACAAGAGACAGTCAGCTAGAAATCTCTGCATTGCATCTATAGCAGATACAAGAGACAGTCAGCTAGAAATCCCTGCATTGCATCCATAGCAGATACAGGAAACAGTCAGCTAGAAATCCCTGCATTGCTTCCATAGCAGATACAAGAAACAGTCAGCTAGAAATCCCTGCATTGCATCCATAGCAGATACAAGAGACAGTCAGCTAGAAATCCCTGCATTGCATCTATAGCAGATACAAGAAACAGTCAGCTACAAATCCCTGCATTGCATCCATTGCAGATACAAGAGACAGTCAGCTAGAAATCTCTGCATTGCATCTATAGCAGATACAAGAGACAGTCAGCTAGAAATCTCTGCATTGCATCTATAGCAGATACAAGAGACAGTCAGCTAGAAATCCCTGCATTGCATCTATAGCAGATACAGGAAACAGTCAGCTAGAAATCCCTGCATTGCATCCATAGCAGATACAAGAAACAGTCAGCTACAAATCCCTGCATTGCATCCATTGCAGATACAAGAGACAGTCAGCTAGAAATCTCTGCATTGCATCTATAGCAGATACAAGAGACAGTCAGCTAGAAATCTCTGCATTGCATCTATAGCAGATACAAGAGACAGTCAGCTAGAAATCCCTGCATTGCATCTATAGCAGATACAGGAAACAGTCAGCTAGAAATCCCTGCATTGCTTCCATAGCAGATACAAGAAACAGTCAGCTAGAAATCCCTGCATTGCATCCATAGCAGATACAAGAGACAGTCAGCTAGAAATCCCTGCATTGCATCCATAGCAGATACAAGAAACAGTCAGCTAGAAATCCCTGCATTGCATCTATAGCAGATACAAGAGACAGTCAGCTAGAAATCCCTGCAGTGCATCCATTGCAGATACAAGAGACAGTCAGCTAGAAATCTCTGCATTGCATCTATAGCAGATACAAGAGACAGTCAGCTAGAAATCCCTGCATTGCATCCATAGCAGATACAAGAGACAGTCAGCTAGAAATCCCTGCATTGCATCCATAGCAGATACAAGAGACAGTCAGCTAGAAATCTCTGCATTGCATCTATAGCAGATACAAGAGACAGTCAGCTAGAAATCCCTGCATTGCATCTATAGCAGATACAAGAAACAGTCAGCTAGAAATCCCTGCATTGCTTCCATAGCAGATACAAGAAACAGTCAGCTAGAAATCCCTGCATTGCATCCATAGCAGATACAAGAGACAGTCAGCTAGAAATCTCTGCATTGCATCCATAGCAGATACAAGAAACAGTCAGCTAGAAATCCCTGCATTGCATCTATAGCAGATACAGGAAACAGTCAGCTAGAAATCTCTGCATTGCATCTATAGCAGATACAGGAAACAGTCAGCTAGAAATCCCTGCATTGCTTCCATAGCAGATACAAGAGACAGTCAGCTAGAAATCCCTGCATTGCATCTATAGCAGATACAGGAAACAGTCAGCTAGAAATCCCTGCATTGCTTCCATAGCAGATACAAGAGACAGTCAGCTAGAAATCCCTGCATTGCATCCATAGCAGATACAAGAGACAGTCAGCTAGAAATCCCTGCATTGCATCTATAGCAGATACAGGAAACAGTCAGCTAGAAATCTCTGCATTGCATCTATAGCAGATACAGGAAACAGTCAGCTAGAAATCCCTGCATTGCTTCCATAGCAGATACAAGAAACAGTCAGCTAGAAATCCCTGCATTGCATCCATAGCAGATACAAGAAACAGTCAGCTAGAAATCCCTGCATTCCATCAATAGCAGATACAAGAGACAGTAAGCGAGCTTCTTTTTCTGCTTCCTTCTCTGTGTCATAAAATATCTGCTATGTTTTACGCACTCAACAGGTTGGATGGGAGGACTGACGGGTCAGAGAGGCAGAGACTGGTCGAGAAATTTAATGATCCGATGAACAAGCGGGTGAAATGCACGTTGATATCCACTCGAGCTGGGTCTCTGGGCATCAACCTTCATGCTGCTAACCGTGTGGTGATCGTCGACGGATCCTGGAACCCAACGAATGATCTTCAGGCTATATATCGCGTTTGGAGGTACGATTATTACCCCATTATAATCTGATCTCTGCATGCCATGAGATCAATTCACAGTATTTACGTCGCCTGAAAGCAATGGTCATCTGATCTTTGCATGGCATCGAATCAAATCAGAGTGTTTTTCTTGCTGAAAACAAGAGATGATCTGCGCAGGTATGGGCAGATCAAGCCGGTGTATGCTTACCGCCTGATGGCTCACGGGACCATGGAAGAGAAGATATATAAGCGCCAGGTGAAGTCCAGCTTACCCAGCTAAATCTTGTGGGATGGCAGTCTCTTTGTTGGGTGGGTGGCGCAAGAAGGCATCAAACTCACTACCCGTCATGGCGATCAGGTTACCAAGGAGGGGCTCGCAGCCAGAGTTGTGGATCGGCAGCAGATTTACAGAACCATGTCCAGAGAAGAAGTTCTCCACCTCTTTGACTTTGGAGACGACGAGTCCGCAGACCATGCGGCGGATCAGAGACCAGACCGCTCATCAGACGATGAGCAGGGTCTGAAGCAGAACCCTCTTCCTCCTGCTCTTCCCCACAGCGCCAGCGTCTCCGACAAGTTCATGGAGACCCTGCTGAGCAGACACCACCCCCGGTAACACTTCTCCTGCATTTATCTTCTGGGTACATCATATAATCCATATATAAATAAATATATTAACCCTTTATTAGACCCGGATCATAGATTTTCCGGAATCATTGAAGAAAAGGAAAAACTCACCGTTCCCGTTTCAGCTGGATTGCAAACTACCACGAGCACGAGACGCTCCTGCAAGAGAACGAGGAGGAGAGGCTGTCCAAGGAGGAGCAGGACATGGCGTGGGAGACCTTCCGGCGCTCGATGGAGTGGGAGGAGGTCCAGAGGATCTCCGTTGACGATGCCCCATACTTGGAGCAGAGGCAGCCGGCCGTGGTCTCCCATTATCATCAGCAGGCCATCGCCCTGCCACAGCAGAGCAAGGGCGGCGGTGGCAGCAGCGGCGGTGGTGGTGGCGCTGGAAGCATCAGAAACCGGTCGCTGCATCAGAGGAAGTGCTCCAACCTCTCCCATCTGCTGACGCTGAGGAGCCAGGGGACCAAGTCCGGGTCCAGCACAGTTTGTGGGGAATGCTTGCAGGAGATCAGCTGGGAGAGCCTCAACAGAGACGGCAAGTCAAGGTGACCCCCCACCCCCGTTCATAAATGTTTGTACTGGGTTTCTTCCCTACCATGTAAAGTTTGAATTTTTAGTGGAATACGTGGGTTTGAAAGGGTCTTCCGATCCGATTCCTTTGTGCAAAAAGAAGCATGAACGCTCATTGGAAGGGGTGGTGGATTAGCCTTCAAACTGAATACAAGCCCCTCTCTCTCTCTCTCTCTCTCTCTCTCTCTCTCGCTCTCTCTCTCTATCTCTCTCTCCGTTGCAGACAAAATGACTAATTTTCATCATATATTAAATGCGATCAAAATAAACTAAAATCGATGGCGTTTATTGGACTAAGAAACTTTTATATTAACGTTGACATCACAAGAAAAGGTTCCCAAAATTTGTAATACTCAACCCAAAATAGAGCAGCTTCAACGGTCTACACGGTTGACTTAAAAAAAAAAAACAAAAAAAACAATCGTCAGAAAATTCACTTTGAGAAAACAACGGCCTTCTGTGGATTGTGCACTCGACATTTGGCAATAAAGGGCATCATTATTCAAAGAATCATCAGAAGATATCTCCTCAAACAGAGAATAGAGCAAACATTTAATTTTTAAAATCATTTGTTATCTTGGTTAAAAATCATTTGGTCCTGAGATTTTGCATCAGAAGATGGTGTATTGTTGATGAGGATCACTCGAGATGGCTGTCCTCTCTCATCCGGTAGAAGAGCCTCAGAGATTAAAATTTCCCAGTCGTCATGCCGTAGGAAGGAAAACCATCTGTCATCTAGAGAGAGAGAGAGAGAGAGATAGATAGAGAGAGAGAGGTGAAGCTGGTTAGACTTACAACGCTGAAACATGCATAGAAGCGCTTCACAAAATTCAAAAAATAAAAAAATCCCAAGCCTCATGAACATTATCCCTTTGAAGGTATTGAAGGATACCACAATCTCGTGCATTTAACATAAAAGATAATATAGTAGATCATCGAAGCCACTTCCCTGTTCTAGAACCCACCAATGATAACAAAAAAGGGAGAGTTGGGGGAGTGGGAGCAGTTCTTGCTGGTTCAACAAACTGGGTACAGATATTTCATTCTATCGACCATCTGGAGCAAATTTCATTGTGTACTAAAACATATGAAACTACAGCGAATATATGAACGATGTATGCATGAGTTACTGCCAAAGGTCAAGTGTGAAATGGAAACTGTAGAACGAAAGACATGATAACATGAATCAAAAATATATGAAATAGCTAAAGGCGGAAACGAAATCAGAACATATAACGTTACCAACCTCCGGTAGAGACAGCCTTTATCTTCAGGATGGCGTTCCCCTTCGACCCAGAGACAGGAAATTTGCAAGACACTGTCTCTCTCCGACGGCCAACTGCAAGAGAAGCAGCATGCCATGGACCCCTCACAATCGGCTCTCCCAGAGCGTCTGTAAACTCCTGATTTTGACTGGCCTTCTCTATTGCCTTTCTGAGAAAAAGATGAAAGCATCAAATTTCCACCAGAAACAGAGAAACTAAGCTTTCATTATCTTTGTTCAATTTCATAGCCGGAATATCTATATATGCACACTTATGAAGAAAAATCTCGTGACCCTCCCTTATCAGGACAGGAAATCATTCTCTGCAAATTTACAAAATGGCTACGTAATCAGATGATAAAAGTCCAGAGGATAACACACAAAAAAGAAGAATCTTAGGCCATCTTCTGCCCCACAAACGAGTAGAAGACAACCTACAACTACTAAACAGAGATCCGATTAGATGCTTCAGGTTTGATGATTGAAATGGCATGATCAACCAACCACCAGCATTTCTTAATCACAACAAACTCAGAACATCATCCCGAAAAACCATTGTGAAAAAGACCATGAGGCCATTACTTCCACTCACTTAAAATTCTGTCCCTTTTCTTGAAAAAGATAAACACTCTTGGAACAGTTGGAGGGGTATAAAGGGACAAGCTCTAAACGGCACCAAGAAAGTAAATGGGGCTTTATTGAATACCTCACAAGAGTCAGAGTCACACTTCTGTCATCAAAAACTAAATGTATATCTATGTGAGGACATATAACGTCGGAGTCATATCTCTGTACTGAACCCATCATTGCCTAAAATATGTGAGAATATAAAACACCGCCGACATTTTCTTTTTGAAAAATATGCCCTCTAAAGCCAATCAAGGAAGATTAAGATGGCAGACAATCTGAATACGTCTCAGATTGTCTTGCATTGTCTACTATTTTTTTATCCCGAAAAGTAGAAGTTATTGGCATTTGAAGATAATATACATAAGATCAAAACCTAAAACTAGGCACGATTGAAGTATTTTAATCCAGTACATGCGAAATGCAAATGTACAAGTACATATGTACATGTAAAACAGTATATATGTCTGTGTCAAATATCCAAGAAAATACGATGATGAGACGAAACAAAACAGGAGGAATTGTTGATACCAGAAGATGAAGGAAAATGAAACAAAATGCACGCTTAAAAGGACAGGGTGGCAAAAAAATTAAAGAAACCCGTATGAAATGCGGAAGGATGGCTTCACAATGCTAGTTAGAAAGAAAGCACAGGGTAGAGAAAAGACAACTAACAGCGATGATGAGAAAAAATTGCAACGAAAAAGTAACGAAGCAAAAAGGGAGAATCAAGGACAGAAGAGAAGGTAATAAAAAAGTGAGGAACCAAGAGAACAAGCATCGTCATCACCCACCGAATTTCTCTGAAAATGATATTTTCAAGGAACAATTGATGAGTTAAAAAAATAAATAAATCACAAATACTTTGCATGGAACATCTCTTTCAAATTTTCTCTTCTTTTCTAAACAATTCTACAGATATTCGTTCAAAAATGATAAAAGAATATCCTTTATCTTTTAAATTTACACGGTTATGACAGATATTCATTCGATCTATCTGAAATTATGCATCATGTCTGCGGCAAACTTATCTGAATCTTTTTCGTAAATATAAATTCTACTTAATACGAAAAATCCATTTGTTCTCCATCAAGTATTCGCAGATAACTATTTTGAATATGCATACTGTCGATGGTATCCACGCATTTGTTATGCATTCCGTTATTTTCTAATGTTTAGAAAATGAACGTTCTCGGACACTCCATGCATTCTATCTAAATCTACAAAGAATATGAAAAGAATTTTCCTTGCCCCACATAAGTCAAGGACATTCAGTAACAACCTAGCATTACACTTCTATCATTTCATCAGAGTATTTTTCCAATCGCTATGCAGTATAATTTCCTAACATAATTTCCGTGGAATCTAAAAAACTCTGAAAATATTCATAACGCTTGTATGATGGTCCTTGAGTTGTCCACTCGTTTGACAGATTTCTTTCAATCTGGGCTTATCTCGCATAATGTGGCATTATGTAATGAGAGAACAAGAAACAGAGGCATCTTTAGAATTCGGTGAGATAGGAATCATCATCGCATTAATTTCTGCACACCAGGTTCATTTGCGGCCTATGCTCGAAATAAAGAAGCACTAAGAAACGAAAAGAAACGATGATCACAGTGCCTCGTTTTACAGCTGGTCCTTTTTAAAACGATTGCGGAAATAAAATCCTGGAGTTTTATCATCCCTAACTTAAAAAAATTCTTGCCCGAGAATGGAGGAGAGGGTAAGAGGATTACTCACAGATAGATGGAAAGATATATAGATACAGAGACAATTGAGAGATCGGAGGGAGGTAGAGAAAGAACGAAGAGATCCGAATGAAGTGTCGAGTACAGAGCGTGTGGTACCTGCTGCAACCGTGGAAGATGGCAAGATCGTTGAGGGCGCTGAGGGCAAAGCCACCGGTGAGGCTAAGCAGCACGACGTGGACAACGCGTCGCCCCAGCGCGGTCTTCTTGACGCCACTGCTCCCCCCGGCACTCTTAGAAGCGGCGGCATCCGGAATAGCCGAACTGGAGACGAAGCTAAAAATAACGATCAGCCATATCAGTGCCCTCGCAAGAAGAGAAAACACGTCTTCCCCCTCGCCATCACTCGACTTACCGGGGAGAACGAGAACCCAGGGAAGAGCTGAAAGACGACGACGGCGGCGGAGGCAGGTGAGGAGCGCAACTCCGGTGGTAGGGGCGGCATAGGAGACGAGGAAGCGAGCATCTTCCTCCCAGCATCTCCGCCTCCGTCACGCAGAACTCCGACGATCATCGAGGGTTGAACTGGTTCGTCTTCCCTGCGAGCCAGTTTCACACTCCGTGCTCCCCCTCCTAGATACCGCTACTCACCGAGCTCAACGTTCGCCAATAGAAAATCGCCACGTCACGAAGGGAAACTAATCCTTTTCGGAGAAGCGTAAATTACGCGATTTTAAACTATAGAACTTAATTATTTACTCCTTTTTAATTTATTTTCCGAATCGAACAAGAAATAAATTTTTTTACGATGCAAAATTGATCGGACTATGAAAATATATTAGTAATTTTTTTCAGTAATTGGTGCTTTTAATCCACTAACGCGGCACATCCTAGAAAATCATCTACTGTTCATCGTCAGTTACAGGAAATTTGTCACGGCATGAGGATGATGATGATCATAATATTATTATTTTTTTACATTTAAATGTCATATAGGAACAGCGTGTTTAGTTTTCGTTGCTTAGATTTGTCATTTTCTTCAACAATTTTCCTGAGAAAGTATCAGCGCTCGATTGATTGGTATGAGTTTTCTGTAATCACTGCAGAAAGAGTGGTTTCTCAGATGAAATCAGTAATTGTCCGATTTCAGATTCTTGTATTATGAAAATTCCTATTTCAATTTTTTTTTCTTCTTATAAATAATTGGAGACGTGAGAGGCGACGGCGAAGAATTCCAGGAGTTTCTCTGCTTCCATCTCGGAGCTGTTAACCTCTTGCGGACGCTTCTCTGCTTCCGTCCTGCGCAATCTCTCCGCTCGCTTCCCCGGCGGACCACAGGAACGATACCATAAACCGAGGAGAACCGAGAAGAACTCTTCCCCGGGTAGCCGAAGATCTGCTGGAAGAAGGAAGCGGGACTCCGCCCGTCCCAGACTTGTCGTAAACTCTGTGACTTTCTTTCCTCTCTTGCATGTTTCCGTTCCTCTTCTCCCCATGAACCGACCGTTCTGGATTGAATCTCTTCGCCATTGATTCTAATTCGATCATCTGCTCGGCATCTTTCCGCTTCAGAATCGGGCGGCCGGAGTTCGTTCAGAGTGATCCGTGCTCTTGGGCGGGGTTGAGCATGCGGTTGGGGCGGGATTTCCGGCGGCGGACGTGCGTCGAACTAGGGTTTTCCGGCGTCACCTGTTTCGTGGCCGATTTCTCAGGAGAATCTTTCGAATTTTTTTCTCTTTTCTGGTTCAGTTTTCCTCGTCCAGGAGAAGTAAGAAAACCATGGCTGCAATGCTGCTCACCAGATGAGCATCTGTCGTCCAGTCTAGCGTAGGGAGCTCTAACCCTGACGGGACGAGGGGGAGGAGGGGGGCTTCGTCTAGTTGACCACCGGCTGATTATTTTGTAGCTCATTTTGACTGATTAGATCCGAGCAACGAGTCATTGACTGTCAGCCCACGATGTTCTGAAGTGGAGCTCTGGAGGGATCCTTGGAACATTTTCTAATCTTCCGTAGCTTGAAAAACTTCAGATTTTTAAAGGTTTTCCATAGTTCCCATGGATTCTCTCTCTCTCTCTCTCTCTCTCTCTCTCTCTCTCTCTCTCTCTCTCTCCCTCTCTCTCATTTCGTGTTTGATCATACGATTATTTCAGCCGTACTAAACCTCATGCATCTCTTTCTCTCTCTTTCATTTCGTGTTTGATCATGATAATTTCAGCTGTATTAAACCATCTCTCTCTCTCTCTCTCTCTCTCTCTCTCTCTTGCTTGTCTTACAATACTCGTGCTACCTTTTTTTTCATTCCAGTTGTTTAGGTTGCCAAGGCATTCCATGCATGATGAACTTTTCTTCTTTGCAACATAACCGCAGGATTAGAACATACGAATGACCAGCGATTACGATTTTGAAGTCTTAGTGGATATTCCGAATCGGAACATTGTTTGAGATTATTTTTAGTCCACCCATTCGGAAAAATTCCATCATCTTCGTTGGGGATCAGCTGCCACAGGAGCTCCTCCTTAACTGCTCAAGAAAACCCTCCCAGCATTACTCCCACAAGATCCAAGCTACACAGAAGGGAGCCAAAAGCCAAGCTGGTCATTCTGGGTGAGTCCGATTCATGCTTGGGCACTGCTCAACTGATGAATAATGCGAGGTAACTGATCGGTTTCTGATTTCTTGAAAGCCGTCTGAATGATTTCTGTGTGATGATTTTCTAGGGCGCACCAAGATCCATTGACATATTCATTAAACTGTAAGCACGTGATGTATTTCTCTTCTATCACTGCTTAAACAAGCATGCTGATTCTTCAATCGCTCAAGTGGGCAGAGTAGCTATTGAAACTTACACATTCCGTGAGATTAAGGTTTAATTAGTATCCTTTTACATATATTCTATAGAGCTTTTTTGGTAATTTTTCTTTCTTTTTCAAGTATTCAAATAAAAAAATTCAAAACACCGGGAATTTTATGCAAAAGTCAAAGGTATTCAATTTATTGCCGACAGTCACCATAAGTCAACGGGTCGTGTGCATTTCATGCATCATCTCCATGGTCTAAGAGAACTCGGCAGCTCTCTTGTTAGTCAACTTACATGATTAGTGTTGGTGGTACAGGATTTCTATGGAACACTAAATCACTGGTATCATGGTTCTAATGTTCCTGGCAGCTGGTCTGCCTCAAAAAAAAAACCAAATGACAGACAAAATTTGTCATTTGGTCGTGGTTGACTCAAGTATTGTGACATGTTGTGGTTGACTCAAGTACTAACCAGATGATCAGTGTCTGGGTTACGACAAAAAAAACTTTTTGGGCTAATTTTTCCATCTTGCTGGTGGCTGGCTCATCGCAGTAAATTCAAGATGACAGAAGGCGGGGGAAGTGCATCGGCTGTCGCAGATACTCAGATTTGGTGCAGAGAGTGGGACGAGATCTCCTGCCCAATTTGCATGGACCATCCGCACAACGCCGTCCTTCTTCTGTGCAGCTCCCATGAGAAAGGATGCAGCCCGTTCATCTGCGACACAAGTCACAGGCATTCAAACTGCCTCGATCGCTTCAAAAGACCGAAACCAGACCCAGAACCAGACCCAAGAGAGGGCTCTCCACATGGATTGAGGCCTCCTCTGCCATCTCCCACCTCTGAATCTGGCTCGGATGTGCAGATAGTAAGAAGAAGGAATCTGGCAGGAACAGACGGAGCCCACAGCCCAGAAACAGGCGCCCCGGAAGCACCGGTTGGAGCAAACGATCAAGAATCATCAGACAGATATCTGGAAACGATGGGCCTTCAAGATTCTGATGTGGGTAGCGGTGTAATGTATCAGGGAGAGCTTCTGAAGTGCCCTCTTTGTCGTGGAACTGTGCTCGGCTATCGGATTGTGAAGGAGATGAGACAGTATCTGGACCAGAAACCGAGAGCTTGCTCATGGGAGTCGTGCCCATTCTCGGGGAACTACAGGGAGCTGAGAAGGCATGCGAGGAGAGTTCATCCGTCAAAGAGACCAGCTGATGTTGACCCTAGAAGGCTACGGGAGTGGCGCCACCTGGAGCATGAACAGGAGATCGGCGATGTACTCAGTGCCTTGAGGTCAACGACACCCAATGTGGTTGTCATTGGAGACTACGTCATCGATGGCGGCGGCCACCGGGTGTTGCCTAATCAGGAAGGTGGCGGCGGCGGCGGCGGCGGCTCCGGCGAGGGCGGTGCCCGATCATGGCGGACCACGTTGCTGCTCTTGGAGTTGCTTGGCAGCCAATTTGGGGATGCGCCGCCGAGGAGCTCGTCAAGGTCGTGGAGGACCAATCGAAGGCCTGGGCACCGGAATCTGTGGGGTGAAAATCTTCTAGGCCTGCAAGACGAAGATGATGATGAGTTTCTGGGCAGTGCCGGGGTTCCAGTGCGCCAGAGGACCAGATCAGGCCGCCGGAGTCCGTGGGGAGATGATCTTCTGGGCCTGCGAGAGGAGGACGATGAAGAAGGTTTCTCAGACGGCGAGGAGGCCATGGCGCCCCGCCGCCGCCGGCGGTTCGCGAGATCCCAGAACGATGCCGATGGCAGTGAGAGATGACGGCCCTTTTCCGGTAAATCTTGTTGTCTCAGCTGGACAGGGTCCGACTTCTTTCCTTAGTCCTGAACATAAATGTGGATACTTTACGCGTGCATTCTCCTGATAGTTCTTGAGGCGTTGCAGAGGCGTGCAGCTTGCAAGGTCTTGAAGACGAGGAACTGGGCTAGAGAGAGAGAGAGAGAGTTGGCATTACGCTGTAAATATTGATGTTCTATCAGGACTGGGTATTATTTCCCAGTTAAGTTAGGTATCGACTCAGATATTCTCCATGTTCCTCCCCCCAACAATCCTTGAAAAACTGTCTCACTGGTTGTATCCTTCTTCTGTGTAGAGTGTCTGTACATCATCCAAAGGGCCTCTTAAGTCCTCTACCCGTCAGCTGCTTTCTGGTGCTTGAGAGAGAGGGAGAGAGAGAGAGAGAGAGTTGATCTCGTGGGCATCTTCTAATGATAAATGGGCCCAAGATTCAACGCCTGGCCCTCCCTGTTCCTACCTGCTGCGAGCATGAGAGTGAGGATGAATGGGGGAAGAAGAAAGGGTAAAGCTCAGAAAGATTATAGGGGGAAGGAGGGGCCTCCTGTGGCTCCAGTCATGTGGATTGCCTGAAATTCCCAAGCAGGATCCAAGCAATTAGAAAGACAACATGATAGCTCATGCCTAGACTACAGCAGAGCTGGGGAGGCAATCTTGGAGAACATCTCCTTGAAATTGCCAAATTTGGCTAATGCCTGCTGCCCTGGTCGTCCGATATCGTCTCCTCAGAGGAAGCCTCACTGTCTATGATGACCAATTTCTCTGGCCTCATGGGCTCCAACAGGCTCTGGTTCAGATCCAAAAACATATGCCCTCTTAGAGATGGAGGGTTGAGCTTTGGTTCCAGAGAGGGCTCACAGGTCGAAGGCGGCGGCGGGCTGGGTGTTTTCAGCCTGCTGTCACTGTTACTGCCGCCGCCGCCGCCACCAGTCGTCCTCTTCAGGATTCCCCGCTGCATGTCCACCTTCTCACCGGAGCAAGGGAGGAGAGAAGCAGCCAGGCGATCATCAGAAGACAGAGCTGGTTCACTTGGCAATGGAGGTGTCGAGAGTACTTCTCTGAGCCAATGAGGCACACTACTGTTGGTCGATGGCGAGCTCCCCTGCCGCCTGCTGCCGCCAGAGACCTTATCAATAGGATTTTGCGCCAATGGGGTGGGTGCCCAGGAAGATCTGTCCTTGTGTGGTTTACCAAGTCTCTCCTGCTGGGTCCCTGCAGCCAGAGAGAATGAATACCTTCTATTGCCTCTGTACATGCAGGAAGCAGTGGCTAAGCTGCCATTTGTCACCAATGGGTAGACTGTAGTCAAATCTGCTGCCCGGCTCTGATCCCTGCTCACAGCTCTCGCTTCTTTCCTAAAGTAGATGTCTCCCAAGGGCAGGGGCAGCCCGTTTTCGGTTCTAAGTGTTCGAAATTCTGACGATGGGTGAGTCCCAAGAGCATTGTAAGCGGTGGCTGTGGGATCTGAGACCATAAAATTGGAGTAGCGGTCAGCCTCTTCTGGCAGTCCCATTGGCTGAGTCAGTGGGGAATTGAGGAACCTTGACTGCTCCACCTCCCATCTCTCGGCCAGGTCTTCTGGAGTCTTCCAGTCAAAGAATTTCAGTTTTGGGTCCCTCAGCATGGCGGTCCAGTTGCCCCTTCCATGCCGTCTCATGCCTATCCATAGGGAATCTAGTTCTTCTTCTGACCAGGCAGCTGGATGTCCTCTGCCATTTGTCAAAGGGTAGACTTGTCTTCTGTTGAAAATTCTGCTGCTGGTCAAGATGTCATTGAGCATCTGCCTGCGCCTAAAGAACGGCGGGTTACTGTCGTAGGCTCTCCAGGGTAGCAGGAATTCACGAGCTTGATCAGCGCCTTGAACACTGCGACTTGACACTGAAGCTGTCGAGGGAAACCCCCTGTTTTCAGGTTGCGGTGGTATCGACTCCAGAAGTGTCTTGCTTGTGACTGTCTCATGATGGGTCTCACAGAGGGGGGTATCTGAGCTTCTCATAAGATTCCTCTCCAGAGAGAACACCGTCTGATTCTCCTTCTCTGTAGGGGTCTGCGCATGGTTTTGGTGGGAGGAGGAGAACATACAGATCTATAATGAGATATATCTGAGAAATAAGCGAACTTATAGAAAGGAGAAGATTTCCTGGGCTAGAAAGTCCTCAACTTTCGTGCATACTGGAAATAGAAAGCTTACCAGAGCATTTAAATCCGGCAGAGAGAGTCTCGTTGGCATCTGAAGCAGAGAATCTCTTCTACTAGAAATCCGTTCACAGTTGATTTCAACATCCTTCCTCTCGTCTTCCTGTGTCCCCATGATTCCCAACAAATCCAGCCTTTTGTTCCCTCCATTAGCAGCATCCTCAGTGCCATTATTAAATGAAGCTTGCAGATCAAGCGAGTTGTCATGCGAAGCAGTACCCACTTGAAGGGATGATTCTTCAGTTCTGCCAGCCAAGCCGCGCCAAAAATTGATCTCATTTGTTTGGAAGCATGAAAAGAGGAGTCATGGAATAGAACCAATATATATATATATATATATATATATATATATATATATATATATATATATATATTATCTATGTTTACCTCTTCTCTTCAACAGAACATAGAATGGATGTTCGGCTAGTCTCTTCTTCAAAATTCTCTGCCTGAGAAGCAAAGAATGCATGATGAGCCTCACTGGAGAAATCAGTTAAAAAGCATCCCCACACGGATGCATTCTCCAAAGACAAAGGGGAAAAAGACAACAAACATATAAAATAAATTTAATTTTATAAGGAAAAACGAATACCGCCCCATTCCATTTATATGAAATAAACTTCAATTGATTTCTAAAGTGGCAGCCCCTAAAACAGATACCTCTTTCACTTGAGCTGTTAGCCTTTCACCCTCACAGACGGTCCCTAGCCCAATTTTACTTATAGCAGATGCTGAACCCTCCTGTTTCTCAGCTTTCAAGTTGCCTTGGGAATCTTTCTCATTTGCATCCGTTTTCCTTTTTGTTCTTCTGATGAAAGTAAGCAAAGGTGCCTTATCATGGCAACTAAAATCTGCATTATTTTTTATAGATAATTCCTTCCGACCTGAAACAAACATCTGCAGAATGAAATCATCTCCATAGAGATAGGCGTTTACGTTAGCTCAGTAAAATAAAGTAGACTACTTAAGCTCTTGGAGATACCAGAGTCTAGTGGCTGAGATCCAGAGGTTGCTTTCCCACACGAGATCGCACTTGTAGAAACAGGCTCTGCACTAACCTGATTGAATTCTGAGTTACGGTTAAAAGATGCTTCAGCCTCAAGTCCTGCCTTGCTGGAACAGCTGCTGTGTGAACCAGATTTCATCAACTCCTGTGACAACTTGTCTAAATTTTGGCAAATCTTGAGTCCGTTTGGCTCCTGAATTCTCTGCTGCACATATTCTCTAGCATCACCGAGTTCAGCACTTGTGGAACAAGGCTCTCTTGCCTGCTTTGTGTACTTGAATGAAAAAGAAAACGTAAAAATCAGCACCTTGTAGGTATATCAAGCTGTCCTATACAACTTGGAACCCGTTCCTGAATAGCTTTATGGTACGCATACTTAGAAAAAGGTTTAGTGTCATGGTCAAACTACAGAGGAGCTACTAAAATTAAGGAGAATTACTTCAGAATCATGGTTAACACATTAAAACAATGCTGAAACAAAGATTAATGAATGTTCATGGCAGTGAAGCATTTATTGAGAATTGTATGCTTCCAGTACAGATGAAAGGTTAGCAATAGGTGGTCATAGAAGAAATTCATAGACAACACGCAATTTATTTGCCACCCAAACTTGCAAGGCTATGCCGCAAATGTTAAACGAAGTACATATAGCATTCATGCAATACATTTCAGTTGTCTAGGAAAGCAAATAGCATAGCAAAACCTTCATTTGAATTGAGACATTATATTTTTAAACATAAAATCACTCAAATCAAAACTAGGCACGCTGTAATCATCTTAATATTTTCTCTGGGCTTCCAATGAATTGAAATTATTAATATGCATGTAATGTAGTAGGTTCTGACTGTCTCATAATAAGCCCAACGATCCGTGGAGTGGAACAGGAGTATTAGCCAGAAATAACGATCATAGATGAGATTGACAGCACACTGATGAGAATTAAATATGAGAATAACACAAGAATAGTAAAGCGGATTTTAGTTATAATTCTTTCGAATGATAATAAATGGGTCATAGATCTAGTAACTCGCAATATAAATGCTTACCAAGTTGCAGACATATTTTTAGTAACAATTTAACAAATTAGCAAGAACTAATGAGAATTTTTTTTTTACTTTAGAATGCTCGCAAAATAAAATCTAACGTACGACTAGACAAATAAAGGAAACCAGATACTCCATACAGGAGAGATGTAGATGGAAAAAGTCACAGTTATCGCAATAGACAAAATAAATGAAGAATCAAGAATGTGTTTCTAATTCTAGCAAGGTCCTAATTCAGGTGTTAAAATCAACGGTGCTATGTGTTACACCATGTAAAGGAATAGGTTTCCTCTAGCCTCTAATTCAATCCATATAAGAGTCGTAGGCATTCCGCCATCCACATCAGTTACACAAAACCCACCCCAACTGAACAGTTGTTGGATTTTCATTAGTCAGCCCCATAACCTTCTGCAGATGATAATCTTTTACAGGTGAACTTTTTTGAGCTGTCTTACGAAAGGAAGATTAGAATCTTGGTTGAGATCCCAATCGATCCATATAGGTTTCTTCCACCCAAATTACTTTCTCCACTCAATGCTACGTCCACCAAATATTTCTACTCTCAAGGCCACCTGAGCAAAACGACTAAAGGAACTTACCCAAACTGAACGTAAGTGGGTTAAGCTAACCCTATCCAGAGCAGCCTTACAGCTTATTCATTGAGGAGGAGAATCTCAAGGTAAGAGGCAAAGGATACCTCATTCTTCATTGAGGGGAGTGCATTCATCTTATCTATTGAACTAGCCAGAAGCTACTACTTCAGGTCAAAGCGCTTAAAGAAAAGGAGTACCCTGTCACCTCCAATCTCCATCTTTTTTCTACCTAGTCTTCAGAAATAAGGATCTGGTTCAACATTAGTGAACAAATGGACAATTTTCTTTTTCAGCCTATGATTGTTTCTCAAAACTTATAACTATCAATCAAAAACAGCAAGTGCTAGGCGCTTGTTGAAAGCATAAAATTAATAGTCAAACTTCCTAGACATCATAGGTAATACCTTATATTTCGATAAAAAAATAGTTAATTGAGCAATTAAACAACGGCATAAAGTACATGGAATTAGGAAGAAAAAGTTCAATATCCACACCTCATCATCTCCGTCCCGCAGCTCATTGTACACAGCAGACCCATGCTCAAATTTCTGATTCGATCTGATCGATTGTACCTTCTCTGGAGATTCTGACGATAAATTCTCTCTTTTAACATGCATAGAATCAGGATGGAAACATGAGCGCTTCCGCTTGTAGGTCAAAACGACTTTGTGGGGAGTCATTCTGGCTCCAAGTATACTTCTTTTCGCAGTTTGAAGACCCAACATTTATGACAGCTCAACCAAACATTAGAAACAGGTGCCCACCGAAGTGAAGCTCCAATTCGAATCTGTAAATCCCAAATGGAAAATGCATGGAAAATTAGAAGCTTCCACAAATGATATAATATTCTAAGAAGAAAAGCAGGCAATCACGCTAGTTGAAAAAAAACGGAGGCTAAGGTCATGAACTTTTAGGGTACAAGGTGACATATACCAAGTTTTTGATAGTAAAATAATAAAAGTTGATAAAAAATGAATGAAAATTCCTAATAACTAAAGACATCAGACAAAGAAAAATGAAAAGCCTAAGATGTCATCACTATTGGAAATTAACGATTCCAGAAAAACACTGATTCAATCATTTCGGGAAGTCTTCCCTGGAGAGGATGAAGATGTTTTTTTTGCAAGTTAGGTTAGAAATAAGTCTTCCTAAGATCGTCATTCATTTTTTTATCAAAATAATGCAAACAAAAACTCTCTTTTATAGTTTCGATAGCGAACTGAACTTAGAATGTCAGGCTATACGAAATTATCTGAATTCCATGCGTGCTCAGGATTTTGTCTCAACCTATACATTCTGCTGACTTCCAGAAAATAGAGTTTTAAATCCAAAAATTTAGCTACGAAAAAAATGCCACTGAAAGTAATGAAAGAATCAGGCTTGAGTTTTTCAAAAGGATTTTTTTATTTCTTGGCAAGCTAATTGACTGGTGAGTATTCATGTGTCATGATCAAATATAAATGCTGAGAGCTTAATATCCAATTATTATTTCTCAAGTAAAAGCATACAAAAGCTAACATAATCTCTGTGCTTCCCGTCCCACCTAGCATCTGGTGGGAAAAACCGGTCATACCAGTTTTTATACATTGAAGATAAAACAAATGATTCTGGATAAAAGTCCTCTTATGCCATCCAAAATGGCACTCTGGAATGGTTATAAAGAGCAAGTGGTGGAATTTAGAATGAAGTTCTAACTGAAATTACAGTTTCTGCTAACAAAAGCATCAAACCCCAATGTCAACATTCAGTATCTACATCAGCTTTCCATGCCACTTGCAGCTCTACGAAAACAGTTAGCCAATATCCCACGATCAAATTATGCTCCACAACAAAACATACTGCTATTAGTAGTAATACTACGTTGTTCCTGATATACAGACGACCAAGAGTCGGCAAACTCGACGCCAGAAGACTTACGGAAACAGAGAATGCAACAGCTATCCAGGTTCATCGGGCGCAAAGCGTACGTAACTGTATTTTCTGTTCAGTCGCCCAATCCCATTAATCGAGAGCCCAACCCTGGACAGGCAGTGAGAACCGCCGAGTAAATGATCAATAAACAATCAGACCAGAAGGCCTTCTAAACCGACAAAACCCGCAAGCCATGGTCGAACGCAGAAGGCAACAATGATTAACATTCAAACCCACGAAGATATCGATGATCAACAGCTCCCACCGTTCAATCAGGTTGCACGGATGGCACAGCGGTCGAACGGCGACCAGGAATTTCAACAGAAAGAATAGAAACGATAACCGGTAGAATCCCAGCAGGAGATATGCGCAACT